CATCTAGACGTCAAAGTGACGTGCGAAATAGGTGAGAGATTTTGATGTCTAAACTGGATGTTTTTTAACTTCATAATGACGTTCAGCATTTGGACGTCAGCTGAAGACTCAATCTAGACGTCAGTGGAAAATAGATCCAAGATTGAGATGTCATTATTGGACCTCCTTTAGACGTTGAACCAACGTTTACATTTTTACCTCACCTGTACATGTGCATGTGGTTTTTCAAGGACCGAATCTAGATGTCGGCGCAACATGCCAAATGGTTCCAAGATTTAGACGTCATTATTGGACCTCTTTTAGACATTGAACAGACGTTCACATTATCACTTATTCTGGACGTAATATCCTCCACCGAATCTAGACGTTGAAGCAACTTGAAATTGCATGTCATGTCAACATCCTATTTGGAGGTCTGCAATACGTCAGAATTGGACGTTCATATGACATCCAAAAAAAGACAAAAAAAAAAAACATTCATTCTGCACCGTCAAGAGACCTGATCTGGGCGTCAAAAATTACATAAAATAAATGTCATTTCGACGTCTCATTGCGTGGGTACGTGGGTATGACCAACTATTTGTTGGGTTGATGTGCAGGCGCTCTCTGCTACCACAGAAAAGTAGCACAGCATCTTTTTCCCGGCCACACCTCATTTTTAGACCAACTTTGCTGAATTTCTCTGTTATGTTTGGCTTTCAGTCTTTTCCCCTAGCCAACGGGTAAAAAAAAGGCTGTTTGTGACCAAAGATCAGCAGAGTCAGAACAGGAATTGGAGGCAAATGGCGTTCCAAAAGCTATCAGAAAACCTCTTGGATAATTGAGTGTCATTATCGTCAGTGTAGTTATCTTATCACTCAGTCCACCCAGTTTTTCCTATCTGACTATGAAAGAGTTTGAACCAGCGGTGGAGAGTAAAAAGGGCAAGCTCCCTTTTCCTCCGACTTCAAAGAGACATTGTGCTTTTTACCCGACCACATTTATCTGACAGCTGTGGTTAATCGTAACTGCAGATTAAGATGTTCAGTAAAGAAGACTTGATAAGCTAATGTGCATTGTAAAAGATTAAAACGGGGATTACGTCAGTGGGATTTGGGAACTTTGTTAGAAAAATATTGGCTCTTTTGTTACAAGCCTTCCTTATATACACTAAAAGAGGTTTAACCTTCTCATTTTTTTTATTTGAAAATGGTTGAAAAGGGGAATATAAAAGAAATGTGAGGCAGAACTCACTTTTCTTTTATTTGGTCCTATGACCCCTTAAATTGACACTCATTTAGAAAATAGTGTAACCATAAACACACAGCGAGTGGGACCCTCACGACTGAGGCCATCTGTCACTCATCAGTGTGGCGCCAGGAGATGAATGTTAAAGAAACATGGTCTATTTCAGTTTTTATGGTGTAAATATACTGATAATATTGTTCAATATTCAGGCCAATACTGACAGTAAATATCAACATTGAGTCTACAACTGCAGTCGAACTTGTGGCCACAGACTGCCAGTCGATGGTTGAAACTGCTGAGTTGTGAAACATGATGTGTCACCTCTGTCTGAGAGATTTATATCATTCGTCTGACAGCTGCTCTGTCTCACATTCACACAAAAACATCCATGTCCACACCCATTTCTTCTTCCCTCCTGCCTCCTCCTCAAGGTAGTTTTTTTTCCAGCTGCTGTAACTTGCCAGATTGCTGAAAAGTGCTTTACTCGTGGGAGATTGAGGTGAGATGAGACTGAATCATTCATAACTTATCTTGATGTATGGACTTTGTAAATAAAATAAACAAAGAGGATAATCTAGGCCTGCTCTCTTTCTAAAGCATCTTTTTTTTAATGGATTTTCAACATCATAGTAGAGCAAGGCAAAAGGAATGACAAGTCTGCTGCATAGCACTGCAATGTAAATATTGAACCATAAAAATCATCAAACCATCAAACACAAAGATGCAAGACGTCTGAACAAACTGGTTAAAAAGGCTGGCTCTGTGGTTGGATTCAAGCTGGACTCAGTGGAGGATGTGGTGGAGAGATCTACACTAAGGAAGGTGGAGACTATTCTCAAGAACATGGATCACCCACTTCACAACACCTTAATCGACCAAAGGGCCAATGGTCGTGGACGGCTCCTCTTTCTTCGTTGCAGGACAGAAAGATCCAGAAGATCTTTTGTATGCACAGCCATCAGATTGTACAACTCTTCTCAAAATAGTAGATGACTTTTAGAGACATGACAAATGAGACGACAGACAATTGAATTTTCCTTTGAGGATTAATGAAGTTAATCTTATTCTTATTATACCCCTTACCAATGCACACACACTTCACAGCACACCCAGACACCACTCGCACTCAACATACATACAGACACACTCACACAGTTACAAAACAAAACAAACAAAAAAGAACAAAAAAATAAGAGGGGGTGTACGCTGGTGTATTTCATTATAGCGTTTGACTCAATAACAAAAGAAAACTTAGGTTGCAGGACAATATACAATATAGAAAACTTTACAAAAGCATGTTGGTGTAGTGCTGATCTTTATCCGTGAATGTCCGTGCAATGTCCCTGTGTCCTTGAGTGTTTGTGTCATAGTCAAAGAGCAGGTTGGAGGCGCGTTCCATGCTTAGCAGGTTCAGATAGTCTCTAATCCATTCAGATAGTGCAAAACATGAGGGCTTGTGTTGCCTCCGGTACATAAGGATGATTCTCTTCACAGAGAGAAAGCCTAAATTCATAAAGTTATGTGTGGAACTTGGCTTAACATGTTCCAGTGATTGTCCAAGAAGGCATGTGATGGGACAGACAGGGTACATGAACCTTAAACATATCTTTGTTAGCACCTTTGTTATGCCAAGCCAGAATAGAACAATGATCCATGCCCCCCACAGTTACGCAAGCATTGATCTGACAGATCTTTATTTCTTTTGGATATACGAGAGGGTGTCATATAAGCTCTACATAATGTCTGTATGATCCTGTACCAAACACACCTGGATGATACAATGCCCATCCCTTTTTTGGAGTCAGTGACACACCAAGATCCTCCTCCCATGCTTGTTGAGTGGGTATAAATGGATTAGGTTTGGCAAATAACAAGATCTTACAAATAATCAAAGTTGTGCCTCTTTTTATAGTGGCTGACATTAAGATGTTATCCAGTTCCGTTTTATGTGCATGGGTAAATTTAGCCAGTAATTGATTGAATTTGTAGATAGGCCAGGAATGCTGCTTCTGCTAGTCCAAATTCTGCTTTCATGTCAGAGAAAGGACAGATACCATTTTCATTGCAGAGCTGGCCTATGATGAAAACTCCTTTATGTTGCCATAATATATTGTTTAATGGCAGTCACCCCCAGCAGTCAGTCATGTATTAAGCCAAATAGGGCATGATGGTAACATTAGTCCATTTATACCCAACCCTTTGTGAAATAGTTTGGCAATAAAATTTGATAATGCTGTTATTGAGGGTGGCTTGGGGTGTGGTGAAACCAAAGTTTCTAAAGCATCTTGAGATAACACTGTAGGATCTATCTCTATAAAGGTTGACTCAGTGACTGCTCCTTTAACTCCTCTGTATTACTGTCACCTGTCTCCACATATTGGTCCATACATGTTTCCAAGGCATGTTCAGTATTGCTCTATGAGTCACACAACCATGTACATGCTTCCTCATTCATAAGTCATGCTCTTTGTTGAGCCCACAAAAATGACCTGCATTAAAGTCTATTTTAAGACCTGACACTAGTCTTTTTTTCCTTCTCTCCTCCTTTTCCTCCTCACTCACCTCTATTGATTTTTATCCCCATGAATAATATCAAGCTGAACCTGATGCAACCATTTCTGTCTTTTTCTCTTTCTTCTGCTCTGTTTTTCTCCTCACCCATCCTCACTCTTTGATACCTTGTCTGTTACTCTCTTCAGTCTTTTTATCTTCTTTTTTGCTCCACTCCACTGCTCGTCTCTTCTTGTCTCTTGCATGTTTGTCACTGTTACCCTCATCTAGTACTCTAAAAGCTTTGCTAAAAGCTCTTTGGTTTTTCACTGCGAAATAAAACAAAACAGCTCCTAAGAGGCTGCTGATTTGAGCACAGAGTATCAGTGTTTATATGATGGTTCTGGTGTCCTAACAGCAGGGGGCACTGCGGCCCCTTTAATAGTAATAGATGTGCACAGAGACACTGTTCCTGAGGTAAAAGGAGGACATATCTCGATAGCAGGTGCTCAAAAGACAATTCTAAAATACAAAATTGTCACCAATTGTCAGTTGTTGCTAGAAGGGGATGAGCCCAGCACAGGGTCCAATTTACTGCTCAGAGAAAGAATGAGGTATTAAGTTCGAGCAGAGCTGTGAGCGGGTTTTAAGACTATTGGCAGGCAGACAGTGTGAGAAGAGGTTGTAAGAAAGTGCAAAATTCGAAAGAAAAAGAAGACGTTTTTGACCTTCCACTTTGGTTACCTTGCACCTGTATCTCCATTGCCCTGAATAACTGTATACATACCAGCCAAGCTGTTTGATTGTTTGATCATTTGTTTGTTTATGAACCCTAAAATTATTAATAAAATAACCAGTCCTGAAAGTAAACATATTTCACAGCTGAGGCAGAATAAGTGAAGTAGCCTAATTATACTATCCTAGTAAGTGTGTAAAACTGATAAATTATTATTATTATTATTATTATTATTATTATTATTATTATTATTATTATTATTATTATTATTCATTTTTTATTTTAAGGCCCTCCTATGAATTCTTTTTAGTTTTACTCATTCGTCTAACTTCCCATTCCTTTCGACCCCATGTAACCAATAATTTTGTCATGTCCAAGTTCAAAACCAAAACCATGTCGTACTAAGCTGTATTCAGGTTATTTATATGCCTCATCATGATTGGAATGGGTGTAAATCATCAAACTTGCGCATTGTGTCAGATAGGAAAGGGCAGATAGACAGACGGTTCTGATTTCCGACGCCAGTGAACGCGTCGTTCTCAACGTCACACGTTACCCCAGAAGCCTCGTCACCAGGAAGTGGTGTGCCGGAGAGAGATCTCCGGTTTTGTTTTGACAATGATGGAGGAGGAAGAATTTGAGTTTGCCGAAGATTTGGAGGCTATTTTGCATCTAACCCCAGAGGTGCAATTGGCTATTGAACAGGTAAACGGTTTGAGCCTATTCATTGTACAGATTTGCATACATTGTCGCTGTTTTTTGTTCCTCACGGCCAGCTTTAGCATGCTAATCTAACCTGTGGATGGGTCAGGACGACCGCTAGCTCTGAGAAACAGATTTACCCCTTGTCATATAAATGTACTCGTCACTGTAAATCTTAACTTTCAGACTGATTGTCGTCTGTTATTTGTGTTGAAGGTTTTTCCCAGCCAAGACCCTCTGGACAGGGCAGACTTCAATGCTGTTGAATACATCAACACACTGTTCCCCACCGAGCAGGTACAAGTGGATTCATTCAGTCATTTAGACGGGAATTAGTTGTTGTTCAGATTACACTAATACGCCCTTTCACAGCCAATATTTGGACTTGTCAAAGTGTAAAAGTAAAATTATTTTCAAAACTATGGCTCAGATCTATGAAGGTGTTTCAGTGAGATCTCAAAGAGCCTGAATGCAGCATGTATTTTCAAGATTGTGACATTGAATCAGCTGAATGACATTAATACCTTGTAAACCAAAGAAATTACATTGTTTAGAGGTTTTGGTCTGCACATGGATATATTGATCTGATTTTATTTCAAGCTGGCAAAATACAAAACTCTTACAACTAAGGAAATTTAAGTAAATGGTGTTATATGTGTAGTGTACAGATCTGTAAACTTCAAGGGTTATTGTAAAATTAAGTTAGGGTCTAACACACTAACACCGAGTTAGACACCCCCTCGAGAGATGAATGTCGCCGACCGCTTGCTTCTCTAGTTAAACCAACTTGAGTAACTGAGACCACCATGTATTGCTATCCTGCAGTCATTACTAAAGTTTGTGTAACTATTGAAGCAAGCAGTTGGCAACATTCATCTCTCGACGGGGTGTCTAACTCGGTGTTACGGTGCAACATGCCTAGGTGTTAAGTAGACATTCCAGAGAGGCTGAGTCCCTCAAGAGTAAAGATGGGCAGAGCTTTCAGACTCTGAGGGACTACATGCGTTTACAGGTGATTTTAAAATGATGTCCCTCAGTCTGGTTTTGCAAGAATTTAAGGACTTCGTGCCGCACAGTATATAATATCTTTAAAAGTGTCTGAGAATCTGGAGAAATCTCCATGCAAAGGGGACAAGGCTGAAAACTGGTACTAGCTGGACATAGTCTTCTGCCCCTCAGATGGCACTGAATGAAAATCAGAAATAACTCTGAGGTGGAAATCACCCCATGTGCTCCGAATCACTTCCAAAAGAACAGTTTGTCCCGTGCCAGTGACTTCTCTGTGCCAGAGCAGATATGAGATGGACTCTCTCATTGTCTGATGAATCAAAATTTGACATTCATTGTGGAGATCAGTGATGCAGCATCCTCCTGTCGGAAAAGGAGAGGGACCACCACACAATTGAAACTGTGCTTAGCAGTTTCCAGGCTTAAGAACAACATATGCTGCCATCTTGTTTTCAGGGAAGACCCTTGCATATTTTAGCAAGAACATACAAAAACACATTCAGCGCATGTTACAACAGCATGGCTCTGTAGTAGAAGAGTCAAGGTGCTAATGTGGTCTGTCTGCAGTCTCAACGCGTCACCCCTTGAAAACTTTTAAAAGGAGGAATAGAAGACAGGAGATACTTAACAGTTGAGCAGCTGAAATCAGATTTTAGACAAGAATGGGCCGGTGTCTCTCTTTCTCAGGTCTCTTTGGTACTCAAACATTTACAGTTTCAATATTTGATTTGTAGTCTTTGCACTACTTTTGATAAAATATATAGGTTTTAAATGATTTGCAAGCCACTAATTTGATTCTTTTCCATGTAATACAATTCCCCCTAATTTCATGAACTGTATACCAATTGACACTGAAGACATGTGCATGATCTGGTTCACTAATTGTCCATAAGAGGTCACTGTTACCTTTTGGTTTTTACTTAGGACCTTAAAAAGGGCTCTTGGTAGTCTGTGTGCATTTTCAGCCACTTGTTTTTTTAAGTATGTTGATCAAACATTTAAGTGGTCAGACCTGCTGCTTCTCTGACATATTACTTTATTTCTTTTTTGCAGTTATCAAGGCATTAAGTAATGGAGTGAAACTTATAAAGAGTGTTTACACTGAAGAGTGCTATTTTTTTAATTCTTTATTTCTTCTATCTTTTTTAATTCGTATGTACAGATGTCAGTGACTTTCTGTCCTATAAATCAGTCATGAGTGGTAATTTTGTTTTCTGCTGGATAGAATTAAAAGCGGTTAACTTTCCATTGATTTCCCGTCTCTGTCCTTCTCCTCAGTCTTTGGCGAATATTGATGATGTGGTAAACAAGATTCGACTGAAGATACGGTGAGTCAAGGTCTAACTTCAGAGTGTATTTTTTCTTATGTTTTTCACTCCTTGGTGTGAGTTGCTGCTGCATTTGTTTCATTTGACAGGCGCCTGGATGACAACATCAGGACAGTGGTGAGAGGCCAGACCAATGTGGGCCAGGATGGCAGACAGGTGTGTAAAGCTACGGATCACAAACACACATTTGGCCTGTTTAATGCTGCTATAACCAGGAGTCTGGAGTTATGTAATCAGCTACAGTTGGACAGCCTCTAGTACAGGTTTTAACACACCTGGGATCATTTACACACTGAGATCTAAGAGCTCAGATCACACTCTGAATGCTCTGGGCTGAATTCTTCCTGTCTCAATCCACTTTGAAGTGTTCAAGAGTACGGCAGGGTGATAAATGAGTTTTATTGATAAATTTAAATTAGTGGTGCTTGACAATATCTGAAAATGGAAACCTGGATTATCTTTTTCAACATCAACACTCCAAGATGACAAAAACCGCTGTGTGCAGGAGCCGAGTATGTTTTTTTGTAGGATGATAGGGAAAAGTCCAGCCTCCTTTGCCTCTGATTGACTAGAAAGGCTGGAAAAAAAATCACACGCTCAAGTCAAAAGCAGGCTGTCGGCTCTTTACATCCAACAGAACATTATTGCACTTCTGAATCTCCTAACCCTAATCCTAATCCTAACCCGACAGATGATGATGTTTCACAGCCATTAGAAATTACCAATTGGAGCCCAGCACTTCTAGCCAATCAGAGGCGCAGGAGGGCGCCTCTGATTGTCTAGAAGTGCCTCTCGAAACAACGTCAGGTAGGAACTAACGCTCTCAACAAGACAAGGGGATATAAAGTGATGAGTTAAATCCTATAAACAATAAAGTTCTGTGAACAAAAGCAAGAGGTGGAATAATAATAATGATAACAATAAAATGAACAGTATTTAGACCTTGTTAGGTAACCCCAAAATGATAAAGCAGAATGATCTCTTCTGAAATATAAACCAAGTTCAGCTCAGATCAATAAAAAAGTAAAATTCACTTTTGTGTAAATTTAATTTTTAGGTCATGTCGCCCAGCCCTACTGCTTAGTGTCTGAGTCCAGGGTGAAGATGATATTAAGTGTTGGACCACATGCCAGTCATTTTAGCCTCAATTATTGTGTCTCATGGGACTCTTGTTTGATTTTCATTTTATTTGCAAATGAACTGGTGTTCATTTCATTTGCTAATAACCTCCATGAGGCTTTATTGTTCTCATTATTTAGGAGGATTCTTTGTCATGTTACTATGTCTGTACACATTCTTTAACACCCTCGGTCTTTCTGGTGTTTTCTTCATTTCTCTCCATCTCTTCTAACGTCTCTCTTTTGCCATTTTTACACAACCTGTAAGAAGAAAGGACTTTTATTTGCTCCACTGTCTGTAGAAACAAAAAGTCAAAAAGGTGAAAATTGGTGGGTCAAAGTCATTTCTCTCACCTCTGAAGCCACTGAGTCAGCGTCAGTGGTGGGAACAAAAGGTGAAGCGAGCAAGACAGGACAACACTGAGTGTGTATGTGAAGTTTGTGCTGTTTGTTTACACACCACATGCACGCGCCTTCTGCTCCACTCAGGGACGCTTTTTTACACTTTTGTGTGATTTGGAATTACAGCTGAGCTTCATTGTGGCACTGTGGTGGAACCTCTTGTTTTTTTCTGTTCAACTTGAGATATTGACAAACTTTTTGATGGTGTATTTGCATTAAGAGCAGTTACAAATGCTGTGCTAGCGCATGATTAGATAATGAAAAATAGGGGTGGGAGAAAAAAACGATACAGTATAGTATCGCGATATTTTGTCAGGCGATAAATCGTATCGTCTCATCAACCAAATATCAGTTTTTTTCAAATTAATTGTTAATATGAAGCCAAATTTATAATAATAGTAAAAAAAAAAGGGCGACTGTTTGTCCAGTAAGGTTGGCAGAGGTGACATCTCAAAGCAGGAGAAAGTTAGTACAACAAATATATATATAAAGTTTGTAAGATGTGCTACATGAAAATAAAGTACAGAGTAAATAGGATAAACATAAAGGAAAGCTAAATGCTAAATTAGCTAAACAGTTGAAATCGCAATAAAATCATATCGTGGCCCAAGTATTGTGATAATATCGTATCGTGGGGCCACTGGTGATTCTCACCCCTAATAAAAAAAGATGAATTTCAACCGCAGGTGTAAACACAGAAAAAAAACAAGAACAACAAAATTCATTGATTTTATTTATTTTTGCTCATTTGATCATCCTCCAGCACCATGACTGGAAAAAAAGATGCATATTGAACATACCACAAACACCACCAGGCCGACTCATCAGTTGTGGTGTTCAAAACATAATCCCCCCGCTAAAGTGAGAGTGATGCCGTAAGTTTCTCCCGATCCAAAACAACACGTTCTTCCCGCTCGCTCGTTCTTTCCTCTCTCCACACCGCTTCGATGGAAAAGGACAAGATGACTCAGAACCGTTCCCACCACTCAAACTGCTGCTCTTTACAGAAAGCATGTCTGGGAAATAGATCCCTGTGTGTAAATACTTCAGTTCCTCCTGAGTCCAGACTTTTGAGCCTGTACCTCTGCTTGTGTGGAGCGTAACAGAAAAGGAGAGCTCCTGCTGATTTAATCCAGGTTCTTGTCCTGTTAAGGAGTTGTGGCCTCGAGGAAATGTGACACCTGATGGGTGAGCGGCGTACGTTCTGTCCCGCTGACATGATTAGGTGTGCGCTGTTGTCAGGGTGTCTGGCCTGGTGGCCCCGTCTTTCCCAGTTAGCTACTGTTTGGTAGCAGGAAACACTCAAACTCCCGTCCAGACCAATAACATTACACAGTCACACACAATAATTTCAGTTTGTTTTTCCAGGCCCACAGTCGTGTTCCAACATTTCCAGAGGGAAAAAAATCCTTTCTACAGATGGAAAGATGGAGATGGAGAGGTGTTCATTTCAGTATGGTGACCGTAAAATAAAGTCAGCAGAAGAATAAAACCATCAGGATCAGCATTTGGTTCGATCTGCTGTTGACTGAACTCACTCACTCAAGGAGTTGAACGCGATCCTAAAGCAGAAACTCAAGACAGTAACATTTATGGTGAAAGATGAAGGGAGGAAGAGGAGGAAGTCTGGGGAATGAGTTCCCAGCTCAGACTTTCATATTCAGCACTGAGAGTGGAAATGTGACTGTAGTAGCGGTCAGACTCCAGCTGCTTAAAGCACCAATATTCAGGGTGTCGTTATTGGCAACCAATCATCTCAAAATTGTCGGGAACAGCACCACAGTGACGCGAACATGGTGGCCAATTGAAGAGAGACATAAATGATTACAATCACACCAACTCTGTTATTAATCAGATATTATTACAGTGTTCATTTCCTGACTGATCCCGTTCATTTACATGCCTTCTCTATATTACAGAGGTTATTTCCTCAAGTGTTAGAAATGATGGCAGATTGTTGGAATCACCTTCTGGCTAAACACAGCACATGCACCAACAGCACCAGTCTGTAGTAGTCGTCTGGCAGAGAAGAGTTTCCTACATAAAGTTGTACAATGTTCCTGACCGCCTGTAGATACAGACATGGAGTGCACACCTGCTCCACAGGAGCTCAGTATCCACTTCATTCGTTGCTGATTTTGTCATGAAAATGAAGATCATAAAAGCATTTCAGGATGGAATCTATTTTTGGGAGTCTGAGAATCTCATTAAAGAGACCAAACATTTGTTATTACTTACTGCCTGCCAGTGGCATTCTTGTTAATCGACACACACACAGACACACACACACACACACACACACACACGTGCAGACACTCAATCCACGTCCAATAGAGAGGCTGTACTTGCTGCTTGCATGGATGACAGCCTGGTATTTATACTTAGTGTGTTTGTGTGTGTGTGTGAGGCTATGGTATCAAGAGGCCGTCAGTGTTGGGTGGTCTTCCTATAGGATAGACATTAATGTAAATATTTAATGTTAGGAAAAGGTAGGAAAGGTAGATGACAGCGTCTTTTACTTTCCATGCTTTTACTCTCTGAGAGCTCTTTCACACTGTCACAGTCTTCTTGAGTCTCCTGAGCACTGTTGTATAGTCAGTAAGTAGCAATACTTAAGTACAGTACTTGAGTGTAATCGTGAAGTATCTGTACTTTACTGGAGTTTTCTTTACTGAAATCATTTTAACTAAAATAGAGTTATTAATCAGACCTGTGGTCAGTAATTAATGTCAGAAAAAGCCAAGTTTTGGAACAAACTGTCAGCTGAGTGGTGATTAAATTGAAGCCACATCAGCTTTGATTAATAGAACCAGAAACAATGATTGTGAGTAATGCCAGTTCGTTCTGATAGTTGTTTAACTTCACTGCAAAAGAACCTGAAAAGCCCTGAGGATTTCACTCTGTTTCAGACAGAAGAGAAATCACATCATGCAGTTTTTACTTTTACTTGACTACATTTCTAAAAATATTTAGTATACTTTTACTACTATTTTTACTTAATTACTATTGTACTATTGTTTCTTCTGATCAGTGCTGTAATCAGGGGTCTGTCTGTCCATCCCTCTTGTTTATTTTTCTAAGCTGTTGTTTGCACCCACCTGAAATGTTTGCTTATTTGGGCACAAGTGACTTTTGCAAAAAATAAGAATACACTTATTTGTACTTTGACTTTAACTTTTTACTTTTACTTGGAGTACATTTACTTGAGTACTTTTGATACTTAAGTAGAGAGAATGTGATATACTTTCAGAAGAATTCTCATGGGAGACTTTCACTTTGACTTGAGTCATTTTCTGGTAAGGTAACTAAACTTCAACTCAAGTATATTTGTTTAGTACTTCATAAAACACTGCTTCTGAGTTATGCTTTTTAAGCAGCTTTTACAACTTTCTGTTATAAGCAGCTCTATATATTTTAAAACAAAACAAAAAAGAGAAAAATATCACACTGCAGACTTTCTCAGTCTTTCTATCACGTCCGTCGAATGACTCACCATCAGTTAAGCTGATTACATCTAATTACCGCATCATCTACAAACACCAACTTTGCCAAAAGCTTGTGTTGTTTTCTGAGATTAAATCTAAAGGAGGACTTAGACGTGTAGCAGCAGAGGTACATTAGCATGTTCTTATCATAATGCTTGGGTATTATTTCTGTCCAAATAGGATTTTGTGAATTACATAAAGAGCGTAATTCACCAAGTATCACCTTGGCTCTCAGAGTCACCCATATCTGCAAATTCACTTGCTAGATGTTGACATGAAGGGCTGTAGTAAGGCACTCTCCCATCTGTAAAAGTAGACCCTATTTGACTGATCGGAGGTTTTCGATTAGCACTTAACTCATAAGTACCACTGGAGTATTGCTGCTGTCCATCAGAGCGAGGGCTGAAGTACATCTGCAGCCTGTTTAAGCATAAAAAATACTCATACCCCTACATCACTGCCTGTGTGCCTTATATGCATGTTAGGCATACACTGTTGTGCACATGTGTGTTTGTGTGTAATCAGATAACGTCTCAGGCATGGAGGCGCCTCCTGGGCAGTGGTCTCTCACTCTCCCTGCTTTCCTCAAGGCTAAATGCAGGAAATGAGCTCTAGGAAGCGAGCCAGATTGACTCAGCTGAGTCTGCATGAGCGACAAATGCAGGCTCGGAGCTTCTGGCCTCTTTAGCGCACACTTTGTTTGCCCAAGAACTCCTCCAGGGAACCACTTGAAAGATTCAGTGGCACTCCCTTCCTCCGCACTGCCAGATCAAAGAGTAATCATTTAACTCGCCTGCAGTTTTCCAATTTATTAAGTCAATCACAGAAGAACCAAAGGGCTCGTTTGAAACATGAGAAGAATGGAGGATACATGCAAGTGTTCGCTCATCTTGACTCAAGAGAAGTGTTTCCTCTTAATAGAAAACTATAAAACAGAGAAGGAAAAACTTTGAGGATTAAATGCGCCATGATTTTGGTGCGATTTCATGATCTGGTCACATGATGCTGCCATGACTTTAACTGTGCGTCCATGACACTGTCACCAAGTTCTGCTCTCTGACCACACACAGGAAGGGAAACGAATCCTCTGCTGTCAGTGCGAGCTTTATTTATGTTTGTGAGTGTGTGTGTTTGTGTGCACAGTCCTTGTGTGTATGCTCACTCTCTGTTTCTTGGAGGTGCTTGTAAAAATGGTAAATTCCTTGCACAGCTGGTGCCGGCTGTTAGCATTCCTCATGTGCATTTGCCTGTGTGTGTGTATGTGTGTCTGGGGAAAGTCAAAGTTGTGTCGCGCAGCATCGGGCCAAGACAAGCCAATTATCCTGGCATCAGATGTCGAAGCACAATCTCTTTTTGGGATCATCAAAGAACAGCTGTGGTGTCAGATGATGAGGAAATATTAGAGCAGCACGTTAACTATCGAACAATTGTAGCTGTCTGATGTTATCTAATCCTCTCTGGCTTTATAGGCTGTTTAAACTGCTTATAACCTCTTTAGCCGAGTCACAGCCTCCATGCAGAGATTAGCCTTATGGCTCATGTGTCAACCTGACAGCTTTAAATGTCAGATATCATTTCAATTAGACAACCAATTAGGCTCTTTTGTACTGCTGTCATCAAGGGACTTACATCAGGCATGCACAGGGGGATTTTTCACATGCAAAATAAAACTGCAGAACTGGCACAACAATGGACACAGTTGATCCACCCATTTTCTCCTTTCTTCATAAAGCAGAACTTGAATTGTGGTGCATTTTTTTTCTAAAGGGATTTAAAGACAACTTGAAATTAAATGTTTGGGTGGAAGATTTAAATGCATTTTATTGAAGGCTGCTGACAGGATGCCCATGTATGTTTTATGGAGTTGAGTCTAAATCTGTACCAGCTAATAGAATAAAATTTAACCTTAGTGTTTGGTTGACTCATTTAGGGGTGTCCCGATACGATATTGAAATCGGGTATTGGTCCAATATTAGCAAAAAAACAAATATCGGATTATATCGTCCTGCATCTAAAATCTTCAAAACAAGCAGTCCATGCCAGACTCCGGTCCAGCACCCCTATCTAGCAGCGCCCTGATCCAGCAAGCTGAGCCCTCAAAATCACAACAACAGTGTGTACTAAAGGTACTAACAAAGCAGCAAGGAGTAAGAGTGATGTCGGCTGTGTGGTGGTATTTTTAGTTGAAGTTCGAAAAAGACGTTGCAGCTGAGAGAAAAACTTGTCATGCACAATTTTGTGCTATTATCGGATCAATATCGGTATCGGTCAGTATTGAAGGCTACAATATGGGTATTGTATCGTAAGTCAAAAAGTTGTAACGGGACACCCCTAGACTCATTTATACTTTATGCAAACACAGGACACTGCAGTCTGCATTTTTTTCAGTATGTGGGAGCAAATTCAAAATTCTTCTTGGTGTTGCTCTAACTTCAGGTATTTGGCTGACGTGCCTAAGAATGAACCACTAAGCATACTCTCTGCTTGTCTCTTTCCAGGCTTTGGAGGAAGCCCAGATAGCCATCGGGCAGCTCTTTGGCAAAATTAAGGACATCAAGGACAAGGCAGAGAAGTCTGAACAAATGGTAAGAACCAAACAACACAAACACACCCAAATGTTGTGGAACTTATCAAGGATATGACCCCAGCAGAGAGGAGAAACAGCTTATACAACAGAGCGCAGGGGGGAGAGAGTTATTTAAAGTCGAGTTAATGCACCTTCCATGTGTTTGTTGCTAGAAGGGAAATGTGTGTGTGTGTGTGTTTGTGTGTGTCATAGTCTGGGTGTGTCAGTGGGAGTTAGAGGAAGGCCAGTGGGCTGGGTGAGCAGACCCTCCCTCAGGAGGCATGCAGGAGCAATTGTTTGAAAAACCAACGGGTGTGTCGGTCATCTTGGTCTATTTTTCTTTTTCCTGTTGCTCCATCCAGCGAGCCCCTCCGTTTCTTCCTTTCTCATCCCAGTTCTTTGACCTTTCACTCATTATTTCTCCTCATGAGTCTCACGCTTTTTTCTACTCGGCGAATGAGTCTGACTTGTCCCTTTCTCTGCTCAGGTAAAGGAGATAACAAGAGACATAAAGCAGCTGGACCACGCCAAGCGCCACCTCACAACATCCATCACCACCCTCAACCACCTACACATGCTGGCGGGGGGCGTCGACTCTTTAGAGTATGTATCTACCAAGCTGCGCTGAAAAACATGCAAATGAAAGCCTGAAATCATTTGAACAAAAATAGAATTATTAATGAGGCCTGTGGTCAATAATTAATGTCAGAAAAAGCCAAGTTTTGGAACAAACTGTCAGCTGAGTGGTGATTAAATTGAAGTCACATCAGCTTTGATTAATAGAACCAGAAACAATGAGTGTGAGTAATGCCAGTTTGCTCTGATGGTTGTTTAACTTCACTGCAAAAGAACTGGAAAAGCCCTAAGAATTTCACTCTGTTTTAGATAGAGGAGAAATCACATTATGCAGTTTTAGCACTTTACTATTTCCTGCTTTGTGTGTCTCGTATTCAGTTGGACTGTTAAGTTTTCACAGTTTCACAGTTTGTATTTTTGAATTTCACATCTGAGAGATTATCAGACAGACTGGTGCACCCCAAATAATATACAAACCACATTTGCAGAGCTTCATAGCTTTACTTCTATTCGCCACAATGACTCCAAAATTAATTCAGTTTTTAATAACATTTTACTTACATGTGTGAATTCATTAACATGTGTTTTGTCTTGTAGGGCCATGACCAGAAAGAGGCAGTATGGCGAGGTGGCTAACCTGCTCCAGGGAGTGGTCAATGTACTTGAACATTTCCAAAAATACATGGGCATACCTCAGATCAGACAGCTTTCAGAGAGGTAACGGAAGAACAAAAGGATTCAGAGTTACTGTAACTTTGATATTTTCAGGTGGAAGTCACAGCTGGGCTGAATTTGTCCTGGTTAAGTTCTGGCTTGGTTTCCAAAAGTTGCAGATAGCCCTTGCACCACAGATATATGAAGAAAAGTAGATACCCTCATGTGCTGTAGCGACATGCCTACATGGCAGCCATCTTGGCGGGGGCAACTGTCCCATTAAAGGCATTAGATGTACATGGAAAATTAATCATATCTCGATCATTTCTCAACTGATTTTCATGCAGTTTACTTTATTTTCAACACTGAAACATTTGCTATTAATACAGAATTTTCGATTTTTAAATTTTTTTTAAATCAAATGATCTTTATTGTACAATTTCGGCACTGACAATATGGAAATCGGTTGAGAAATGAGCAAGTTATGATTTACTTTCACTGTACACGCATTGCCTTTGATGGGAACAATACCCCCGCCAAGATGGCTGCCACGTAGGCACACAGTTTAAAAGGGCATGTCATATCTACTCTTCATATCTATGCCTTGCACTGTTTAGTGCAATTCTTCCCAACTTTAGAAAAGTGTTGCATTCACTGACACTCAGCTTTATTTTGTTTATACATGCCGAAGACGGGGCTTCACTGTCTTGCACAACTTTTCTTCGTGTGTTGAGAAAAGTGTCTTCTTTTCCAGTAACCAGTTCAGATATTCAAAATGAAACACCTCCAGGTCATACCAGTGTTTGATGGAGGTTTTTTTGCCAAAAACAGGAAGGAAACCTGCAGGGTAGTTTCCTCTATTGTGAAAGGTTTGGGGCAAACTTTTCTGCGTGTTTGTTTGTATAGAAGTGCCTGGAGGTTTACATTTCTAACACTATGGTTTTGGGTTTTATTGTTCATGTCTGCAACATTTCCATCAATCTGACAGCCTAACTTGTAATTATCGGTACACTCACACAGAGATTTAAACACACAAACACTTACAGAGAACAAAGTGTATTGTTATGCTGTTATTTTCCCACAGCTCTATCTGAGTTTGTTTCCTTTTTTTCTATTATTTTCTTAGAATCATTTTGGGACACATTAGTGGAGTTAGTGTTCGGGGTCAAAGTAGTGACCTTCTGTTGTTTTGACTGAGGTGTGGCAGACAGTGTTCATACCAAATAGCAGCTGGTGTGGTGGAAGAAATGACTGTGCAGGAGAAACAGATGATAGGAGAGACACGGAGGAGGGGAAGATATGTAGACAGAGTGGAGAGCTGGATGCAGCCAGCGAATAGAAAGTATCAAGACTGCTCTGTCAGATACACGTTACAAGATATATATGGTCAGTTTAAAATTGTACTAAAGGGGCGCCTAGCAGTCTAAACATCTGGTGTATCAGGGCTGTGGTCCTGGTCCCGGCTGTCTCTGGTGGGATTCCTGGCAAGCTGTCCTAAGCCTAAAAATGTATCTTGTAAATTGTACCAAAGCAAATCCCAAATTGTGAAGTGTAAAAGCAGAAAGCAAATATTCCTAGTCTTTCTACCTGTGCGTACTTTGGGACCCTGCAAAAAGAGTCATGCTTGGAAACATGTTTGATAGTCACCCACATCAAAAGAAACCAAAGCAGAGAGATTGGGGGTGTTTTGTAAGATTCTGCTCATAATTATATTTAAAATTTAGAATGATAATTCCTTCTTCAAAAAACAATCAAGCATTGATAACCTGTTTTAGCAGTTTAAACTCCTGAGTAACTTTCAACTTCATCTTTAAAGTCTTTCCTTGTTGTCCTGCAATGATCTCTTCACTTTCTCAATTTTGACTAGAATTGTTAGAGAGTGTGTTGCACAAATGTGTAAGGCCCAGCGGTTATATTTAAAGGATGCCTCCACTAGAATCACCTTTAAACTAACATACTGCATGTTAATGTTTGATTGATTGAGAAAGCATTAGAAGTAAAGAGTATTGTTTTTTTCCTCTCTAGGGTAAAGGCTGCTCAGAGCGAGTTGGGGACTCAGATCCTGGCAGACTTTGAAGAAGCTTTCCCCTCTCAAGGCTCCAAGGTAAATAATCTGCCTACTTCTGGGGGTTTTCAGATTTTCTCTTTTTTCTGTTTCTATGTGAGAAAAATTTCCATTTCTGTCAATTTAGAAATTAGTCTTATCTTCCTCTACAATGTAAACATCAAACTCGATCCCCCTTTAAAACAGAACATAAACATGATCTTTTTTATACCGCTGTATAAACTTTCAGTGAAAGTTATATTTTAAACCCCATCCAGAGACCCGGTGGTCCCAGTAACGTGCTGAGAGACGCCTGTCTGGTAGCGAATGTGCTAGACCCTCGTATCAAACAGGAGATCATCAAAAAGTTCATCAGGCAGCATCTTTCGGAGTATCTGGTTTTGTTCCAAGAAAACCAAGACGTGAGTAAATGTTTTTGTCCGTTTATCCCAAAGATCAAATCATCACACAGTAATTACCTCATTAAAAAAAGATAGGATTTTGGTATTTACAATAACTTCTCTGCTCTGCTTCTTAGGTTGCTTGGTTGGACAAGATTGACCGCCGCTACGCCTGGATTAAACGGCAGCTGGTTGACTATGAGGAGAAGTACGGACGCATGTTCCCCGAGGAGTGGTGCATGACCGAGCGTATTTCTGTGGAGTTCTGCCACATCACCAGGTAAATACACACACACATGCAACACACAGAGGAGAAAACATCCACCCCTTTTAAGACCAAATCACGTGGTGTGTTTAGAGTGTGCTGTTGACAAATATTAAAGGCAGCGTGTAATATGTGTAGTATGTCCACTAAAAAACTATCAATATATAAACTGATTGATTTAAGACTACTGTTAAAAAAGTTGCAGTAATAATAAGAGTAAAGGTAAGTTGATTTTTTTGTTATGTCTGTTTTGATAATAAGAATACTAATAATAATAATAGAAGTAATTATGAAAACTCTTTTTGTATCTTGAAAAAAGTCAAAATAACTTCATCTCAGTCATGGACTAACTTGTCCTACTTTCATGCAGTCTTTTTCCGGTCACCACGTCTCTCTACCTTACATCCCTCTGGCAGTGTAGTGGTGAGCAATGACTGGCCTCGGTAATGAAGAGTCCCCTCACTGTGCAGATAAGTGGCGCCAACCACTGTCTTGCCATTCATTACTAAACCCAGACCAGAAGTCAATCCCATTTTTGTCATACATATTCCCATAGGGGAAAAAACTAACTCTTATTGAGTAACTGCAGTAATTATTCTAAAAGGATGAAGTTATAAATGACTTTTTGAGCGAGTTAGCTGAATTATGAAGCGAACCGCACTGATATCGCATGCTTGGCAGACTTTCAGTAAAGTTGACGTAGGTGTCCTACATGAGCAGTGACCTAGTGGCCTCACTTCTCAGACTTTTCTCCTCAGTTACACGAGAACAGAACAAGCGAGCCCCTATTTGTGTGTTACTCTCAGTAGCAACTAACAATAGAAAAAATATCTTTAAAAAATCACAAAGGTATCTTGAGAATAAAAAGTCTGAGAAGACACTTTTGGAAGACTTTCAATGTATCACCTTCAATTTCTAAATATTCCCTGGAGCCACATTGGTGCATACTTGGACTGAAACTACGCTTTATTGATTTTTGTGTGTTTTTCTAAGGGTGGAGCTTGCAAAAGTGATGCGAACACGGGCTAAGGAGATCGAAGTGAAGCTGCTTCTGTTTGCTATTCAGAGGACCACAAACTTTGAAGGTCTTCTGGCCAAACGCTTCTCAGGTTGCACCTTAACAGACGTGCCTGGAGTGAGTAAAATACACCAAGACATAAACATGTACACACTACACATGCAACTATAAAGCCTATTGACTCAAGTCGGGCATGATGCCCTATGTCTGTGCACATTTAAACCAAGTGTAACATTAATTTCCTTTGTTTTTTTAAGATTCGTCCAATTAAAGTCCCACTCTGATCATTTTTTTTTACTACTTAAAATGTTCTCAGTGGTCTTTAAATTGTGATTCTGAAGTTTTTAGCTAAAGTCACATTACCTGTGTCATTTTCAAGGGCTTTTCTTCTGCAGAGCTCCAGTAGCTCATTAGCAATTTGCCTCTAAATCGTGGGCAGAGACAGCGCTGCTCTGCAGACTCCTCTTCACACTAGCTTGTAGCCTTACATTGCCGGTGTAGTCGAAGAAGCAGGTAACATAGGAGCTATTCAGCTCTCAGACACTAATGTCTTTGGGGACATGATGAAAGCTAACATCATAATTAGCTTTCTTACTAGCATTGCTATCTGCTAACACACACGTTTGTTCTGCAATTGTCCTCTCTATTTCTCCAAGTCTGGTCTGCGAAGCAGGGCTCCGGGGGAGCTTGGATTTGTGACATAGGAAATCTCACTGTGTCTGAGCCTGCAGTTTGAGTCTGCCAGAAATTCATGGCGATTTGAATGCAAAAATACTCAGAAATGCAATTTCTCACTTATTTTTCTTGTGATATGTCCTGTAGCATCAGAAAAATGCCATATGTGCATGTAAAAAACAAGAAAAACATGATTTTCATCAGAGTGGGTCTTTATTATCATTATTATTATCCTGTGTTCCACTCAGAGTACTCCTGGTCATAGTCTGAAGTGAGTGTTTACAATCCAGGTCATATTGACGTGTGCAAGAGCGCCTGGAGATCCAGGTTATTTTATTGTGTGGGCACAACTAGGCCAAGCATGTTCAGAACTGATAATTTTTCGGCACACAGAGGTCCCTTTGTCTCATGCTCAGTTTGCACCCATGCCTGACGGGTTCTATAATTCAATCAGAGATTTGGGTGAGGGGGTTTTCATAATTGGAGAAGCTGTTAAATCAAAGCCTCTTCAAATGAAAACATTAAAACCTGCCTCGGATTTTGAAGAGTTTGTTAAATATACACAGAAAGAGCACTGAAAGTCATCATGAGTCAACTGTAACTACGAAAGGCCTCAGTGGTAGTCAAATGTCTCATAAAACACCAACAACTGAGAAATAGATACAAGCTCTGATCTGTGTTTTTAGCAACAAAAGAGGCCAGAGAGTCCGCTAGACTCCACAAACCCCTTCCTGGAGGACGAGGCAGGTGAGGATGCTGGCACAGAGAAGGACGAGGAACTGGCTAAGGTAAGCTGACATACAGTATAAAGACTCAAAACAGGGTTTGAAGGGGTGCTCTCAGAAGTCAGGACATAACATCAAACTGCAACCTTCAAAGTTAAAGTTGATTCAACCAGAACCACAATAAAGTGATGAGCGTTACAGGGTTAATGTTTTAGACTGCTAGAAAAGAGGTAGCTGTGAGTAAATGTAGGTACAAATGTGCGTTGCTTCAGTTTAATCGTTTCACCGGTCTTCTGTTTATTGTTTTGGCATGCTGGGTTTAAGGCAAAACACACTTACAGGTTTCAGTGGACCCACTGTGGACCAAACCTGTATTCATTCTTATTCTGCCTCTCTTCGTTCAGCCCAAGAAGCCAAAAGCTCCCGACAACCCTTTCCACGGCATTGTCTCAAAGTGCTTTGAGCCTCATCTCTACGTCTACATCGAATCTCAAGACAAGTGAGTACAAACATATACACAAACCCGCTGTGTTGTGGTACACAGATCCAGAATCAGTTGCAGGTTGTGTGTAAAGCTGGCACATGCGCCCTTTTTCCGAGGCCCACTCATAAATCAGGTCCCCCACCTCCCATTCTACTTCATTGCCTCTTCTGTCTTTCCATCTCTTGTTCCTGTTCAAGCCTCTGTCTCCACTGTGGCAGAAATGTTTCCCATTAGCTGAACGACCACAGACGCTGGGAGAAAAAGAGAGGGAGGTTGAATAAGTGCTGCCACAGCAGATCTGCCTGTTTTCATTCCCACCTCGTTTTTTTTCTGTGTTTTTGGTACCCCTTCTGTGGTCTCTTTCTGTCTGTGTAATTTTAATTTCATTCCTCGTTTCTTTATCTTAATCTCTTGCTCTGCATTTTTTTTAAAAAGCTTTAGTTTGCTCTCTGTCCCGGCTTTGGTGATCATTCCCGAAACCAGGGACAGATCTGGGACCGCTGCGTTTGCATGCAGCCCTTAGCTCTTGGCTCTGTGGAGCGTTAAATGCTATTGGTCCGTCCAAGGGAGTAAGGATTGACCCATTCTGCAGCTACAACCTCATTTCAGTGCAGTCCAAAGGCTTTTAACAGGCAGCAGCCAGATCAGCTTGTCCCCAGTGGGACGTAGCGGGAGAGAACAGTGGCCTGCTTGTTTTGTCTTTGGCTTAAGTTCCAGGATTCAGGGGTTTAGGGCCACACCAGCTGACCTGTTGACTGCAGCAGCGAAGACTTAAATGCTTTAAATATTTTTATGGTTCTTTTCTGTCGACTTGTCATTTTATCCTTTATTTATTCATCTGGTTATTAGACAATCATATGTTTTCAATTGGTTCTCTCAGTGTCTTTAAATGTACCTCTAATCCAACCCTCTGGTGTGTGTGTGTGTGTGTGTGTGTGTGTGTGTGTGTGTGTGTGTGTGTGTGTGTGTGTGTGTGTGTGTGTTCGTGTGAACTTGTGTATCTGACTGCGCAGGAACCTAGGCGAGCTCATTGATCGGTTTGTGGCTGACTTCAGAGCACAAGGCCCACCCAAGGCGGGCACGGAGGAGGGCGGAGCAGTCCTGCCCAGCTGCGCCGACCTCTTTGTGTACTACAAGAAGTGCATGGTGCAGTGCTCCCAACTGAGCACCGGGGAACCAATGATCGCCCTCTCAACCATCTTCCAGAAATTTCTACGGGAGTACGCTTGGAAAATCCTCTCTGGCAACCTGCCCAAGTAAGACTGGCATGAGTTTAAGTAAAGGGGGGAAGCAGTGGTTTTCAAATGTGTAAACCCCCACTCAAATAAAAAAAAAGAGCGATTCTGTGAACGGAAAGTAGAAATCAGCTTCGACTACAAGGTGCTGAATTGACAGCAACTGTACGAGTTTCTGACGTTGCCAAATCAAACTACTTAAGAGTGAAGCCACTTTTATATTGGCTTAAACTCTCTACAATGTCCAAGCCATGGGGAATTCTCTCTAACAATCTTGTAATGTCTAGTAGCTCTTGGCTCTAACAGAGACAAACTGACTGACTGGAAGTGGCAGAGGTAACCCTCAACATTTCTCTTAAAACATCACATTATTTCCGAGAGTTAGAGTCTCTGCAGAACACTTGACCTCCTTATTACCAGAGAAAATTTTTTGGGGCTTTTTTGAAATATTTGAAGTCTGACAACAATCATACAAACTAACCAAGAGGAAACAAGAATTTATTCATAACATTTGTCTTGCATTTATCTCTGCCAGACTTAAAAACACATCCCTGCCTTGGTGACATTTTAATTCATTGCTAAGTAGGTTTTGAGTCAGTCCCACATTCCCCCTCCTGCTGACAAACATACTCACAAGCAGCCACTCACTGTTTTCTCTGCTTCCCCTCCACCAGAATCACTCATTTTCTGGGCAGTAACACAAACAGAGATTTACTTCAGATTAACTTCTCACAAACAAGCATGTCACGCCCTCACTTGTTCATTCCTTTGGTATGGTGATCGGCCTGTTTAGGAGTTTAGTTTGAGAGCTTAATGCCTTCAGTCCTCGCTGTGTTTGATGGATGAAGATGGCATGCTAAGAGGGATCTGGAGCTGGTTACGTTGTGGCAAAAGCCTAATACGCTACCAGCGAAAACATCTCTGGATCATTGGCCACATTAGAGCTCATCCCTGGCTGCGGTGCACACACACACACATACACATACACACATATACACACACAGGCGTGCTCTGTTCTTGTCTCAGATATGCATGCATACTAATTACACACTTTCACTCACAGACTAATGTACACCATATTCCCAGCCGTGTACAAACACCACACAAAGATGCACTTCAATGCTTTGTAAGTGTGCGCACTTAAAGACCCATGCAGACGTGGTCCTCCTCTGTGGTGTGCTAAGAATTGGTTTTGGGAGGTTTTTGAAGGGGCCCTCCAAAGGAGCTCAAACTATGTTGTGGTTTTACCCACATGTCTCTGTTATGACGTTTATTAATGACCGGGTTTCGGTTGAAGCTCATTGGCCCAGAATCACCACACTTGTGTCTGCTCGTAGTTATTCCTATTGTGTCTCACTTACTAAAAAACGGTCTTCCTTACCTGTGGTCTGAAATGATCTGTTACACAGAGTGCTTTTTGTGTTTAAGCTCAGTTACAAAAGGATCCCATAAAAATCCACTCGTAGGAAACACAACACAAAACAGCTGGAGGTCCTTCAACTTATTCTGTAACCTAAAGGCATCAAGTAAGCTGAAAACTGAGCTGAAACCATTGGAAACTAGAAAAGCACTTGAAGAGCGCAGACCTCCACCAAGCAGCTCATGTCCCCCCTTATATTGTGATTCACACCAAAACTTTTACTGTTACGTGTATTTTATTAACTTTTATTTGTGTTTAAACTGGTATGTTCACTGTTCATAATGTTCCTAAAACAAGAAATGCCCTGACCCAGATTCGAACCCAGGACCTTCTTGCTGTGAGGCGACAGTGCTAACCACTACACCACTGTGCGGCCTATCTACACCACTGTGCCGCCCATTGGTAATAATTCCAACGACACCCTTATTTTTTGTGCATTCTGGATCACAGTATCTGGAATTTTGTCTGGATCAGGATCAACCTTTGACACATCATAAAACTCATTGAGATCCTTTTGTGTAATTTTTTACTAAAGACTCTGGACATTTTTATAGAGTTAAATGCAAAAATTCCAAAATTTGCCCTATCTCACAATAATAAAGAATCCTTCAAAAAATTCTTGGATCCAGAAGGCGATCCGGATCACCACCAAAATGTAATGGGATCGTCCTGGGGCTGAGACGCACCTCTGGTGAAAATTTCAGGTCAATCCGTCTGTAACTTTCTCCGTAAAGTTGCTAACAAACAAACAAACAAACAAACAAACCAACAAACCAACGCTACCGAAAAAATAACCTCCTTGGCGGAGGTAACAAGACTACATTCAGCCATCAGTGAAAATTAAACACGTCTTTTTTTAGTAAACACTTCCCTTCTCTATTCTAACCCTCTGTCTCTGTTTCTTCCTCTTTTATTGTTTTTTTTCCTGTATCTGTTTTACACTCTGTTCAGATCCAGCAGTAACAGTGGAGGTCTTACGATCAGCAGCCTCCTGAAAGAGAAAGAAGGCTCTGAAGCTGCCAAGTTCACTGTGGACGAGCTGTGTCTGATCTGTAGCATCCTCAGCACTGCAGAGTACTGCCTGGCTACTACACAGCAGGCAAGCACACTCCATCACTCAAGAACTGAGCTAGAGTTTCATAGTAATGACAGAGTATGATAAGAGAGAGTGTAATGTAACAGTTAGTGGAGGTTTCTTTGTGTTTCATAAGCGTTTTAAGGAACTCATCATGGCGGTTATGGTTTCAACACCACCTGAATTATCCTGTCTGTTATTTTTATGCAACACTTACACAACCCCAATTCCAAGAGAGCCGAGATGCTTTGTGAATGTTATTTACTTTTATATAAACACAAAATGTAGAAACTTGCAGATAATTCAAAGCCTCTGTTAAATTGAAAATAGTGCAGAGATGACAAATCATACGTTTAAACTGCCCATTTTGAATTTAATGCTGGCATCATGTTACAAACAAGTAGCCATTTTCCCCTCAGAGAGGCCGAGTCTCTCAGAAGAAAAGATGGAAAGAATTTTATCACTTTGCTGACCGAAATATCAATAAAAGATCCATCTGATCTGAAATCTCATGATCTTATGATCTTTGTGCCTTCTAGTGGCATTACATCTATAAAATAAGACATGTCTCTGCTGTGGAAATCACTTAATGGGCTCAAAGAGACATCCAAAACCCAGTGTCTACAAATAATGCTCCATGTGAATAGTGGTAAAATGCAAAAAAAAAAAATAATAATAATTACATCAATATAATCCAGAAATGCTGGCATTGTCACTGTGCCTAAGCTTAGAACAGAGGCAGAAAAGAAAACTGAAGATTTTGCTTTCTTTTGGAAATCATGGACAACTCTAGTCTAATATTTGTGTTTCTATATTTGTTTGTTTTACAGCTGGAGGAGAAGCTAAAGGAGAAAGTTGATAAAGTCCTCGTGGAGAGAATTAATTTGACTGGGGAGATGGATACATTTAGCACGTGAGTAACTAATGCAACATTTTCTACTGAATAAAAGGTGAATCGTTTTGATGAGAAGATTGTGTTTTGATTATGTTAATCGTCTACTTTTTTGTTTTCCCAGCGTTATTTCCAACAGTATTCAGCTACTTGTTCAAGATCTTGATGCTGCTTGTGACCCTGCTCTCACTGCCATGAGCAAGGTAGGGCAAATCACAAAATCACAAATGAATCTCATGTGCTGTGTAAGAAATCTTAAACTTCAATGCTAACAGTCGCCTCTTTTCCTGTGTTACTTTCTCCCCCCTCAGATGCCGTGGCAGAGTGTGGAGCATGTGGGCGACCAGAGTCCTTATGTGACGTCAATCATCATGCACATCAAGCAAAATGTTCCGATCATCCGAGACAACCTGGCCTCCACACGCAAATACTTCACGCAGTTCTGCATCAAGTTCACAAAGTACAATACATGAGACACAAATTCACAGACAGAGATTTGTTTTAGGCATTAATCCACGATCAGATGTTCCTTAAAGCTGATGTTTATCTCACTTCTTCTTTCCTCAGTTCTTTTATCCCCAAATTTATCAACCACCTGTTCAGATGTAAGCCTATCAGCATGGTGGGAGCTGAGCAGGTAAGTTCAGTCATCATTACAGGGACATTTTAAACTGTTCAAATTATGAATATTACCACTGGAAATGAATACTATACTACTGTATCCTTTCCACCAGCTCCTCCTTGACACCCACTCCTTGAAAACCGTCCTGCTGGACCTGCCCTCCATCGGCTCCCAGGTGCTCCGCAAGGCCCCTGCCAGCTACACCAAGATAGTAGTGAAAGGCATGACGAGAGCAGAGATGATCCTCAAGGTGAGATCCACTCAGACAGCTCCCACGTTTACATTTTTCCAGATTGGAAAACGACCTAACATCTCTCTTAAGACAAGTGGAGATTCAGTTAACAGTTTACCTTTCATGTATAAACTCAGAATAGCTAACTGATGGGTTTCAATTGAAACCAATCTTAACTTTGTAGGACACAAGAGCAGCTTGATCTTTATGGACACTTCAGATTTTATGAACTTTAGGTGGGCATGCTCATGCTGGACGTTTTAACGGCCGAAGCTTCAGTCCCTGACCTTTAAAGGCTCGGAAATTTACATACTGTTGTCCGTACGAGGAGTCTGATGGAGTTTGCTTTATCTTTTGTTGCCATTGTTCAGATTTAGTGCTGAAACGCTGACATTTCCTGTTAAACATTAACTTTTGTGTTGACGTTTCATCAAGAATAGTCTGGCAGAACCTCCAGCTAACTGCTTTTTCCACTGATTGAGGCCCCATCGTTAGACGCAACAATAGAGCGAACAAACATTTATCCCTCGAGTGTTTGCGGTTTGCACGGCGAGCCAGTGTTCGACTGTCTGCTTGAGTCACTAAAGCAGGCGATCTGCTCTGAGTTATTCTGGGGCAGAATTGTGTCATTAACCCCACTAATAATAGCACTTTATGAGCATGTTTTCTATAAAATAACCCACCTCACATGAGGGTTGGAGCTGGTGGTTTAATGAGAGAAAGAGAGACGAGCCAACCTGACACACACATATATATTCTTTAACACAGTTTGTGGTCGACCCTTGACTTGGTGGAAAGGTGTGAGTGACTTAAGACTGTGCGTTTACTCACAAAAAGAAACAACCAGACGTGCTGCAAAACAGTCCAAACATTTTCTTCAGTGAGGAGGGCAAACACAGGATACAGCCGGCTCGCTCTGCTTCAGAATTACCTTGTGTGACCCTTGAGGTCTCTGGTATGCTGCTGCCATCGAATAACCCCGCCCTAATTAAGTGTCCCTGGAGTGTACAGAAATGTTCACGCACAGACACACAGACTACCCGCCCACCTGGCCTGTGATTTCCCCTCAGACTCTCAGAAGGCCTTCTTTCCTGGTTGTATTGTCTTGATGTTTATAGCTGCGAGATAGTCTTCGCTTTCTAACTTTGCTCATTCTTTATTCCTCTGGTCGTTTCAGAGTTTATATCATCCTCTTATTGTTTTCTGCTGGGATGCACACTGTTCCATATGGTCTGTTCAAAGCCTGTCTCTGTTCCCTGGCATAATGCCCTGAATGAATACATAAGAATTTCCACCCATCTGCCGCACATTAAAGAGGTTGGCACATTATAGAAGTATAGCATGCATTCATATCAGCCCACAGCTTTTCAGTGCTCTCAGTATTCAACTTCTTGCAGCTCCCCATCAGATGGAATGTGATACTGGAGGTCCTCAAGTGGTTCAGATGCAAAAACTAAGCACAGGGTAAATAAGACACAATCGAGCAATTTATGCTGCTACAAAGGCACCAAAGGATATGTTGGACTTTTAAAGAGCCGTACAGAAGTTTCCTCTGTGGACATTCTGGCCTGTAAGAAGAAAGAGAAGCTTTTGTACGACCACCAGCATGTTAGCCACCAGCTTTGTGCAGCGCCAAGGTTCCTCACAGGTAATTGCTTCCACCTTGGGCTTCGACCAAAGTTTCTGAAAGACAAGCCCATCAAAGAAGGTCAATACAAGAATCCCTCTGTCTCGCCTCGACAATAGTTTTGAATTACACCCTGTGATGTTGTGAGTGGAAATTGAATCTGACTCACCCCCCACCAAGTAACAGCAATACATGGAGACTATTGATGGTTGTGTTTGTTTTTTTTGTGTGTGTAATGATTCAACGGTTGATTTTAAATGATGGTGTTTCAAACTGTGGAGGAGTTTAACAAGCTGCGAACGCAAAACTGACATTATCACCTAGTAAAGTACTTTTCACATCTTAAACACTTAAAGCGTTATTAGCATCAATTTGGGGAAGGTTGCATCAACACCAGAGGGAACTATATGTTCACTGGGAAGCTAAATGCTGAAATGATGTTTGTGTATAAGGGGAACTAACTGAACAAGACAGTGCTGTCAATAACTCCTTTCGTGTAACCAGTTTAGGACTGAATATTCAAGCTCCTCTAACTTCTACCTTTCAGTACCTCTTCCTAATATCGGTCTAACCTAAGCTCTAATCCTGAATAAACACCACAATGTTCTGCCGTTAAATCAGGGCAATTCACTGTTGGTACAGTTCTTAACCTTGAGCAGAGTTGCAAAGTCAGAGGATCATTTTCTGCGAGTTAGTCATGACAAACCATTGCTTTCCAAACAGCAAACAGCCGCTTTACTCATTTTAAATGTTATTAATCCATTTGAAATGTAGTGCAAAATCAACTCTTGTGTCTTTTGTTAAGTTTCTTATTTTCCTGCATGGCTGTCTGAATCTGCTCGGATGTTGATGTTGAGTTGATATTTGTGTGTTGTGAACCAGCACTCAGTTATGTTTAAAGCACCAAAGATATCATCTGTCTGTCTGAGACAGCCTCTCCTGGCTGGTTCGATGCCTGTGAGACGTGGCTGTTTTCCATGCTCTTCCAGCCCGGCCCACCAGAGCTCCAGCTCTCTCTGTCTTCCACCTCTGAAGTTCTCTTCTTGGGACATTTTAAAGAGCAGCCCCCCCTTCAATGCGCCCTTGTTCAGCTTGAATGTTTTACCCCCCTCCTGACTCTGTTTAGCCCACTCTTCCTTTATTTTTTATGTCCGTTTTCATTCTTCGACTGCCTCTACCCCTTTTCTTTGCCTTCTTTTACAAGGTCCCCATAGGCCTGTCCTTGGCCTGGCTCCAGGACAGTTGCTAAGTAAATCACTTGGGCAAGAAAGAAGGCAAAGAATTCCACACAATCCCGAGCCTTTCATACGTGTGCTCCTCTCTTTTTCCCTCCTGCTTTGGCCTCACCTTCTCATACTTTTTAAATCAAAAGAGAAATATGCTTAAAAAGCAGTTTGGGGTCTTTTTAGAGGGAAGGACAGGATTAATGTTTTGTGAGACGAGTCCTGTGGGCATACATATGCATGAGAGGGGAGGTGGGGATCTGTCAGCCATGTGTTGGTCTGCCTGCCTTGTAGCGGCTGCAGGAAATGCTATCTGATCCATGTTTTCCAGCCAGACTCTATCGTTCAAAACAACCAGCGTGACTTATACCCTATTAGAAAAATATTACCCTGCTCTTCACTTATGCTGATTTCCCCCTCCAAAATAATAACTTATAGTAGTGATAGTAACTGATTTATAAAAAGGGAAAAAGCCAGGGTGGGGCTTCTGAATACTGTATAGTCTCTACTTTGTATGTAGGTAGAACTATGTGGTTTTGTCAGCGCCCCCCTCTCTCTCATTTGGACCAAAACTGCCCCATGTGGGATCATTTAAAGATCTCTAGGGTCCTCCTATGATGGTTCACAGGAAAAGAAGGAAAGAGGGAGGGCTGAAATCAACATTAAACTCTACTTTTTTTTTGCACAGGTGGTGATGGCCCCACATGAACCACCAGTGGTGTTTGTTGATAACTACATCAAGCTCCTGGCTGATGGGAATCCAGAGACCTTCCAGAAGATTCTTGACATGAAGGTTAGTCAGTTTGACTTAAAGCTCCTGTGAGAAGTTTTCAGCTGGATACAGTTGTGATGAGGCCTCTTTATGACCCACAAAAGCAAAACAAGATCTTCAAGCAAAGGTGTTGACACTTACACTATGATAATTTTTAATGTATGTTACTGCTGTAGGGGGTGGGTGTGAGACAAGACAATTTAAAGTATGGTGAAGAAAAACCTGTTATTTGATTTCTTTTCATCAACAAATATTTACAGGATGAGACGTTTGACTGTTATTGAGAGCAGGATGAGTTATTTTCTTCAAGACACAACTTACACATGAACATAACAAGATCAAGAGGTATAACTTTGTCCACTCTGTGCCCGTAGGGTCTGAAACGCAGTGAACAGAGCAGCATGCTGGAGCTCTTCAGGCAGAGGCTACCCACACCACCCTCCGGTGCAGACGGAGGTCCCTCTCTGTCCTTCAGTGCCCCCACGCCAGAGCAGGAGTCCTCCCGCATCCGCAAACTGGAGAAACTCATCAAGAAGAGATTGTAAACAGAGAGACTGAACTTGAAAACTTTGAAAAGCTACAGGAAGAGATGTAACCTTTATTACAGTAAGTCATGTAAAAAAAAACAAAAAACAATTGACACTCCATCCAGAAAGAGCGGAGAGTGGACTGAATTCCCTGACTGGTGAAAAAACTTTCTCAAATACTTCAAACTGTTGCTTCATATCTCATGTACATCTGTGATTCCTTTTCTTTCCATGACACTAATGTCTGAGCCTTTTATCATCTGTATATTTTTGCACTGTGTATTAGCACTCAGAACACCAAATGTAGTGCGTTTGCATCACCTGTCTAATCCAGAAAGTTTGCAGGCAGCCTTTGAAATCACTTTATATCAACTTGGAAATCAGGGACTTTTTGGTGAAGTCTTTAAGCATGGTTAGTTGCCACAGGAAGGGCAACATATTAAGGTTGATGCTGTATACTGTACGTATGTGCCGTCAGTCCCTGATATTCTATGAAAATTTAATCTATTGTTTTTCTTTGTGTTGACATAAAGTTTCTTTTATAATTTAGGCGACTGTGTCCACTTAGTTTTTCTTTGCACATTGATGAGACAAATTCTCCTCTGAGACAACATAGTTAGGAAAAGTATATCTTTAGTTCTGGAAACCTTTTAAAAAGAGCCTCAGTATTTTAAAGGGATATTACGGCGTAAAATTAATTACGCCGCCCCCGAGAGATGAATGTTGCTGATCACTTGCTTCTCTAGTTATAACAACTTTAGTAACGACCGCACGATAGCAATACACAGCGGTCTGAGGAGCCATAAACAAACCTCAACCAAAAAAGCCACTCTATAGCCACAAATAATGCTCAGAACAGCATCTAACTTCATCAGCAGTACATATAGGGTCCTAGCCATAGTACTAGCCACCAAACATCTTTTTAGCTTTGCCTTTTCTTTAGCAAAGAGACTAAACACAACTCACCTACTCTCTTCCAGCAGCCGCTTGTTTGTAGCGAGACCTCAGGCCAGTCCATTACAGACTGCAGCGGGGTGACACAGCTCAAGGAAGAACATTTATGATCATTTCTTTATCATTTCTTTGAAGTAATAATCATCATATTAATCATTTTGCACTGCAGACGCGGTACGTCTTCTGCCTTAGTGTCTTGGTCTGATTGCATTTCCATGAAGAAATTATCAGAAATGTTCTTCCTTGAGCTGTGTCACCCCGCTGTAGTCCTTAATAAACTGGCCTGAGGTCTCTACAAACAAGCAGCTGCTGGAAGAGAGTAGGTGAGTTGTTTTTAGTCTCTATGCTAAAGAAATTAGGCAAAGCTAAAAAGATGTTTGGTGGCTAGTGCTATGGTTCGGACCCCATATGTACTGTTGATGTAGTTAGGTGCTTGGGTGCCTTTTTAGTTTAGCGTGTGGCTCTCTGCACTGCTATCGTGCGGTCGTTACTAAAGTTGATCTAACTAGAGAAGCAAGCGGTCGGCAACATTCATCTCTCGATGGGGTGTCTAACTCAGTGTTACGGTGTGTTTGACCATAACTTAATTTTATGTTGGAATATCCCTTTAATTGATACAAGAGTCTCTGAAGCTGCTCTCATGTGTAAAAATACAGCACATCATTGTTGATTCCAAAATAAGAACGCTTGTTTAAAGTCAGTGCACTGGGTTTAGTCTCTGGTGTTGATGCTAGTGCCTTTGGGTTAAACAAGTCTTTGTAGATCAAATGTGTCCACATCAGTGTAAAAATTCCTGCCTTCTGGCCTAAAATGTTTCTTGTTTGTGTTGTCTAAACTGTGCGCTGCTCAGGCAGCTGGTGAATACCATTAAAACACTGTCACCATTGTCCCCGTGTGCTTCATCAAATGGGTGTAGCTGCCTCCGTTTGCACTTTGTGCACAATACCAGGAAAAAATACCAACCTGGGCTTTAAACTGACTCCACATTTTGAATGAAGGGCCGCTGAAGTTCCCATGACCAGCATCGTGTCAGGTTGCCTCTTATCAGCCGTCCAATCAGGAGCCAGTAAGTGCCTGAAAAGGCGTTTCTTTTCCCATGTTTGTCGATGTGAGGGACCCTTTCGGGGGGGAGGAAGTTTGAAGACGAGCCGCGGGCAACAGGAGACCCTCACATCTCCTCTCAGCTCGGTTTACAACCACCAGTTCCCCCCTGTTCGTTATTCGTGGATGAGTTGGACTCTGCTCAGATAGTTTTCAGTCAAAGTGAAAGATTTAACCTCCTGCCTGTGGACTTAAAGCTGCAGTCAAAGAACCGAACTACCGCCCGGGTTGCTTACATTTCAAGCGGGCACCCGTGCATCCTTTCCGGGAAGAGTTTCGCAGTTCGCACCGTGGGACTTCGCAACAAAAGAGAAAGTTGAGAAACCACAACCTGGAAGCGTTTTCTTTCGCAATCCACCTTTGCTCGCTGGAGTTTTGTAACTGTTTTTGCTAGAAATGGTCGGCAGGTTAAACTTGCCAAATGTGTGTGAAGGAGACCCGCTGGATATGAGCTGCAGGAGCGACCGAGGACTCGACAGCCCGGACTCGGGGTTACCTCCGAGTCCAAGCCCCAGCGGCTGGCTGCTGCCCGTGTGTGCGGAGAAAGCCGTGAGCCCGGTGTCTGAGGACGAGGGACGAGTCTCCCTGGTAGGTGACCAAATATCTGCTGAATAAAAACGGAGGCCAAAGTTTTTATTATAAATGCACTTGAATGTTTGATATTAAAATTTGAGAGTACTTGAAATTATACTCTCATGTTTTTCATTGGGGGTGAGATGCATCACAGCACATGTTGCTACTGATGTCCCAAATCTTGTCTTGACTCCCTGTGAGCCTTTTTAATGCCATAATTGAAACACTTGTAAAAAGCTTGTGGCATCCCTGCAAGAACCTGCTGAGTTTCTGTCCAGCTGAGGAAAGTGGGTCACTGGAGCACTGAGCACCAGCCAACTACAGTACTGGCTTCTTGTGTTGTTGACTGTGGGGCTGCTTGTGTCTTTGCAGGATCCAGTTTTACCTACAGGACCTTTCCAGCAGCTTCAGCCGTTGTCCTTTGGGGAAGGTATAGCACTTGATCCGTTACCACCAAAGGAAGTGAGGTGAGTTGGATTTGACTTGACTGGTTTTGTGTGGCCTTTGATTTGTTGTAGGAGTGCAGAGATGCAGACTAGCTCTATCTATGTCTGCACTTGAGCACACAGGAGGACATGGACAGAACCTTTTAATATTATGCAGAATAATTGTCTTGCTCTATCTGATTATCATCAGGATTTGCACAATACCTGTTTTGCAACCTCCACCCTGAAAGAAGCTGATGCACAGTTTGAGCATCATCAGACCTTTCTTATTTGTTGAGATAAATTAGGGCTAGGCGATAAAATGATAATGATATATTTTGAAAATTAATTTCCTTCAATATCAACATAAAAAAATGGTCAATATGCTTTTCGATAGTCTGCATTCTGCCATGTTTTGGTAGACAATTCGAATAACCAATGAAAAGGGGAGTTGCTCCAAGTCCGCTTCACAATGAACCAATCGTGTTGAATTAGAACCAAGTAGCAAACAACTGTGTAGTAGTAGGCTGTAGCTACACGCAACCATAGCATTTAAACACGTGAAGCCGACAGCACTACCAAACCCGAGCGGAGAGGAAAGCCCATGGTTAGACCGCTTTCTCTAGTGCAACGCCTCACGACAAAACGTCAAAGAGACACAAAGACCTCACAGATGCAGTAGCTTATTGTATTGCAAAAGACATGCTACCAATAAGCACTGTTAAATTTCATTTTTTATATCGTGATATATATCGAAATTAACTGATATTGACAAAAACTTATCATGATAAACTTTTTCCCATATCGCCCAGCCCTAAGATGAATTCAAAGCCTTTGTAACAGACTAGTCCCGTTCAAAATAAAACCTTTAAACCTGTACACTTTGACTTCACCCTCTCTTTAGATACACCTCATCCGTGCGCTACGACTCAGACCACCACTTCATCCAGAATGTGGACTTGCAGCCTACAGGTCTTGGTCTTGAGCAGTGCAGACAGACCATCATTGCTGTGCCAAACAGCACCTGGCGGCACTACAAGACGCAAGTGGAGCTGCAGCCTCGCCATCGGCCGCAGCACTACAAAAGCACCACCATCGTCTACCCCAAGAAAACCAGCACCATGTATACTACAGAGCTGAGCTACGACTGCAACAGGGTATCCAGACGGTTCCTCTCGAGCGTGGAGCTGGAGGTTGCAGGCCGGAGAGCAATATCTCAGTGAGGGCGGAGGAAGGATGTGGCCAAGGTTATTCCCATGACCTTTTTATACTGTAGCTCCACCACGGCTGGCTGCCACTCACCTGCTGTGTTGTCCTTTTACAGTTGTGTAGCCTCTAATCTGTACAGGAAGTACATGTTCTGTGATGTCACATGTATCAGACATGAGAAGACATTGACAAAGTCGGTGAAATTCTTAGTCCGTCTTTTTCTTGACATGTTCACGTCTGCCAGAGGATGATCTTTCAGGATATCTCACAAGACGCTTCACTTTGCAGCTTGTCGGTCCTCAGAGGTGTGCTGACATTAAGTAAGCTTTTATCGACTCCTGAGCTGACTCATTTGGACAGAGATAAGGAGAATATTTATTGCCCACAGCAAAGTCATCTTTTAGTGTCATATCACGTTTGTCAAGTTTGAAGAGTGGTTGGTTTTGAATTTTATCAATGAAGCCTTCTTTAGTTCAGCGAGTATATTCATGATCGCAAAACGAGTGCTTTGAATTCCGCTTACTTATAATACAGTTCACATCAACTAGTGTATAAGAGAAAATAAAGGTGATCACATGCGGTGCTGGAGTGTACATGCTGATGTCCACACACTGTGCTCTTGATGTGGTGAAATACTTACACGTGTTTGTTCCTCCACAGGGTATTTGTATTTCAGCGATATTAGCTTAAGCTGAGCTGTCTTGAAAATTAGTCATTTTCAAGGCTGGATTGCAAAACAACATACATTAAGAAGGTAGATTAAGAAGTTTATCTGTTCAGTGTGATGCAAGGAGCGAACCGTTAAAGAAGTTAGAATGTTTTGTGTGGGCTAGTGTTGTTTTTATGAAATAGTGGGTAGCATCTGTGTTAACAGTCACTGCCTTTCTTTGGCTGACTTGGAATGAAATTGTATTTATTGTGTTGAACTTGTTCAAAATTTTATGAAATGATAAACGGGTTTCTCCACAGCCACGGCAAGAAATTTTTTAAGATGCTTTTTGTGCCTCATTATGTATCTATGGTTGCCTCTTTTTATATTAATCTCTTTATTGAGTGCCATTTTGAGATAGAGTCTTCTTAAGTCCAACGTTTGTGTATTTTAGAAGGAGTTAATCCTGGTCACTTTTGAAAAGATGGTAATAAATGCATTCTGAAACTAATTTATAAGTGAACATATCATTTATTATTGCCTGACTGAGTTAAAACACTTAATTCAGACTGATCAACACCCCATAGCAACAGGTCTTTCTCACGGTGAAGACACATCACATCAGTCTGCAAAAAGGCGTCTACCACATCTGCTGATTAACAGTTTAGTTAGTTTGTGTTTGTATCAAAACTGCTGAACAATGTGGCAAAAAGTTGACAAGACCCCACCACAGCCTGGCTATGCTACTTATCAGGTGGACTTTCTGTTAGGATCTGACTTTGGCATTATACATCATTTCCCTCATAGCAAATTTTGTAACCCAAAACCATGGCTATGCCAGTGTATCAACACTGGAAAAAAATCCACTCCACCTGCTGCTGGTATGATTGACATGTTATCAACTTAGATGACTAAAAGTACTTTCATTCAGTCCACGTAGGCACATAGCATAACACAGAGTATGAAGCAGCATGAGTGAAGGTGAAGTACCCTTTTTGACCCATAAATTAAGACTATTACACTCATGCTGCTTTAGTGCCCTCCTGTGGACAGGAATGCTACATACAACAGGAAACTTTATTTTAGTTCATCAGATACAGATTTGCATAGCATTATATATTTTTAAAAAGTATAGTATGGATAAAATTCAACTTTGCAAATGTCAATATTACACCATGCAAGATAAATGCATAATACATGTAGATCATATTCCCTCCTTGACAGCAGCTGTCAATAAAAAAGGCATTTTTTTTTAAAGAGGAATCCCTGAAGCTCTTGCAAATGACTTCAGTTCCATCTTTCAGTAAATATATTTTAAAAGGTCTTTTTTTTAAGTAAATCAGGTAGGCTATTTATGTCAAAAAAAAAAAAAAGTTTTCCCTAATATGTCTTATACATGTATGAAAACACGCAGGGTGTATGTAATTTTGGCTTCAAATTCAAAATTAAACAGAAAATGTATCCTTCTTTTTCAGAAGCTAGCAAAGCAAAAGTTTCTGTATCTCCTTTAATGTGAAAGGAGCCTACTTTAGGACAACTGAGACCTAGATTAAAAATGAATGGTGTTATAATAATAACTTTATTTTTATAGCACTTTTAAAAACAGAACTTTACAAAGTGCTTTGACAAACAGTCATAAAGCACAGAATATCAGCACATGGAAATAAAAACAAATAAAAACAAAAGCTCAGTTAAAAACAAGGCCTCTGAATTGAAGGCCAATGTCATTTGTCATAAGAAACCCAGACTATACAAGAACCCAACAACATAAAATGAGATCATGAGGACCAAAATAAAATCATAAAATAGGTAAGACAAAGAAATGTAATAAAAAAAGGGGGGAAGAAAGTAGGAATCAGTATAGTAAATATAAAAGTAGGATATTAATAATGATAATAAAATCATAATAAGATGATAATGATGGTAATAGTAATGATAAAATGGAATGACAAAAATGAGCAGGAAAAAAAGAATAAAATCAGTTAAAGGCCTAAAAGGTAAAATGAGAAAAGAAAACAAAGGCTTAAAGGACAGTAAGTCGAAATAAGATAAAGGTAAAAGAGATAAAAGAAAACAGGGAAAAAAGAAAAAAGACGGCATCACATAAAAGCAAGTCTGTAAAAGTCCGTTTTTAAATGATCGATATTTAGTAATAGGTTGGAGAGCTATAATTTCCTACAGAACCTGAAGGCAGCATTGCACAGTGAGGCTGTTGTGTAGATTTATTGCAGCTGTAGATAATACACTTTTTAAATTAAAGAGATGAATTTCCTTACGCCACCCTAAAATAACAGTAAAAGAGGTTGTAAGTAAATAAAATAAAATAAAATAAAATATAAATACAAAAGCACGTACTTTGCGTCGTGTGACGTATGGGTTCAGAGTTTAAAGACACGCCCACTTTCCCCGCGTGGTGAACTGGATCTAAAGTGTTGTTTTCGAAGTGAACTAAGAGGTAAATATGCACTCTTGTGCGGCAGCGTGGGAGTTCATGGTGTAAACTGAGTTTGTTTCCCCCGTGGAGTAAATGAATGTAAGCAGACGACAGAAGCTGCTCTCCTCTAACTCGTCTCCACTCTCGGACATTGAGTGGGTTACCTTGTTGTGCTAGCTGTAAGGATCTGTAAGGATGAAGACTTCTAACAGCAGCAGCGGGATAATGGACATGTTTGAAAAGGGCAAAGTCCTGAAAATATGTGCCCCAATGGTTCGATATTCAAAGTAAGTGAAAATGTTTCTTTCTTTCTAGTACTTCACGAGTGTCTATCAAATTATTCTTAATTACCCTGAATAAGAAACGTGCCCTGCACCGAGTAGCCATAACATTGAAGTGTTCATAATGTTCTGGCTGGTTGATGTAAAGTGAAATCATCTGTTCATTTGAGTTTTCTACCTCTGTTACAGGCTTGCATTCAGGTCCTTAGTGAGAAAGTATGACTGTGACATTTGCTTCACACCGATGATTGTTGCTGCAGATTTCCTGCGATCTGTCAAAGCCAGAGACAGTGAATTCACCACCAATGAGAGTGAGTAACTACATCCCAACATACACTGAAATCACTGAGTAAGGGAGAGTTGGATAAGATGAGCCATTTTTCATATTTCAGATCACAACATCAAGCCAATCATAGTTTTGTCTCTAACTAGTGTATCTGCATATATTTTAAGATGTTGTGCATCCCTGAAAATCAACAGAATGAGTGTAACTGTCTTGATAATATAGCATGCCAAAAAAGTGGTCTCCTGTGGTCAACTTACCCCGCATAAGTAACAATTAGGGCCCGACCGATTTACCGGCGAGCCAATTAAATCGGCCAATTTTGGCCCGGTTGAGAGTTATTGGTAATCGGCCAATTTTTGCCAATATTTTCAGAAATAAAATATGGAGAATAAGATTCAGTTTCACTTCAAAAATGTTCTGCCATTTGAAAAGTTCCCCAACTTATCCTGTAGATGGCGCAGCAGCCTCATGAAAATCTTCATCCACTAACTACCTCACAGCACAGCAGAGCGACAACTGAAAATGCTTTTCTGGTCTGAGTTTGATTAGTTGGTCTTAGAAATAAAATTCTAACCCCTTCACTCATGTGCTTCTAACCTTCACAGACTCCATGAATTAATCTCCTAAATATTTGGTCACATGATCAATTTCTTTTACCATTTCCAAGCAACAGGAGGTGGCTCAACTTACCCAACTCTCCCCTACTGTCACATGTCCCACACCACCACTTTCTAATGCATGGCATAAACAGATCAGTGTTTATATTACATGGTATGCCAGTAGAAAAATGATGACACTTATAACACTTTTGTGTGTCCATCTGTCCTGCCCAGATGACAGGCCCCTGATTGTGCAGTTTGCTGCCCATGATGCCCAGTCTCTGGCTGACGCAGCCTGTGTGGTGGCGCCTTTCTCGGATGGTGTTGACCTCAACTGTGGCTGTCCTCAAAGGTGCAACAACTACTATATAGTAGTCCCTGGTGCATTTTGGCTTCTAGCCATTTAAAGAACTTTGTTATTTCAGGCCTTTCCGTATCAGGATTGAAACCTTTATTTTTAATGCATTTTAATTTCTAATGAAAAGTAATGAATTTGCTCTGTTACTATGTTTTCAGGTGGGCTATGTCAGCCGGGTATGGTGCATGCCTCATCAACAAACCTGAACTTGTGAAAGACATGGTCAGAACGGTCAGGAACCAAGTAGATAATCCAAACTATACAGCATCCATCAAAATAAGGTAAAAACCAGACTCAGTTAATATAATGCTATGACTAAACAAATCAACTTATGAGGTTCAATATCAGCTGGCATTAGCGTGTTGTGAGAATGTTGTACAATCACATGGACAAAGTGTATGTATGTATGATTTGTATGATGTCAGAACAGGAGAAAAAAAAAACACAGAAATTTTTACTTCTACCACAGAATTCACAAGGACCTGAGACAGACTGTGGATCTGTGCCAGAAGGCTGAATCAGCTGGTGTGTCTTGGATTACAGTTCATGGGCGAACAGCAGAAGAACGCCACCAGCCGGTCCATTATGATGCCATAAAGACAATCAAAGACAGTGTTTCCATTCCTGTTATTGCCAATGGAGACATCAAATATCTCCGCGATGTGGAGTCTGTTCACCAGCTTACTGGTGTTGATGGTAAGATTCTTTGCACTTTTAAATAAGTCTATTCACTAAAACAGACAAATGCATAAATCAAACTGTATTTCATTTGGCGTTTCTATGGATTTGCTTTTCAGGTGTGATGGCTGCGCGGGGGCTGCTCGCTAACCCTGCCATGTTTGCTGGCTATGATGACACTCCTCTGGAGTGTATATGGGACTGGGTGGACATAGCTGTAGCGCAGGGAACTCCATTCACCTGCTTTCACCACCATTTAATCTACATGCTGGAGAGAGTTAGCTCCCAGCCTGAGAGAAAGATGTTCAACTCTCTGTCCAGTACCTCAGCTGTAATAGATTACCTCAAAAACACGTACGGGTCAGTGCATGAACTTTGAACATGATGGGAATGTGTTATTTTTGGTTTTTAACTTCTGTTTTTTTATATTATTATTTTTATGCCAAATAAATGTGGTTATTTAGCTGTACCTCTCTTGCCCGTTTCAGTGGTCATTTTTCTGATTAAACAGAAGATCCAGTACATACATTATAGATGTATGTCTAAAACTGCTCTGGGTACATGTAAATGCTTGTAACTCCTCAAATCACAAGGGTTGATGAGGTTGGTACATTTATTACCTTCCCAGTGAAAACTTATTGTTTTCTCAAAACAATTTCAATTGTCATAAAAAAAATGAATGACAGAGCTTCCAAGACTGTTACGCTTGATTTGTATTTCATCCTTTTTTATCTTGCTGTTTGAAAAGCAGATAAAACAAATCTGATACAAGTGTAAAGAAACATTTAATGAGCATCATGCTTTCTGAAGAGCACTAAACTGGAACTCTTGAGGCAGAGGTTGCAGATCCTGGCAGAGCAGAATTTTAAAGTCCAGTGTCTAGAAAGGAGAGTGAAAGAGGAAACAAACAGGAAACTCCTGTGTGTCCATGTGGCACAAAGGATAAGAAGACTGACTGGGACTCCTGAGGTTGTGGGTTTGAGCCTTACTTTACCCAGGTTGAGGTGAATTTTAAAGTCTAGAGTCTAGAAAGTCATGGGTTCGAATCTTATCCAGGACAAATTTTAAAATCCAGGAGCCAAAGTACCAACAGAAATGGGTGTGGAGCTCATACCCAAGTGTGAATGGTATCTGGTGGCACAGTGCGGCATGTAACTGACACCCAAATGCGAGTCAGGTGGGCGGCCCTGGTTTGATACCCGCTTGGCACAAAGGAGATCCTGAAGCAAATACTGGGGAACCAGGCCTGGGGGTGGGGGTTCTTGTAACTTACAATTTTAGTGCATTATAATTATTGCTGAGAATTTTGAGAGCTCTCTGTCTCTCTGTTAAGGGCATAGACTGTGAAGAAGATGATTGATAGCTATCCACTACAGAAGCAGAGAAACTTTTCCCCACTTCTAAGGTGGATAGCTGTCAGTCATCTTCTTCACAGTCTATGCTCTCTACAGAGGGAGCAACACTGCCGCCAAGTGGATGGGAGATCAACTCTCATCAACCTTATCAACTAAAAAGAAAATGTGTTCTGAGAGATTTCAGTGTTGTTGGAACAAGAACGATAAGCAAACGATATTTGTCTTATCCAATCCCCCATAAAGCAAAAGAGGTCACATTTAAAATACTAAATAACATTTATCCATCAAACCACTTCCTACATAGAAGATAATATGTGTGGATTTTGTGTACACTTTTGAACATTATGTCAAAACTGGTTGTTATCTAAACAAATTATTTTGCCCCCATTAAACTGGATGTCGATCAAGATTGGACTACAGTTAAAGGAAAAGAACTAGGACTTCATGGTGAACATTTTAATTACACTAGGAAAACATTTCATTCATAGATGTGAATACCTCAAGATGAAGCCTCACTTCAATGGATGGATAAACGAACTCAGAATATACAGAAAAATCTTTGAACTACATGAAAAACAAAAATATCCTAAAACTGTCTTCTTTACTCAACTTATTTACTATCCTAGAATAAGAACCCACATTCTCTCAACTCACATTCTCTTTTTTTTTTTACGTTTTTTTTTTTTAAAAGCTGGTTCAACAGTTTAAACTTTAAGTATCACCAATGTGCCTTAATGTTTGTATTTTGACAACTAATAAAACGTTTCCAAAAAAAAAAAAATAGTGCTTTTGTGACCAGTTGGACCACTACTTTTATTTTTAAAGGCCAGGACCGGAAATTAGTGATGGGCACCGCAGTTCTTTTAGATGAACTGAATATCTAGAATCAGTTCACTAAAATGATTCGTTCAAGAGATCAGTTCACCAAATCACTGAATCATTAAGCGCTTGGCGGGAGGAGCCTGCGATTCCGACCTCCTGAACTGATACACAGCTGAACAGTTCTGGATTCAGTTCAGTTCATAGCTTCTGGGACCGGGAGATGAGAGTGTTTGGCTGTGTTGCTTGAACAGGTTTGTAGAAATGAACTTGTTTATAAGTCATGATGTTTTGCAAACTGCTGCTGCAGGTTTTATGCACTACCTTGTTATATGCTGTGTCCTATTGTATGAAAGTTGTTGTGGTAGCAATTTAGCAGTAAAAGAAGGATAGTTTTGTCCAACATAAATGATTCCAGAGAGTGTAGTTCATTGATGATTCGTTTACCAAGTGATTCAGGCGTCGGTGCATGCGGTCCCTCATTTGCCGGCTGCTCGCCTGGCAATGCTGTGTGCTACAGCATCTGCGCTTCTGAGAGCTCAACTGGAGTGAAAAACGAACGGTTCAGTACGTTCACTTAAAAGATTTGGTTCTTTTGAACGAATCGTTCGCGAAAGACACAACACTACCGGAAATCAGGGCAAGATACCAGAAGCGGAAGAAAGTGGTATCAGAAGAAGGAAGACAGGCGGAAAAACTTCTCTGTGAAAGTCAGCCGAAAGTGTCTTTTAGCCATAGTTTTCCCTTTTTATCGGTAAGCTCTGACTTTTTTCTTAACTTAAATGTAACACCACGTACTTAACTCGGGAAAATGTTTTAGTAGATAGTTTTATACCTTTCTAAAAAGGTGAACTTTAGGTCGGTTATCGTCGTTTATGTGTATGACTGGCCTTACGATTTTAAACAAGTTACTTTAAAAGAAAAAAAATAATACATTTTTAAGCGTATGTTAATGGTATTAGCCTCTCAAATATTGCATGTGGCGGCGTTGTATTAAAGGAGGAAGTTAGGATAACATCTTAGTGAGTAAACGCTGAGGTATGTGAACACACTAAGGAGCTTGTTTTTTCAACAAAAGCTGTATTGTTGTTGATGTTGAAAAAGCCAAACCTCCCTCACTTCATAGTTTTAAGCCAGTGGACTGGTTAGCAGCCAGGTCCTACCTGTTCCTGCATTAACAGCTTTCATGTGGATTTCTGTGGACAGGGTTTTCTTCAGGACCATTTGGACCAAGGATGACTCTGCAGTGGACTGCTGTAGCCCTCTTCCTCTATGCAGAGATTGGGGTTCTTGTCATTCTCTGTATCCCCTTCATTTCAGCCAAGAGGTCAGTATCATTGATAACATGCATGTGTTTGATTTATTAGATTATAACTTTAACAAATCAAAGAGAAAGAGGTGTTCATCAGTGTTATGTGGTCTTAAACAGAGACGTGATTGTGTGTCTGTTTTTGCAGATGGCAGAAAATTTTCAACCTGAGGATTTGGGCCTTTATGTCAGGCTTTTGGAACAAAGTCTTTCTCACAATGATCATTGTACTAATCGTGCTCTTCCTTGGTAAGTGAAATATCAGGCATGTGAGGTTAAAACCTCGTAGATACAATGGGTAATAAGTCTCAGATGTGGTTTTTACCAATTTAAGATCATTAGATCCTTTAAGGGAATAAGATCAAATGTTGGTTTAATACTTTTCATACCTACTAAGTGACCTGCAACCTGCCAGAGGAGATAAGGCACGCAGAGACGGTCACTTCTTTTAAGTCAAATCTAAAAACTCACTTTTACAGACTTGCTTTTATGTGATGCCGTCTTTTATCTTTTATTTTTTATCTTTTATCTTTTACGGTCATCTTATATCTCTTTTACCCCTATCTTGATTTGGCTTTACTGTCCTTTTGGCTTTCGTTATACTTATACTCTTCTCTTAATGAACCTTTTAGGCCTTTTATTGTTTGTTTTTTTTGTTTGTTTGTTTTTTTTTCTTGCTCATTTCTTTTGTTCTTTTTTATCATTACTATTATTATCAGTATTACTTGTTATTATTTTATTATCATTATTGATTTTGTCTTTTATTTTTACTACCCTGTTTTCCACTTTCAACCCTCCTTTTAATTGCATTTTCCTTTTTTCTTCACTATTTTATGTTTTTATTTTGGTCCACATGGTCTCATTTTATGTTTCATGGTTCTTGTATTATCTGGCTTCCTAATGACATATGAAAATGGCCTTCGATTCTGTTTTAACTGAACTATTATCATTATCATTATTATTATCATTGTTTTATTATTATTAATATTACTATTATTATTATTATTATTAATATTACTACTATTATTATTATTATTACTACTACTACTAATATTATTATTATTATTATTATTATTATAACTACTACTAAGTGTTTACATCCTTAAATCGTAGATGCTGTGCGTGAAGTGAGGAAATATTCAGGTAAAGAAGTTGCCGCAAATGCGAAGCTTCAACCCAACATGTACGATCACCTTCACATGAAGCTGTTTCGAGCCCAGAGGAATCTCTACATCTCTGGCTTCGCTGTCTTCCTTTGGCTGTGAGTATTTGTTCTCTCAAAGTGATGCGCAGAAACCTCATGCTCTTCCACGTTAACTGAGATTTATCTGTCTTTTTGCAGGGTCATGAAGCGAGTGATCACCTTGATTAATCAGCTGGCGACAGTGTCTCTAAATACGGAAGCTCTGCAGGGTCAGGCTGACAGTGCCAACCAGGCTGCTAATAAATACATGGAGGACAATGAGATGCTCAAACAGGTAGGCACAACATTGCCTAAAATCAAGTAGTTAAGATATTCTTGCAGATCTGGACTGTTCTCTTGTATAATTTAGAGAAATGTAACATAAATCTAACATAAAACTTACAAACATCTTTAACTCCATTTCCTTGATCAAAATACAATCAAACTGTGCTGCGCTACAATGTTGTTTCCGTCAGCTTTGCTTATTTACATTCATGTAAATGAGCACTTTGGCAGCTGACACTAGCAGGAGCTACGCATAACCGGCTTTTTGGGTGTAGTAGTTGAAGGGAAGCAGATGTAACTGACTGATAAATGGTTGATAATGTATTTTTTGATGCCCCTGGTAAGTAAAAACTTCAATATGAGGTTTAACACAGTTTGAGTGGAGGCTGCGGCCCGTCAATTTTTGTACAACAGCCTCTAAATGTGATCAATGACACTTGTCACTAGAGCTTTATGTCACTAACAGTCATTTATTATCTGTATTGTTGCAGGCACTGATGGAAGGGAAGGGGGATAAGGCGACAGCAGAGGGTATGGAGCTGCTGAGGAAAGAAGTGGAGAAACTGAGGAAGGAACTGAAGGCCTCAGAAGATGGTAAGCATCCTTTAGCAGAGACACACGCCCAGTTAATTATTGTGTTGGTTGTAGTTTAAGTCCATGTTAAGTGCTGATGTGCATCTGCTTCCTACTCAGCCCTGAAGAGCTCGGAGTCAGAGGGGGACGTGATGAAGAAGCAAATGGACGGCCTCACCAGAGAGTACGACAGACTGTTGAAAGAGCATCAGGAACTGCAGGTGAATGAAACTTTGAAAACAAAGGCAATAAATCTGAATCATGTCATGTCAAACGACACTGACTTTTCCTTTTCTTCTTCTTTCTCTTTTCAGAACCGTGAAGATAGTGGAAACAAAAAGGAGGATTAGTTTAGCACAAAATCCTCCTCAAGCTTAAAGCGTTTACACACAACTCACGAGAGCCACTGCACCCTGTGCTTTACCGTCATGAAACATTTTGTGTAACAGTGCACGCCACATAACCAGGACTGGGTCCTCTGAGGAAGACGATGGTAACGGTTTTTAAATGAACAGACATCTGATGGTGTTTCGTTATTGCTTGGCACAATTTTTCAAGGGGATTGCTTTTGAATACAGTATTCTCTCTGGTTCAGAGTAAATGAAGGTGACTGGAGGGAAAAACAGCGGATCCAAGTGTGATCTCACAGCACTTTTAGAATATTTGCGGGTGGGTTTTTTATAGTTTAGGGCATTTGTCCAGTGCACAGTGTGGAGTGCTGAGTTATGAATGTTTTTTGGTCCCACTGTTTTGTTTTTCTATGAATGTATGTTGCGGCGAAACCTGCAAACCCAGTTCCAACTTTAAAGCAGCATGTAAATTCAGTCTGTGCGTAAAGGGCTGTGCAGAGGTACTTTGCATGCGCAGTTGCGCTCAGACTCATGCTCTTCATGTTTTTGTTGAGTCCAGCTGATGTGGGAATGTGGATGTCTTTATTTTAACCAAAGTAGTGATGGTAAGAAGTGCAGTTTTTTGGTATTTGATGTTTTCAATGGACCTAAAATTTGTAGGGATCAATCACATTTAGTCTTAATCATTTTTAAAAACTTTGGGTTAATGGTAGGAGGTAAATTTGGTCATGTGAGTGTTTCTAAGCGGAGACAGTTCCACGTCGTCGTGTATTTGCTGCACTGTGTGATTTAAGCATTTATTTTTGGGTTATTGTTGGAGATAAGCACTATGAAAAGAAGCTGTATAGATTTTTATATTTCCAGATTTGCAAACAGCTGGCAACCTTAAGAGAAAAAAAACACGATTTTATGGGAAGTTACTTTAATGTTCCCCCTTTTTATGACAACTAACTTGGCAATGAAGTTTACTTAAGTTTATTTCCAGTCTTAAAAAAAAAATATATATATCTTCCAGTTTTTCTTCCCACCCAGAAATCACAATGAAGTGCCTTTGAAGTAGATGCTGTATGTTTTTTTCCCAATAAAGATGCATTTGCTATGTTGTGCCTTGTTTTTTAATTAAATCCAAAAATAAAAAAACACATGATTTGATTGGACATTAAATGTTTTATTTTAGTGTTACATTTAAGATATTCTTTGAAGTTTTACAAAAATAATCCAAGAAATGTATTTACATTCTGATTTCTTTAATGCAAGTAAATGCCTTTCTGTGATAATGACTGCTATCCGATGCATCTCTTGCTGCGCCTCTCTGAGTTGACGTGTGGCGCTGTTTGCCTGAAACTGAACCTGAGCTCAACAGAGGACACAGTCACTGCAAACTTACCATTTTCCAAATGGCACATATCCACATGGAAATAAACTCATAGAAAACAATATATGCATGTACAAAGACAATAGGATAATTTTTGAAAATAATAGCCTTGAAATACAGCATCTAGTCGATTTCACTCTGACAAGTTAATTTGACAGATGTCAAATTGATGGGTGTAATTTAGTGATGGAAATATTCATTGCAGAAAGTGATTGTTAAACCTGAGAATAGATTGAGATGTTTCTGTTCATGGGTTTTGGCACAGGAGTTCAGAAACAGTAAAAACCCCTAAAAACAGACTGACTAGTGCAACAAAGCTTTTAGACTAGGACAACATAGACTATTAATTCCTCGAAAACTTTGCACTTCAAGCCACACCACACGGCAACCGCCAAAGACAAGAGCAAGCACTTACCTTTTCTAACTGGCCATCTAATATCAGAACCTGACGAGGTGCAGTGACTAAATTACAGCGAGTTCTGTCGTGTCTGTCTCAACAGTGTCTTCACAAATATATTCTGACAATTCATGATATTTCGTCTTCTTACTACCAAACTTAAATATAAGTCAATGATAGGGGTTTGAAACCATATGAATATGCTTCCTCTGCCACCTGGTGGACAGCAAATGGTGTGAAAGTCCTAGCAGTGTACACCAGACAAAAGTCCACCCACAGTCAAAATGAACACTTAGCGAACAGGTTCACATCCAAAAAGCACTCATCATAAGTTGCGACACAGTCAAACATGACTTAGGGCTTGAGAAAAGATGAAAAGAAAATCAGAAATCTGAATCTGAATGCATCTAAATGTCTGTACAGGCTTACATTCCTTTTGGAATAGAGAGTAAAATGAACTAGTTTTCAGATACATGTAAAATATGCTTGAGAATTGCTGTCTTGTCTCAGCAACATGAATGACACACATGATTTAGAGGTAACTGTTGAGTGTATGAGGCACAGAAGTCAAATCAAAAACTGCAAAGCCCTCTAAAATCTACCAAAAGTTTATGCTCCGTCATACTTCCACATATTTTCACTTTCAAAAACTCCCCCAGGAAAAAAAAAAAAGAAACATGTCTGTTTGTTTCTCTTCAAAACGAAGTGCTGCCTCTGTTTAAGAGATCAAATCTCCTCTGAGATCTTTAAAGGAAACCAATAAACTCAAAGCTCCTGCGAGGGGCTTTGAGTTTTTGTGAAATGTGACGTTTCCTGTGAGCCAGTTTTTTTAACCTTCCCCCATACATGTGGAAAAATTTTGTAAAAAAAAACCTCTACCTGCTCTCTGTAAACGGTAAAATTTAAAACCAATTGGTAACCTTTGCCACAGAAGATGCCAAAAAACGTTTTTTGGTAATGTCCTTTAAACCAATGGTTCTCAACTGGTGGGTCCCAACCCAAAAGTGGGTCGCGGACATGTTCTGGATGGGTTGCGAACAGCCGGTCAAAAAGTAAAAATTTAATGTGCATCTGATGTTTGACATGTCTTTTATTTTGAAAAATAGCTTATTTTGAAAGGCATGGGTTACGTCATGGTCCTCCAAGGTTTCTTATAAGTGTGGCCTGAATGCTGTAAAAATACTTTTCTTTTTTTTTTGGTCTTTATTTTGTGCAATGTGATATTTATTCACTTTTGTCCATGCTGTTATATGGTCCTCCTCAGGTTCTTCTGAATATGCTCTGAATGCAGAGATGCATTACAAGTCAAATTTTTCATTTTGCTGGTCTCCATTTTGTGCAATTTGATATTTGATATTTTCTGTAAATGCAACTTTGGTAGTTGTCGTCCTCTGTTCATGTGCTCTGAAATGCACTTTACTCAATAAAATGGGTGTATTTATGTTAAATATTTGAGTCTTCAAAATTATATATTTTTTAAGAAATAAATTTGCTTACTTTGAATTATATAAAAGTGGGTCAAAACTTAAGGACCATGGGAAAATGTGGGTCCCAGAGTGAGACCAGTTGAGAACCACTGCTCTAAACCACTTCTATTGAAAGCTACCCCACCGCAACTGTTTACCATAATAAAAAAAATGACTGTAAATACATCAAAGTCTCGCTTATGGGCTTGTTTGCTTTTGTAAAAGAGACAGCAGAATTCATTTCAGTCTGTTTTATAACCACCTGAAAATTCCTTATAGGATCTTTTTTTTTTCAAAGAGGCAGTTGAAGCTGTTTTTCTAAAACTTTTTGTAAGTTCACAACCTCCCCTCCCCAGACGTCTTGTGCCACCAAGGAAAAAAAAATATTGTTATATTTCTTTACAAGAAGAAAAACAGCATTTACATTCAAGAAATATTTCAGTTGTATCAAATTTGTCAAATTCACAAAGCTTTAAAAGGTCCAGGAGTACAAATATAGAATTTATGCTCTATATGAGATAATCAAATACAACATATGATTCCCTGCAAATCTCATTTGTGTGAGTGTGTGTTTATTTGCTGTGTATGCACGTGTGTGTTGTATGCATTTATCAGCAGTTTGTGTGTGTGTATGTGTGAGGCTGTGTGCGCAGGAGACAACGAGAACAAGTTCCGCTGGGTTTCGTCACAGCCGTGTCTCCCTGTCTGTGCTGATGTCTGAGGTTTGTTGTGATTGGTCAGAATTACAAATCACAAATTCCTCCTTCCTGAGCGCCTCCAGCTCCGCCCCGCCGCTGGCCAAAGCTCCGTGGATGCCGTTTATCTCCTCCGTCTTCAGCTGTCGACTGAGCAGAATGAAACCGGGGATGCAGATGATGAAGGAGATGGTTCGCAGGCTCAGAGTCAGACTCAGGTATGCTATCCTAAAAAGAAGACAAAAACCCATTTCAGGCAATGAACTGATCTCTTTGCTTAATCATCATGACTGGAAATAAAAAGGTGGGTCATATAGGTTATAAAAACTGTATTACACTGGGGTTTTTGTGACAGTTGATCCTTTGAATGCAGCTTTTGTGCGAGTCACCACAAAGGCGACTTTTCAACCAAGTAGTGGGGAAGGAGGAAATGCCTTCTAGCTCCTACAATGATAATGTTGTTTCATGTTGCTGGTGTGCATCTGTCCCTTTTATAAAGCTGTATCTTTGGCTCTTTTAAGAAATGCACTGCACTCCTGTAAATGTCCTGACATGGTCCAGAACTTCCAAATGTGGAAGTTCCTCCAACATTGAAAATGTCCCAAACGCTCATGTGAACGACCTGTTTCCAAGAAGCCAGGGACTGAACGTTCTGACATTTAGAGAAATCAGCAGTTCATGTGAAAAGTAGGGATGCAACAAACATCTGCTCGTGATATGAGATTTATCAAAATGTTTGATTCATGATGAGATTTTCTCTGAATTTTTGTGACCCAGTTTTGGTAAAGGCTTTGGCTCATAAACTTGTGTTTCTGTTGCTTTTATTTTTCCCGTTGTATGCATTAGTTCACGTAATTTCCTTGTTAAACAACCATGCTTTTATTCTGAAAGGACTCAAAGTTTCAGGAATAAATGCGAACAGCTAAAAGGTCTAAGAAGAGTTCTGACCTGGCATTTATACAACAGCATTTATGTGCATGTGGGTTATTTCCACGTTGTGTTTTTCAATTTTTTTTTCAACACAAAAGTAAGACTTAGTTTATGATGGCGCTTTTCTAGTCCCCAGTATTCTTGTCACGCTAACAATAAATTTTGAAAGGCACAGACAGAGGTGAAGTCAATTGTTTCTACTTGTATCACTTTGAATTCTTCACTTCTTCACTTTGTGTCTTGTTTTTGTCTTACACTTGTGAGGTTGTCTGAAACTGCACTCTAATAATACCAAAACAAATTCCTAACATGTTTACATGTGATGGCAATAAAGGTCTTCTTCTTCTTCTTCTGGATGAGTTGTACCTGTACGCAGTGGTGTTGTAGATTCTACAGGCTCCTATGCCCCCACACCTCTTCTGACCCCATTTCAGGCATGTGGTGTCAATGATGGCTCCAAAGTAGATGGGCGCTGGGATCCCGGCTGTAAGACCAAAAAAATGTACGTATGTCATACCTGCCAACATTTGGGTTATGAAATCCAGGAGATTTTTGCAGCATGCGCCGGGCGGTTTTGGGGTTACCTTGTATGGTAGATAAGAGCTATTTATGAGAGTATTTGTAATTAAGTTGCTAATCCAAATAAGTCTAAGCAGAAGCTGCACAATTTTTTGTTTTGTTTTGTTTTAACAATAATAAATGTTCATAAAAATTATAATAGCTACAATATGCCCTGAACTTCTTTAGTCCACTAATATCAGTGTTACAGTCCTCATATGTTTTACTTGTTCTCCCATATGAGGCTCTCTGAACATCTGTGCCTGCAATACAGCACTCTTTTATCTGAGGCTGCCCTGAACGCATCACTATGAGACGGTGCAAGACTATCAACATATATACTACATCTCGCGTTTGTTTAAGAGTTGTTTTAAGAGTTCATTTTGCAACAAACACTGCTTAAATATAGTTCACAGCTTAAACCGACCTGTATTGTCCCAAATTGTACAGTAAAAGTGTCAATTTGGTGTCTGTGAGGCTCAGCAGAAACACAAGACAATCTTCAGTTGTCTGGAAACCTGGAAACTTTGTACAAATATAGTGATCCGATTCATGAATGAACGTGGACCATCAAACTACGGGAGATTTCCGGGAGAAAGGACAATACAGGAGAGTCCCGGGAAAAACAGAGGTGTTGGCAGGTATGACGTATATTCATATGCAAATTTAGAGCAGTTGGACTGAAGCCCTGAAATTGTGCGTTTGAGGAATACTTACCAAGGGTACGTGTGGCGAGAGCATGGAAACCCAACGCCAAAGATTTCAGCTGTGGCTTAATGCACCTGCAAGAAAAAAATGAGCACATTGAGAAAATATCAAAACAACGTGGATGAACACACCCATTTTGACTACTTGTGGAAATCCCATACCAAACTGATGCAGCAGTAGCAGGAGTGCATGTATACATAAAAAATAGCACTTTCATTTTGTTTCATGGGATACAAACAAACCCAACACTCTTCCCTGTAACAACCTCCCTCTGATCTTATAGAAAGCATTTCCTCTGGACAATAACACATGAATGGAGACATTGTCGCTGGAATTACATGAAGGGGTTATAATAGGACACAGGGGCTCAGAGTGTAAACCAAGTTCATTTAAGTGGAGCTGAGGAATTCCAAGCGGATCAGCTGATATGGCTTTAGGAGGTCTCACGAGTGTGTGTATGTGTCATGTGTAGGTGAAATTCCTAAACATTCCCTTTAATGAAAAAAAAACAAAGTATATTTCTATATAGAATTATTCCTATATAAACAAAAAATATATATAAAGAGGTAGTTGATGGGAGATTAAAAAGGATCTTGTAGATACTGGAGTCTTCTTAGCCAGCAGAGGATGCTGTGTTGCTAAGGGGTCTATTCGTTCCAGGGGTTACAGGCATGTATACTGGGTGTACTCTAGTGGTAAAACCCTTAAATGCTTGTGAGTCAGTCTAGTATTACACAAATCCAGCCACAAACATCTCATGAAAGCAAGCATGTGCAGCAGCTTGCAGACAAAGATGTGTGCATGCTCTGCAGAGACGCCCCCTAACCTCTGTTGCTGAGCATTTTGTCACTGATCATCTATAGGAAAACTCTGCAACCGGAAGGCCTTGAAATGCATTCACAGCTTCAGCCACTGGCGTTACACTTGAGCTAATTGAGCTAATATGCCAGAGAGAGCTGCTCGGAGCTATGAGTCACATGCATTATTACACTATAAAAGCTCACAACAACACAAAACAGCCATCCTCCTGCTAGCTAACTCGTATAGTAACCCTCACTCTACAAATAATACATTTACCCCACACAAAGAACTACGCCCCTGTCATTCGAAGGTTGCAGCTCTCTTTACATGACTCTTATATGAAAGCACTTACAAGTAATCAGCCAATCGTCTCACACAGACCTTGAGAAAATGAGTAAGTGAGTCAGCTCTGGTAGTCACGACTCTTCTACATTCAGAAAACCAGCGATTATTTTAAGTCACAGAAGGGTAAAATCTGTGTTCTTGGTCTAAACCCTGACAATAACTAACATAAAATCACAAATAACGTGGTCAGTAATGCTTTAAGATTTAAGAAGTTGAAAGTGATCACATCTACAAATAAATGTCTCAATTCTGACTTTTTTGAGTGTTTGTGTTTGTTTGTTCGATTCCTACTAATGGCTGATATTTTCAGCTCCCTTTTTCCGAGTGTCATATTTGAAATTACTTCAACAAAACATGCTTTCAGTAAAAGACTAGAGTGTGAAAAAGAAAAAATCTCCTTTCCTCATTAGTGACTCAACAACTTCACTCTGACCTCATTTTGGAGCATTAGATCAGAGACTGGCCTTCATGGATATGAGTGAATATAATTGACTGTGTCTTCCTACTCAGCACCATAACATTGAGAGACTCAAATTTCAAGAAATCATATGATTGGAAATAGATTATTTTTAAACCATTTAAACTAACAAAGCCACTGTTTGTACATGAAACACAGAGACAAAGACACACAGCCATGTAGCCACTGCTGGTAATGTAAGGCAGCCATGATAAAACAGCTATTTATGTCCAAATTATTGTTTCTGGGTGCTTCCTGGAGGAAGCCAAATAAAAACTTCCTGGTACTAAGGAGATCAGTCAGATGTGAGGGATTTTTTTTTTCCATTGAAAACATCAGAATTAAAGAAAAAAAATGAATGAAAGCTCTTATCCAAACAGATCACCAACAACCTCCAAAATTGGTCAATTCCACACTCTACGTTGGGTTACTTCACAGTCCATTTTCATCACACTTCTTTCGGCTGAAATCTGACCTGATGAGAAGCATGTAGCCTGGTGTGCCACCAAGGGAGATGATAAAGGAAGTGATGACAGAGAGGGCCAGGAAGTAGGGGAACATCCTGTCACAGTCATCCGTGTGAAGGCACTGACCTGTACTGGCTGTAAAGTTACCGGCCACACCGACACAGCTACAGTTAGAGAACACCTGGAGAGACATGCACAGTCACAGACATACACACAACCATTTATATATATGTAAAGACATAGACACGTATAAATATGACAATATGTACACAGTCCTGAATACGCATACTAGGTCTGATTTTCAGGATCCACTTGGACTGGATTTCATTCAAACTCAGATAATGGAGAGGAGGACTAAGACTTCTAAGGCCCTAATGATTCATTTAGTTTGAATAAGAAGAACTTTATGATCAGAGCTTTATTGATCCCCGAAGGAAAATTCAAGGCTGGCACATGTTCACCTGCATGTTTGTTCCCATGCTGTCTTAGTTAGCAACAGTTCCTGCTAGGGTGCCTAAGGAGGTGCCGTGACTCATGCATTTTACTTTTGAAGATGATGAAGTAAATGAAGGCAGGAGCAGCAAAATAGATTTGACATGTCAAGAAGAAACATCGGGGAGAAGACGGGGACAAACTCAAAACAGACATCGGTTCATGATGTACTTGCACTGTTGATAAATTCATTGTAAGCTGGTCGCCAGGGAACAGTAATATAAGCCTTCAAAGTGAACATTGCGGATGCAGTCAAGCTTATGCAGCACAAATGTCCCCAAAGAGGCAATAAAGTGTGAATCATATTGATCATATCGGTATCATACGGGTCCAAAATAACTTAGCTAAAAGCTGATTAAAAGCTGGTTGGTTGAGGGTGTTTTTGCACACAGTGCTGTAACTTCCTTGAAAATATAAGTCTCCTGACACACGGACAGCATCAGTCAGTTTGATATTCACCAAGAAAATGGGTTTTCCCCGCACAGTCAAGGTTCACACAGTGATACAGCGGTCCTCCTCCAACTTTACATCCTCAGATACTGCTTTTAATGTTTTTACATCAAAATATTATAATGATGCTGCAAACATGAACTAAGCTTTTTAATGTAAATATGCAGGTATTTCACGTGATCATTCTATCAAGTTGGTTTAAGGGCTGTTGATTTGGATTATGCTGACTGTTAATGTTCCGTGCATATTTACAGATCTTCATCACCAAGTGCACTCTAGACTGACGTATCTTGTAAAAAATAAAATAGTTAAAGAGAGATTAAGATAAAACAAATTGATAAATAACATTTATTTTGGTAAATGATGTAAACGGAACAAAAGCTACTCAGTTGATTTGAACTTAAAAAATACAAAGGGCAAGGATGATGTCCATTTTTTACGATGAAGTTCAAACCATGGAAGACCATATATACAAAGGAAAAGGCTGAAATGCTCCTGTTTTTAATATGTTCCTGTGTCTTTGTTTTATTGTTTGTGTTAATTCTCTGTTTTTATTGTTTTTAATTTTTACTGTACAGCACTTTGATCAGCGTTTTGTTGTTTTTAAATGTGCTCTATGAATAAACCTGGGTTGGATTGGATTGAATATATCTCTGATGGTCAACACTGTAGCCTGTTCTGGTGTTTTTTTACTTTACAGCTCCTTGTACAGTTGTCCTTCATTCACTTTTCCTTTTTGCAGAATTCTAGCTTGTCTTGCAATTTTAGCATTTCTCTTAGTAAGATAAGAACGTCATTGATTCCCGAAAGGAAATTAAATATTATTATATCTAATATAGTCATGTAAGATAATATGTACATTTTTAAATTTTGTTCACTCATGTTCATTTACCCCCTGCACCCTTCAGATTTTTTAAAGATTTTAGCAGCTCAGTTTTCTGATTATGTTTTGATTGATCATGTTTTGTTAGCTGTCTCCCTCTCGTGGTAAGGTACAATGAACAACAATATTTTTTTGTCTATGGGAATGTTGTTGAAGAACTTTGTGACTTCCTGTTTTCAGCGTGTCCTCACCTTTCTAGTCTTCTACTGTGACTCGTGCATAAGAGCGGTGGGTTTTATCTAAAGCTAGACATCACGAGGTAATCCATCCTTATATATTGATCCAAATCTTCTACTTTTCTTTCCAGTTCTTCAATTTTTTTGTCTTCTTCTTTGAATCGTCACACCTCGAAAGTTAAATCCAGGAGGCCCATCTGCTGTTTGGCAAAGTTTCTTAGTTCCTCAGGCATAAAAGTTCAGCAACTTCTTCTGCTAGTTTCTTTGTAGCCATTTTTTTTGGTTACCAATGTCACCACTATGAACAAAGCTGCTTTTGCTGGGATTCCAGGCTCAGCACATGGTGGCACATGACAACCAAAAGCGCCTAAACCCTCAACAGTAACTCTAAATAACCATGCAAATGAATCCTCAACTTTCTAGTAAAGTTGTAAAATTAAAGGAAAATTCCAGCGTAAAATTAATTTAGGGTCAAACACACTGTAACACCAAGTTAGACATACCCCCGAGAGATGAATGTTGCCGACCACTTGCTCCTCTAATTATACCATTTTATACCAACTAACCTACTCTCTTCCAGCAGCCGCTTGTTTGTAGTGAGACCTCAGGCCAGTCCATTAGTGACTGCTGCGGGGTGACACAGCTCAAGGAAGAACATTTATGTTCATTTTTTTATCATTTCCTTGAAGTAATAATCATCATATTAATCATTCTGTACTGCAGGCACGGTAGTTCTTCTGCATTAGCATCTCAGTCTGATTGCATTTCCATAAAGAAATGATCATAAATGTTCTTCCTTGAGCTGTGTCACCCCGCAGCAGTCCGTAATGGACTGGCCTGAGGTCTCACTACAAACAAGCGGCTGCTGGAAAAGAATAGGTGAGTTGTGTTTAGTCTCTTTGCTAAAGAAATCAGGCAAAGCTAAAAAGATGTTTGATGGCTAGTACTATGGCTGGGACCCTATATGTACTATTGATGAAGTTAGGTGCTGTTCTGAGCATTATTTGTGGCGTTTTGGTTGAAGTTTGTTTATTGCTCCTCAGACCAAGGAAGTATTGCTATCATGCGGTCATTACTAAAGTTGGTATAACTAGAGGAGCAAGCGGTCGGCAACATTCAACTCTCGATGGTTGTCTAACTTGGTGTTAATGTGTGTTCGACCCTAAATTAATTTTATGCCAGAATATCCCTTTAACTTGTTGAGTTATTTTCACAATCTTTTGGACGATAGTTTGAAGAATTTTTAGATCCGAACCACTGCCAAAAAGTGCCGAAAGTGAACAATAAACACGATCTTAACACAAGTTGATAGAGAATGCCTTTCAGGATGTCATTTTGGGTGGAACAAAGATAATACTTTAAAGCAACAATCATCCTACTACCCTGAAAAGATCAAAACTAAAAGTTTGTACTCTCCGGCGAATACCATCCCCTGGAATAATCTTGTCACATTTTTCACTGCAATATTCAACATATCTCTTACGGCTCCCAAACTTTGACTACTCACTGTGTTTTTTCCTGAGCCAGAAGATCCAGTGCAGCCAGCAAGACAGGCAGAAACATAAGTAATGCCATCCTTTCCACAGACTGGATCCCACTCACTGGCTGAACATGAACACTCAGAGTTGCAGGCTGTGAACACTGACTGCTGATCATATGATATTGTGTCAAGACTGAAAGGCAAAGAGAAAAGATCAGAGAGGTAATTCTTCACTTTTTTACGAAAACACCTTTTTCTCTCAGCTTAGTTGGCGCTGGAGTGGGAGTACAGGCATTGTGTGGGTATTTCAAAGCAGAAATCTTCAGATATCTAAAGGTATATGCAGAGATAAATGGTAAAAGGAAAGGGACATTTTTAATATCTGAATGCAAAGATTTAATTGTTTGTGCCAGCTTCACAGTCATTCCTTCTAATTCTACCAATACACACTACTCTACATAGTTTTTATGAACACTGTAATCTCTCCCACTTGGAAAACTGCAATTATTTATTCAGCTCATTTTATACCTGACAGTTACACATCATTTCATATCATGGCCCTTTCTTCATTGAGGCCCTGGATAGGCAGTCCTGCTCTCTCCCCCCATTATGACACCACTATGTGTGCATTTACACCAACACACTCTGTAGGTATCAAGACACCCACCTGTTGTATGAAAGCGTCACGCCGGCTACCTTGGCGTTCTCGCAGCTCATGACGAAGAAGAACAGTGAGAGGATGTAACCGATCAGAGACGTGCTGAAAGCAAACTTCGCTGCTCCCATGATGTTCAACTTCAGCTTCTTCATCAGCAGACCTCCAGAAAACATCCCCAGTGCTACTGCTGGGATGTTGATCACACCTAGGATAATAAGAAACAAAAGGTAGGATAAATATTGGCTGAGATTTGATCAAACTTTGAAAAGGCAGTTTCAAAGCTTGATGAAAATACCTGCAAGGACTCCTGAGACACTAACAGTATCAAGACAAGAAAAGACAGAATCTTCCACTCCTGTTTACAGCTTTGTTAACTGATTTAACATATTCTTTAAAAGTGAGGTCTATCTTATCTGTGTACAGATCTCCATGGACCATCTTACATGTACACAGATGCTCATATCTTGTGTTGTGGGTGTTACCTTACATGGCGCTTCATAAGTGGTCAGTGGGCTGATTTAGCGCATATCCATCAGAGCTTTGTTTTAATAAGCTGAGGGAAAATGCTAAGTGCAGGGTTTTTCTGGTATAAGGATCAGGCAGAAAAGCTCCTTTATCCCGTGCCTCTAAAGGTTTAAAAACTCAAAAGGACCGTACCCATTAAAAAGTTGGCCTTTGATGCAGACTGCCTGAAGTGCTGCTCGATGTACTTGGGCTTGTAGGTGACCATGCCGATGAGAGAGTTCAGCTGGATGATTGTCACACAGAGGTAGATCAGATACACAGGGTGTCCCAGCAGGTTCCTCAGGGTGGGGATAAAGTCTGTGGAGGGATAAAAACCTGTGTTCAAATATAACCATCTGATAACTGGAAATATGAAATAACACTGTAACTTACAGAGGAAAGTCAGCCTAAAGGAAATAGGATGATGTCGAGATCATTAAGTGTAAATACAAATGATTCAACTTAAAGAATATGGTTTATAATCTGTTGTTTGTTTGTTTGTTATCTTTACCTTTGGCCATCTCTATAAAACTAGTATTGTCGTCTGCAGGATATTTGTGCTTCAGAAGACGGGAGTCTTTGATGAAACTTGTCTGCTCTGGTGTGCACTTCTCTGGTCCCTGAGGTCCTGGCATGGGCAGGGAGCGTGGTAGAAACCAGAATGGGATGGCAGAGAGCAGTGTGATGACCCCGGCTACCAGGTAGCCCAGCCACCAGGCCCCCACCCAGCGGGCGTCTGCTGGAGTGATTGTGATAGTTTCTGTGTTGGGGTAAAAAGATATTGAGATCATTTGGCAAGTACTACTCCAGTTATTACAAGAAGGTTAGCTTATATCTTAAAATCCTTTTTGTTCATATCTTTTCTATGTTTTCTGGTCTTGCTCTCGCTCTCCTGCACTCTATTTGATTGAAGCCAAATACTGGACTCCTTTCTCCATCCCCCCTCTGTGCGCTTTGTTCATTAGCTAATTGATGCTTATCCTGCACACCTGTTCCGAGTCTTGCAGATGCACACATATTGCATGTGAACCATCTGATAAAACCATGCCTCAGTTTTATGAATGAAAAGACCTTTTCAGAGTAAACATTCAGATCTGTGGTTGTAAATGGAAAAGCACAGTTTTATTATGAATAACATTATGAGTGGCTCTGAAATATCTATCTGTCAAAGTAAGGCAGAACAGTTTGACAGAAAGTAAGCTGATAAACATGACTCAGCTACAAAAGTTATATTTTTGACGAAAGCAGTCACAGACAGCAAACAAATGGCTCTACAGAAACGTTTCAATTCATTCTACAGATCTCTAAGTGAGTAGTTGTTGATTTATAATGCATATACATTAAAAATTATAGTCTGGCTTTAAAATGAACTTATTCAGGAACTCACCCATTTTTACAAATCCAATGTCCACATAGATTTTGGCACAGATGGAGCCCAACAGGTAGCCAAACACAGGTCCCACCACTGAAATGGTCTGTACACAGCCTAGAATATGAAAAAACACCTGAATTATACCCCAAATAAGACTCTTCTGAGGGCTATTGTTTGATGCAAGTCACAGATATGCTGAGATTGGAAACCTTTTAGCATGGGCTGCAACATAAATTGTATGGGAATTGGTATTAAACATACTCCAGACAGCCTAAAGCACAAAAATGAGTAAATCCATTTTGATGACTGTAACTTACAGCCAATGGAAACCCCAAATTCAGTCCCAGAAAATTAGAAAACAAGTTCAGTATTGGAGACTCATGGTGTCAGACTCTAATCAGATCAACACCTGCAAAGGTGTCCTGGCCCTTTAAATAGCCCTTTCAGTCTGGATTAGCTGGCTGCACAATCATGAGGAAGACTACAGACTTGACAATTGTCCAGAGGACCATTACTGACACCATACACAAAGGAGGGTTGGACACAAAAGGTCATTGCTGAAGGAGCTGCTGTATCCAAGCTCATTAATGAAAAGCTGAATGGAAGAAAAAAATGTGGTAGAAAAGTGTGAACAAGCAACAGAGATAACTGCTGCCTTGAGAGGATTGTGAAACCAAGCCCATTCATGGATTTCAAGATTCACAAGGAGTGGACAGAGGCACGCAGGGATCCAGGACATGGACTTCAACTGTCACATTCCTTGAGTCGAACCACTTTTGAAACCAGAGTCAACATCAGAGCTGTCTAAACTGGACTAAGGACAAAAAGAACTGGACTGCTGCTCAGTGGTCCAAAGTCCTCTTTTCAGATGAAGGTCAATCTTACATTTCTTTTTAAAATCCCAGTCCCAGAGTCCAGAGGAAGAGAGGAGAGGCACATAATCTAAGGTGCTTGGGGTCCAGTGTGAAGTTTCCCCAGCTGGTAGTGGTTTGGGGGGGTCATGTCATCTGCTGGTGTTGGTCCACTGTGTTTTATCAGGTCCAAGGTTTCAGAGCACTTCATGCCTCCCTCTGCTGACCAGAATTATGGAGATGCTGATTTCATTTTTTAAGGGGAATTGGCACCTGCCCACACTGCCAAAAGTACCAATACCTGGTTTAAGAACCGTGGCATCCCTGTGATTGACTGGCCAGCAAACTCCCCTGTCTGCAACCCCAACAGAGAATCTATAGAGTATTATGAAGAGGAAGATACGAGACACCAGAGTAAACAACACCGAAGAGCTGAAGGCCAGTATCAGAGCAACCTGGGCCTCCATAAGACCTCAGCAGTGCTACAGACTGATCGCTTCCATGCCACGCCGCATTGCAGCAGTAATTCATGCAAACAGAGCCCCAAACAAGCACTGAGTGCCATAGATGTTCAACAGATTTTCATACTTTTCAGTACTCCAATATTTCTGTGTTGAAAATTCGTTTTTTTTTTCATTGATCTTAAGTAATGTCCTAATTATCCCAGAGACTGAATGTTGGGTTTTCATTAGCTGTACGTTAAATTCAAAAGAAAATAACATTTGAAATACATCAGTCTGTGTGTGATGAATCTATATAATGTATGAGTTTCACTTTTTGAATTTAATTACTGATATAAATCATTTCTCTGATGATATTCTAATCTGCGTTCCCTCTTTATATTTGGTGACGGAGTTTCAATAATGAGGAGTAATGCTGACAAACAACAACAAGACGAGCTTTGAACCTCGAAGCTGCCTGCAGGCTCAGACTCTTGAGGGATAAAGAGCCTCAAAAGTGAGTAAAAGAATAAATTAAAACAAATATACGTCTAAAGATGGAAATCTACAGTTAGTTTGATACACTGTGCTAGTGCATGCAACCCATAGAGCAACACACAGTATTTTTTCTGTGAGGAGCTTTGTATAATATCATCTTAATATCATCATTTTATTACGATAAAGTCTATCTCACAATCCCCTAGGTGTTTGTTTTTTTCATACCAACATACAGCGCTGCGTTCTCCTCAGTGGCAAAATCATCAATGTAAGAGATCCCAAGTGGCTGCACAGGTGTCTCTCCGATCCCCCGCAGGACATTTCCAAGGAGCACGTAAATCCACATGGACAGGTTGGACTCACTTTCACAACCTTCAGAGAAAAACAAGTATAATCAGAAAAAATTTACTTGAAAACACTCATATGCGTGTGTCTAAATGCTCACCTGCGGCTGGCACTTCAGGTAGTTTATCTTTTTGGGTTAAGTCTGCCGGTGAGCCCACGTGACAAGGAGAGGGGTTAACTGTTGAGTTTACCATCCACCGCACTGATGTTTCAAATTCATACCTGGATAAAATAAACAAATCAGACAGTCAACACAACTAGAATTACATGTTGTTATTTTTGTCTGTATTCAGTCACCAGCATCTGAGATTGAGATGTCAGGTAGCTTTAGGCGCATTTTACTCACCGTCCAATGATAAAGTGAGGCAGAGCGATGATAAAGGTGCCGATGGACATCAGAACACACCCCACTGCTATGATCTTCGGCCGATGGAGCTTTGCCCCGAAGTAGCTGACAAAGGCTATCACCAAAAGGTTACCTGAGGGGATGTGGGCAACCAGAAATAACAAGGATTGAAGATACCACTTAACACAACCGCAAGGGTGGAGAGAAGTTGGAACAAATAGACTGAAGGAAAAAAGCAGAATTTTGCTTTATTCCATTATTTCTAATCTGCTTCATTGTTGTTAAGTGTAATCTAGATTATAATGTTAAAAATGAATAAAAGTGTCTTCTTTCTAACTGCTAAAACAAACTCAGAAAATGATCATCGAACTGTCACCTAATTGTACAGTATATGAATCTCAGTAACAGTCATATAAATACATTTTCATGTCATGTTAAAAGTGTCACAAGAAAACAGAAAGCTTGACTGTTATGTATACAGTATGTAATCTAAAAGGCAGATAGGGTTATGTTCTCACACATCAAACATTATCCCCACACTCCATGAGCTTTCTCTCATCCACAGCATGTAGCAGCAAAGGTGTTAGATGGAATAAAGATCAGAACATGCCGGGTTGGAGCATGACCATTTCACTATGGTCAACTTTTAGTGAGGCTATGATTAATGACATGGAAAATAAATCTGAAAGAGGTGGAAAATGACCTGAAAAGATAAGCTTATGCCATACTGCCTGACTTTATTCTATTGTAAAGGTTCATTCACGGGAATGACGTCAAATCCTCTGACCATCCCTAGCTATTGACGTGTGTGTGTGTGTGTGTGTGTGTGTGTGTGTGGGTACATGTGTGCCGTGACGAGACAGAGAGAGAGGAGATGAAACGAGATTTTCAGTAATTATAAGCACGTGTTTTTCTAAGGATTCCACAGACAGTATGACAAATTGTATACACAGTGTGATGACTGTAAGAAAGTAAGTGGGTGTGTTTATCATTGTTTACATTTAAACTTTAATGCCTCTACTTTCCGATCATTTCGGGATTTGCATCACACTTGGTGGTAAGTGCATGCTGTGAATTATTCATTCATCATGTGTACAAGAACACTGCCTGAGGCTGATCAGCTGAGCTCCTGTGTCTGAAGTGATCTCTGTAACCCAGCATCTCTGTCTCTCTTCTTCATTCACTCAACCAGTTTTTTTTCTCTACAGTCCCCTAGCATATTTTTTTCTTTGTCTTCCCTTTTCTACCCTCCAATTTGTTCTCACCCTTTCCTTTCCTTTCCTTTCCTTTTTTTCATTCCCTCTTCATGCTGCCCCGCTCCGCCTCTAGGTTACCTTGGCAACGGTCCTATAGAAAAAGCTTGTTGCCAAGGCCACATGAGAGAGGCACTTTTTACAGGAGATGGATGGATGGATGGATGGATGGATGGATGGATGGATGGATGGATGGAAGGATGGATGGATGGTTGGTTGGATGGATGGTTGGATGGACAGATGGATGGATGGATCTCAGGAGCATTCAGCTTTTACTGGACACACAATGTCACCTTCGTCCTTTGCTCTCATAGATATCACAATCTCACCTCCACCTGAGTAGCTCTAGGCTGCATGCTGTCTTCCATCATTTGATTGTAAAAAGCTTGAGCTATCCTTACTGCTATGATTTTACCAAGGAACCAAATTAACCCCTGGATGCAAAAGAACAGAAATAGAATGCGCTGACATTTCTAACAACTTTTTCTTGCAAGAATTATGTCTCTCTGGGTCTCAACTTGTTCCGCAACCAATGTATGATTCATGATCTACAAGAGGCACTTCAACTGAGAAGATTAGCTTATTAAAAACCAGCCTAGAAACAGGTCAGAGAATGATGATTCTTCACTGTTACGAGAAATCCCAAATCAAAGGGTGTGGATTCCTTATGGTATGTATACAGCAGTATTACATATCAGATCAGGAACCAAGCTACACACCAACAAAAATCGTCAGAATTTTAAGTTGTATTAGACTGTCAGTCAGCCTTCATTGTGTTTCAATTCAACTTGAAAATCAGTCAACTGTACATACAATACAAAGTGGATCTTAAAGACAAGACTGTCCAGCTCACCATGGCAGGATTCTTACTCACATAACTAACCCTCACTTTGCTTTATCCCTCACTTAAAGCACAGAATCTGATCAGTGCCTGTTCAGATATATTTCAAAGTAAATACCTCATGCTTATGGAAAACTTGAACATAAAACAATCAGTCAAACTGAAGAAAAGCTTGACAGCGATGGAGCGACACATAACTTTATAAACTCAATAATTATATGCAGTTACCTTTCATGTCATCATTAATTTTAAAATCTGTGATTTATCCTAATCACCAGCCTTGTGACTGAAATTTCTTTGGGGAGATATTACTTCATTAAATGATGGTTGTCATGCTTTTATTTTTATTTTTCTTCTGTCTTGCTTTTACATTGCTTCAGTTTTATCCTGTAAATAAATAGCAAATTATCAAACTGAAAGAAAACGGTAAAAGAGCGGTTAGGAAGTATAAACAATCAGTTATTGGTGATTCAAGTGTTAGTATGTTGTTTCTGAATTCACTATTAAATTTCAACACCAGTTTTAAAAGTGGATGATCATTATTCACAGGGCTGCTGCAGCTAGTTTGCCAGCAGTCTGCCACTTCTTCATCTATCCTCCCTTTAATGTCATGTGGCGATCACATAAGACCAGAACAATAAACTCACAGTACTACCCTATCTTTTTTTTAAAGACAGTATTCTCACTATGGGGATACTGCAACAACCCAAGAGTGAACAAATGCATGAATACACAAATAGTATCTGTGATCATAAAAACAATCGATAATATTGGCAATGCAAATTTCCACATTTACACATATTGAATAGAAAAGTTATTGCATAACAAAACCTTGAAAAATCCAGACTTCACTGTCCAAAGCAAAAAGTCAGGTCAGTCTATTATGTCCTTACTTGACGTCTTGATTCACTACACTCACACTAGCATCCACACACACATACACACACACTCGCAGTCCTTTTCTTGAAAGCCTGATGAATCCTTTATCAGAAGCTTGAATACCTCTGTGACCTATTCATATTTCTGCCCAGAAAGATCGAAAGAGAGAAAGGTGGGGAGCCCATAACACAGAGGAAGCAAAGAGAACAACAAAATAACAGCAGAGCCTGGCAGGCATACTCACCTATCTCAAAGCTTCCGTCAATGACACCTATTAGGTAACTGGGGATGTCAAAGCGCCTCTCCAGCTGAGTTATTGTGCTCTTCATGTAGCTCCCAGACAGGGCCTTTGCAAAATAGGCAAAGGACAAAGCCACCAAAAACATCTGGAAGAGGTGAGGGAAGGAGATTTTCTGTTAACAGGCTCGAGGCCACGAAAACGGAAGCAAACAAATTAATTAATTCATTCATTTAAATCATATTTTAAGGTGGTTCAGTGTGGTGACCATGCGACCACCATTTTAAACTTGAGTGTGTTGTGAATAATTCAATGTGTTGGGAGCAGAAAACCAAAGGAACTGGTTTTAGAGTCTCGAGGAAACCCAAGGATTTGCTTTAAGAAAGATAATTGGGATTTGGTGGGGTTTGGTGGTCCAACCAAGTACCACCAAGCTAGCTTTAATGAAGGCAAGCATGAGACTCAAAGGGCTTTAAGGATAGAACGATAAACTGGGTTAAAAATATGTTTTGATTACATTAATCTAAAACTGAATAAGAGACTTCTTTGACTTTCCCTTTCCTTAACAGTTTATTTCCAGTTTTGTGAATCTTATAATGAGGCATGTATTCAGTGTGAATTAATGTAACATCTTACGTCTTACGAGATAGTACTAGTTTGAAGTAAAGAACGGTGTCATCTGCGTATGGATGGATATTACACTTAAAGCATCTGTAGGGAGTTTTTAGCTGGTGCAAAACAGACCAAAATTCAATGAAACCAAACAAAAACCATCAGTAAACAGACTGAAACATATGATATTGTATTTTTTAAATATTTGTGACTGCCGTAAGGCAATAGACAAGACAGAGTGTCAACAACAAAACAAAGAAACCCCTTCTTTTACTTTATCCATAACAAACAGAAAGTCATACTTATGACTATTAAAAGAAAGCAAAGTAAGACTTTTGGACCAGAGATCACAACATAGATATGCAAAGGACAAGGCCAGCAAAAAGATATGGAGAAAGACACAAAATAGAAAAGATCCCAAAGACAGTTTGAAATCACAGCAAAAGTACAACATCATCAATTATATGAATAGCATGAAAGACAAATATTATTCAAGAATCTATGGGAAGTACAAGGAGCTCCGCAGACATAAATGGCGAAAAAACCTAAATGGATCAACAATTGTACATAATGAATACATCATTATCATGAACATCATTGAATTTGACTCTTTTGGGTTTCTATTTCAATCCTTATAATTGCTTTAAGTCACTGTTTGTCCCCCATGCAATAACATAATGTTTACATTCAGAATATTTTGCATTCTGGTTTAGTATGAGACTCTAACAGAGAAGAGGATGAGTTGGGTATGAGATCAGAGATCAAACTGATAACGCAAAGAAATGTTAAAACAACTTAAAAAATCGCTGACTGAGTTTGATTCTAATTTGTGGCCTTTTTCCTGGATGTCACTTTTTACTCTCTATCCCAGTTTCCTGCTCTGTTCTTTGTCTTATCCTCTCCAAACGACTTTGACTTTTGACTTTATTGTGCCCATGGGGAGATTCTTTCTACAGCACTGTCTCCGTTTCACAAAACCCACCACAGTTCAACACAGAACAGTACACACAGTCAAACATATAAGAGACACACATTTTTTACAACAGCATTAAATATTTAACTGGGTACACACCATGACCCCTCTAGAAAGGCTTTTTGTTTAGGGCAGCTATGGCAGCAGGTACCAGGCTCTTCCCAAGGCGAGCCCTCCTACACCTCAGTGCTGTGTTTGTTCGCCCTGAGGCGAGTGGGGCAAAGTGGGTGTTTAATGGATGTGTGATGTCCTGTTCAATTACAGTTGCGATGCGTGTAATTTCCCTGTTGTTGAGATCTGTTAGAATTGGTGTGGAGAGACGGATTACTCTTGACGCTGTGTTGGTTGTGCATGTGAGTTTGATCTTGTTTTTAACAGATAGCATGTTGTGAAAGTAGATGGAACAGTACAGGGGTATGGACTGGATCATACTTTTACACAGCAGCAGCAGGAGGAGATGGGGGGCAACAAAGAGTCATTTCAGTTTGCGGATGGCTGACAGTCTTTAGTGACTCCTTTTCTGTAAAGTACTGTGTGCTGGTCAAAGGTAAGTTGACTGTCCAATGTTACCCCAAGGTCTTTAAAACTGTCAACTGTTCCCACTGCTTGGTCATTGATGAGAATGGGATGCAGAGGTGAGGAGGGGCAGATTATTGGTTCCTTTTTTGGTGACATTAAGATGGAGGTGGTTAAATAAAGGCTTAAAAGCCCAAAGATGTAACTTTAAAAGGAGCATTTCAGGAAGGCTTAGTCTGTTAAAGATGGGAAGGGGTTCACCACTTTATAAAAGGTTTCATTGGCAAAAGGTCCATTCATTTTTTATTTTCAATGACAATGTTCCTCTGCATATAATTGTAAGAAATCTGGGGTTTTAATCAATTCCTTCATAATGTCTTAAAAGGTAAGGAAAATCTGGAGGTATTGCTGTACGGAAAGGACATTGCCCATGAGCAGCACAACATAAAATCAGACATGACTACAGTGGAAGTCACTGCATGGATCAAAAAAACTGTTCCAAAACCATTTTCTGTGAATAGTTAGTCTCTGCATCCGCAAGCCAAGAAAAGATTGACTAAGGCAAAGTTGAAGCTGTCCTGTAGTCTGACAAAGTCATGGGCACACCATCCTCAATTCAAAGGAGAAGGATGATCCAGGTTGTTATCAGTACACAAGTCAAAGGCGGGCATTTGTGATCGTGTAGGGGTGCATAAGTGCCCATTGCATCGTAGCTTACATATTTGCTAAATTTAAAGTGGATCTTTCTCAGGAATAGCTGACAAGAGGAGCCTTTTTAATTCATTCCAAGTAACGGTTTACTAACTGTTACTTTATCAGAATAATGTCATGTTCTTTTCGGGATCTGCGACAATGAAATGTATTGTGACATTTTCATTCAGTACTTTCGATTGTTTATTTGGGTGCCAAATAAACTCTGGCCTCAGTGTGATTAAAGATCACTAAAAAGCGATTTGCACTGAGACTCTGAGAATTTGAACAAAGCCTCTTTCTGACCTGTGACCTGCTTTTGTTATTAGCTCATTGATGTCACTCACCTAAGATGCTTGGGTCGGAGCCACAAATAAACACAGTGCTTATTTTTTGATTTCTTTGTGTGACAGGTGTCCAAAAGCAAATAACAGTTTATTCCTGCCAAAGCGATTAGATTGTGTCGAGGGTTTTTATGAGAAAGTGCTTAAATCAACACGAGACAGAGGGACATTGTAGCACGAAAGTTCTATTCTTGTTAATTACCAAACATTAGAGAGTAATACTAAGCACACGATTAGGACCCGATCTGCCGTGCCATGTCCCTCACAGCCAGTCCAGGAACTACACAATTCTGAGAAAACTGAAAGCACAGCCTTGTCATCGAGATCAGTGTCATGATAAGCTGCTCAACCACCATTGTCTCACATCACTTTTATGTGGAAAGAAGAAACAAGAGTGTCTGATCTCGTGTGGGGCCAAGCCAACTTTCATGTTGTTGGCAAAAAAACATGCCCCCAGCCACAGAAAACAGGAAATGACTTGGATAGCCTATTCATAAGATTAACATCCTGTACTGTTGTATTATCCCAAACTTTCCTCAGAGGGATCATTTTCATTGTGATGGCAAGAGGACACGGAGGTAACATTCAAAGAAAGTCAAAGTGAAGAATCTTTAAAACAACAGCTACTTTTACATAATATAAAAGACCTTTTTCACTTTACTAACCTTTGTGAAAACCCTTTCATCAGGGGTTGAAATATTCTGTAACACACCATATGTTGTATCTTTTCTGAAGCAACGCTCACCACCAGCCAAAATAATAGCTTTGGTTAATGGCTATTCCCATGATGCTTAAATGATCTACATCCAATGAAAACAAGCAGAGATGACATATAGTATTTACTGACAAGGCGAAGTTCCTATAGTTAGCTGTTTTAATTTGAGCTCAATTTTGACTCTTTTCTGGTTATTGGCCACCATTTAATTAGTCGGCTAGTCAGTATCTGTCCCTGTATGTATTGATTTTAAAAATGCACAACAATTAGAAAAAAGAGCCAAAAAATGTGAAACAAAACAATTAAAAAGAGATCAACAGTACTCTAATAGACTGTCACTGTTTTCCTACAATGGGGGACAGAGTGGAAAAGGTTTCAAAGTCGGGAAGTAGACAAAAAAAATACACAAAAACATATCTTAATAAATCTGTCATTTCACATTTTCACAAAGTTCCTACACACGTAGAACTTGAAAGACAAGTGAAAAACAACGGCATCTTAAAAAAGCACAGCTACAACGATGCAATCTGATGCAAGAACTCTACATAGAGTAAGAAGATGGCTATCTACATGAGCTAACAACAAGTCACAGAACTTGTACCAGTTCCCACTTTTAAGAAACAATACTGTGCTCTGTTAAGTGATATATACCCTTTCTTTTTTCTTCTCTGCTGCCAGTTTCACATTCATTTTACAAAAATCTCCCCAACATACTTTTCTAACGATGTTAACTGTCATACCACACCATGTAAGACTTTACATGCAATATTTTCTATGATTCTGTTACATACAACTCAAGAATTCTGCATATATGTACTTACACTTTAGCATTGCCTCATTATTATAAAAAGTATCTTAATATCCAAAATATGAGACTCACTAGTAGATAAAACATGGTCAGGTTGGGTTGGGTGAGGGGGTCAAAGAGGACAATGCCCATTGTGCAACTGTGTCATGTTCTAGTGCCATGTGTTTTTGTCATGTAGAGTGTTCTATCCTGTAAACATGATGGTAATTAAAGTGCGATTGACCAAGCTGTGCTCTTCAGAGATAGAGGCTATATGCTTGCAGCCCCCTCTGGACAGTTCACCACCAACCACCAACACCCAAGGAAAGAAACCCTATGACCCAAAAAGCAGGGCACCAGAGCCCGGATACGTTTTATAAGCTTTTGATTCATGGGAATGCTTCGACAATGAAGCCATGAATAGAGGAGTGAAGATCCTCTGAAGCTGTGTGATTCACGGAAATCATTGTCATCCTTCAAAAAAAGTTCTGGTACAATTTGGTTATTCAGCCAGGCTTCTGTTCTCCAAACACACTGAGGCGTGTAATCATATATACTGAGAGCATGTGACTCCCCAGCTCTCTCACACACACATGTTTTCACCCTAAAGGCGTTCGTCTGGTACCTTCAGGCTGGTACAGGAAGCGGAACGTGACTCTTTTGCGGTGGCAACATCACTACGCCCGTTCCTCTGCGTGCGTCCTTGCTTAGCCCCCATCCTCCAGGATTGTCTCTGTGTCTCCTCAGCAGAAGTCGCCCACGTAATGCAATTTCTTGGCACTGATGCATGCAACCCTGCAAATGGATAATTCAAGCATGTGACCCACTTCTCTTCATCAGCACAGACACAGAAACATGTCTACAGCGGAGGGTAACTGATACACAACAACACAAACACGACAGACTTTAGATACTTTAGATCAAAATCTCTAAATTAAACATTTCCACATACAAATGCCTGTTTGTATCGTTCAGACCAGTAACGGATATCATGTTGCCAAACAAAGAAGCATAAACCCTCATTTTGAAATGTGCTGAAGGCATGACCTTTAAGTTAAGAGCCTTATTACAGTAACGATAAATTAATCACCAAGGCAGGAAACATGCTTTAAACTGTTGTGAAAGCTAGCTGCTTCAGAGACTGGAACTATTTAGCTTATGTGTGGAAAAGATTTACTTGGTAAAAAAGTTCTAAGTACATGGATTTCACCAATTCTGGCAGAAAGTAAAGTGGGTGTTTGTTTTAATTTATCTAGTAGCACTACGCCACCATTTACTTTTCCTCAACACCTGCTTATGAGACTTGAGGAATGCAAGAAATTGGATGAAAGCAGTTCTGATGCGGGGCCAACACGATGTGTAACTGAGCCAGGGTTGTCTTGTGCAGAACGCTTTGCAACCTCAGAAACCTCCCTGCATCTATTTTTGGCTCTTAGACATGTGCAGGGGGTATAAATATTGATGTATAATGCAGAGAAATATATACACAAGGGAAAAAATGTATATTATTGAATATAAACTACAGGCAGTGGTTTAAAAAAAGTGCAGCACTGATTGAACAGTCCGACTTTGCACGTGTTTGGGATCATAGGTCTTTGAATGTCATTCTCCTTCATCACGCCAACCCTCCTGAACAAAACTATGCAGTATCAAAGCACTGCTTGAGTGCTCAAGAGAGACTGTGTGACCGTTAGCTGGACTATATTGACTTCATGGTCAACAGAGTAGCTCAAACAAGGGGAAAAAAAGGCATCACACACATAAAACACATATGCTTACCATTCTGGGTTTTATAACTTCAGTGCAAAGAGAAAGAGTTGCTTTTTCTTAAATCATGTTGGGCTTTTCTTTTTTTCCCTACAAGCACTCAAAAGTTGAGATAAAGGTCTTTATGTTTTATAATGTGATCTTTTTACTGCTAGTACTTCATTCCTTTATTGGGAGAGACTGAACAGTGGTTGGCGTTGCAGTACATTCAGCAGATGTCTAGAAATGAAGCCAATAGTGTCCAATTGAGGCATGCTAGAGGAACACCTGTGTTAAAATGCCAACTTTATGGCAAAATCAAGCATCTTTACAACCTGGTTACAAAGAATGATCATATTCTTAGTAGCTCACTGCTTTGCTTGCGCCTGTTGTAAGGGGGGGTGAGTTTAACTCATCTGTTTTATTGTACAAGTTATGCCCAGATTTGCATAATTAGAGCACATGTGATGTGACTAACAGATGGGAACTTTGTAGCTGTTTGCCAGGTGGCTAAACTCCTGCCTCAGCGAAATCTTCTCTCTTGTAAATAGAGAAAAGGTTTTACCAGTATTTCCAATATGGCAACAGCCATAATTGGGCTTTAATAAACTTCGGCAGATGGGTGACATCACTTAGATTACATCCATGTCGTACGGGTACATCCTGATCCGTCTGGGATAAATTGTCCCAAAGCTCTTATTAGTAGCTGATCCATAAGGGCATCTTCATTAGCCACACTTATAGGTAGTCTGCTTATCAAATACAAATAAGGGCCTGATAATTTCAACAAGTACACAGTAATAATGCCAGTTTTGTAAAAGCTTTTCTCATGTTGAATTGAATGTTAAATTTGTCAACCACCCACTGATAGGTCAATCTGAAAAGCACTGTACTTTCTCTTTACCGGGTAAAATACTTGACATAAGGCAATCAATGATAATAACTCACCCTCATTTTGCAGGCTGAGTATTCATGAATAGAAATCGAAAGAAAAGAATAAATGAGAAGCTAATTTTCATCTTCATTGACGTATCTTTTTTGACCTCTTTCACTCCCTTTCTATGGATCCTTTCTTTCCACTCCCTCACATTGGACTTGCTTATTTCATGTATTTCCCCCTCCCCCCCTCTCAGCTCATTTCCAGTAGTCATGTGAAACAGTGAATGTAATTGCTGCAGGGGACTGGGTTTGTGATTGCTATGCAGCATAGAAGCACCAACACCAACACCATTTCTGTCAGTGATACTTCTGCTGAAGCCGCATGTATAAAGTTTGCAATTTCTCCCTAGATATTTTTATTTTCTATCTTAAAGTGCAGAGCAGACCAAAAAAGGTAATCGCTAATCGCAACAGGTCTGACCTACTTTCATGGAATTAGACCGAGAGCAGCTTTAAGCGGCCAAGTCATCCATTAAAACAGGGAAGAGAATGACAAAAAGCAGTCATTAGGACTTCTTTCTCTTACTCTCACACACAACATTGTAGTCACTATTCTGTGTCAAATACTACTTAATCTGTCACTGTTATGTAATGTCTGGTAATAAGCACTGTCACTACAGCAAATACAAGTAGCTATTATAGCCTCCTGCCTATTGGGTTAATGGGGTGGCCTGTTCGGGTATCACACATTCATTATAGAAGATAAAATATTCAAATTAAGTGGAAAATAAATAAAAATAAGTATCTGCAAGAGAAAAAAAAATCTAGTCTGTGAGTTTCAGCCATGAGGTGCTGACATAACATACAATAATCTCAGATGTCAAAGATAGCTATCTGAATATGTTTCATCCTGTTGACAGACGATCATTTAATGTTATGGAAATGTCTTTAAAGGAACTGAGACTGAGAAATAGGTGATAAAAAATAGCTACATAGTTACTGTATCTAAGGATGATGACGGGCTCTCTGTAAATTAATGTCCTGTTGAGGGAACAACAGGCCAGCAAGAACGATGCGCAGCACACACTATAGCAGGTGAGGCTCTTAAACTATAGACGCAGTTCCTCTTGTTCAATACGTTTCCACCCTCCAAAGGTTTAGTCGATTTTTTTTAAATCCCATTTAAGATTCTTTTTAATCCCATGTAAGCTCCTGCTTACTGCTATTGAATAAACACAATCTCATTAGTCAGTTAGCCTACATATAACATAACAAGTTTTCCTTTTTTGTCTGAGAAGTGATCTCCGAAGGCTGCTTGTATTAACCTTGGTAGTAATACCTAACCCACACCAGAATACTACATATAGAGATGGTCGCCGACACAGGTGAGAATTAATCATTTTTCCTTGCCATGACTTCCTTATCAAGACGAAATGCAACTTCAACAGTGCTTGACACTGTTGCACGATATCCTAAAAATTTTGTGTTGTTTCTACAATTTCCACTTTTATTCTCCAGGACCAAAAGATACCATCATTTCCCTTTGGTGAACATGAAACGGTCTGGTGAGCTGACAATCGTTTTTTATGGTTTGAACGGAAAAATAGAAACCTTGTGTGTAAGAACATGAAATACTTCACAGGCTTATCAGCCCAAAGGTCAAACACCCACTCAACACATTAGCCAGAAAGTGTCACTTTCATTGTAGAGTAATGAACATAAGTAGAAACGGGGGAAAAGCATTAAATGAGTAAAACTAATTTAAATGTTTCACTTTTTAAACTGAACACTTAAAGGATGTGGCTACACACACCAACACACATGAAACGAGCTTAAATTGAAGTTTGGGGTAGATAAGGAGGTGCCCTGTAGCCCCTCTTTGGTTTGATGATGATTTATATCATTCCTCGCCATTATTGATGGTTAACAAATGTAGCTTTGATTTTATTTCATTTTGTATATCACTGATTGCAGGGAAACAAGACTGTTTCCAAGGTGACAGGCACATATCAAATGGAGCCTACAGAGTTGCTTACTTCTGTAATGCGACTGGGGGAAAAAGAAGTCATTTTGGCAATCTTGTGGCATATTGAGCAATCAGAGTCTCTATAAATTGGATATTTGTGGTAATTTTGAGTGCAGGACATAACCTCTTTCAGGTCTGAACTCAGGATGCTGCTTTCAGGCTCCTCAGCCTGGGGTACCAGAGTCATGCGGGAAAAGTTACCTGCACATAACAGAGGGGAGATTGTACTTAAAAAGTCAATTTTATGAGCTCAATGAAAAATAAGATGGTATTTGATTTTCATGAAACGTGGTCAAACAGTTTGTACAAGCTTGAGAAGTTCCCTAAAAATAAACAGTTTTTTAAATAGGCTTACATTTGAGACAACGAAATCAAATAAGCTTTTTTTGACATACGGGTAATCATATTGAAAGACACACCTTGTGCGTAAATCCACTTAAAAGCATCAGTGCGCTTGATGAAATTAAACGCACCACTTACCCCAGTGTCTCGTGAACTGTTGTCCAGTAGCTCGAGCGCCAAGGAGTTCATTGTTTACTGGTCTATATCTAGCTACTTGTGCACAAATCCACTTAAAAGCAACAGTGTGCTTGCTTGCTTGATGGAAATTAAACGCACCACTTACCCCCAGTGTCTCGTGAACAGTTGTCCAGCAGCTCGAGCGCCAATGATTAATCGGTCAATCGGAAACACACAGGTAACCTCCTTTCAGCCCTCTCCGCTTAAACTTCTCACGTGGATGGGAAAGGAGGAGAAGCGCCGATTCGTATCATGAATGCTCCGAGACCGACACGAACCGTCAGAGTTCATTTCCAGTCGACTTCACGGTGACACTCGGGTACACTAGTCCAAGTCCAAGTCAAGAGGCGATATCAGTCTCGTGAAACATGTCTTCACCGGTGAGACGCCGCTGTGGGAGATGTGCTGCGTTCAAGTGACCCCCTGCTTCTTATTCAAGCCTCCCCACTGAGAGCCAGGCTTCAGCTAACAAGCTCAGGCTGCTAAAGAAAACATCTGTATCAATCCAAAGCTCTCTTTCTCTCTCTCCCTCTCTGAGTCTGCCTCTCGCTTTCTTCTCTCTTATTTCATGTCTCCCGCCCCTCTGTCTCCTACCCTCTTTCCCTGTCCTCCCCTTCCTACCGCCCTTCGATTACAAGAGCCTACAGTTCAAATGAGCAGCTTTCAATGTAATCAACCACGACATTAACAAGAGTTTTCTGAAGTATCATTCACTTACTAACACAGCCAGCACTGTTGTAAGGATCATGACTTCCAGATCAGAAAAGTGATATTTCATTTGTTTTTAAGTTGCCTAATCTCAGTTTTGATTCACTTTTAATTCATTTGATTACTGATCCCCTTCTTCAGTGTTGTTATGAGGCCACAGACACCAATTATCACCAATCACCAATTATTGTTAAAGCTAAAGGAAGGTGCACATTCCTCTAGCACCCAAGCAATATTGGTTTGAAGCATATACTATCTTACAATACTGTAATATGGGGTGTGTGTATTTTTAATGTCCTTTAGGGACAGAGCCAGCCCAAGGCATAAGCGAGCTAAGTGCCTGCTCAGGGCCCCGCGGCTAATAGGGAGCCCCAAGAGAAATAAAAAAATAAAAATAAAAAAAACAATATATATACATATATACATTTTTTTTATTTCTCTCACATGGAAATAAAAAAATAAAAAGAATATATATATATATATATATTCTTTTTAATTTTTGCATGTATGAGTGATGCTTTCTGTATGATCAAATATATATTTTTGTAAAAATGAAATAAAGTAAAAATATTTTAGTGCTGCTGCTGATGTAGGCCTATGATTTTTACTGCCGATATTTCAAAGCTCCTCTACCGTTATGTGCCTCCTGCTGTGCAACGTGCAACGTGCACTGAGCACCCAAAGCGCAGGTAGTTGTGGGGTAAAACAATGTTGCAAAAAAATGACATATCCTTCAGGAGCAGAGAAAAGAAAGAGGAAGAAGAGAGAAAACGCCAAGATAAAGGTATGTTCGCATGTCACGGGATGTTAATCAAAGAGATTTGTGAAGGTGTGTGAATGATCAACAGTCAATATTATTAGCAGAAATAGAGGGCCCCAAAATCAAATTATGCTTAGGGCCCCATTGAGGCTTGGGTCGGCTCTGTTTGGAGAATTCTGGTTTTAAATCTGTTTTCCTTTTGTGATTGCTGCAGCTTCTCTCACTTAGACTGTCTGCAGGTGAGAGTAGACACACCTCAGTTCTGTGAGGTAGTAGAGCGTATGAGCTGAGTGAAATCAGCAGTCTGGGTGATGTGTGACACATGAGATGTGAGGCTGTGAGGAGGGCCAGTTTTGTCGGACTCATGTTGGACTAATATTTCATTTTTTCTTCCTCTGTAGGGGATATTTTTAATTTGATATTTTTTGTCTTATTTTGATGTGGCCTAACTAATGTTCTCCTCATTTTTTGAGAATTCACATCTTGTTTGAGATTTTTTCCTTCCACCCGAGAGTATAACAAGTGTATACTGGTCTATATCTCAGAGTCAGTCAGTCATTTTGAAATGAGTTTTGTTTCTTGGATCATTCAGAGATGATAATCTGTGCCCATATTCCCTTAAGCGACTGTTTGTTTTGCTTTAGTCCCATTTATGAGGACATGATGGAGCAATAAATTCAAGACTGGTCTACCTTTCATACTAAATTTACCAATGTAGAGTGACACAAGCAGGCCTGTAATCTGGGACTGTAATTTGTTAGAGAGGTAATAATGCACCAAGAGCTCTATAAATATGACTAAGCCTGAACATTTAAAACATGGGAGTCTATGATCTGAAACTATTTTAGAGGTAATGTGTAAAGAGAAGAAAAACTGAACAGTGGTCTTCATGTTAAACTCTTCCACATGGCCTTGTTTTACAATACATGGAAAAGAAATCCATTCAAGATCCGGTTACATTCCCCAAACTGAAGCACTTCAGCTAATTTATACTTTCTTATACTCTTTTGTTTTTGATTGTATAGTGTCTGGTACATACTCACATGTTCTGGTTTATGTTGTGTTGCTCAGTGACAGGTTGCTACTTTCTTCCTTGAAGTCAATGTTTTTCTTCTTGACATTGTTTACCACCCTTTCATTTATATCTGATTGTTGGGTACATCAGTAACAGGTAAGTATGTGGAAAAAATAAGATAATGGAAGCATATGGCCACCATATTCCTCTATCATCTGTATCTTATTGCCCAGACAGGCCCATTTGTCAGATGGTGTGTTTTATATTTCCTTGCAATGCGCGATACATTTTCCATAGATAGTGTCATTACTTTGGCTTTGCAAAAGAAGATCTTGACGATTTGTTGATTTTACTCCAATAGACTTGAGGTAATTTCTGTCAGACTTTGGGTATTTTTACTGTATATGTAGCAGTGTCTCCGAGATAAGAGATTTATCACAGCATGTGAATAATATCACGGTACAAACAGACACAGAGTTTTCATGAATGTAAATATTTATTGTCCTATGCTTTCAGAATATTGACCTCAGACTGTGCACTGCAGTTTCTTCACGTTTTAGTTGCTCAACACCCTGAATGGTTTGGGTGTATTGACTGTGTGAGGTAATGTTATGATAAAAGTGTGCAGGGTACAGCACTCACATGGTAAATGACTGGCGTGACCCATAATTCCAGATTGCAAGAGGATTGTGGTAGAGATCATAAACCAAATCAATGAAAACAATATGGCAAGAAGCCGAAGTATGTACATGGTAACACTTTCTAGTTTTAATCTAGGCAGAGCATAGTGCCAACAGGATGTCAGAGTCTGAAGCCCAAAAAATTTCAGTTAAAACAAAATAATTCCCAATCTCATTGGTCAGGTAACACGAAGCAGAAGGCAGCAAAAGTGAACATAAAACAGAATTAATTTGTATTAGTGTGAGTACAAGACAATCATGGAGAGAACACAACAGCTGCTCTGATGTATGCTAAATTTAGAAGAGTTACATTTTTTATTTGTGTTACATGTTAAATTTGGTTCTTTTATCACAGCAGCAAGTTACACAAGATAAGATAAGAAGAACTTTATTGATCCCCAAAGGGTGATTCAATATCTATGAGGTACTGTACTGTACAACTAACAGATTTGGTTTCTCTGTAATGGTAATTTCAGTTGTGAATCCAAAATGACAAATGATAACAAATAAATAAGCCTAAGTACCTAAAACCACCCTGAGGGTGTAGATTTAAGCTGAGACATTTCACATACAGTAATGCAATAAATAATTCTATTGTTAAAAGTCAGTGAAATTAGTTTTTCTGTCAGGGTACACAACTTAAAGTCCCACTCTGATCGTTTCTTTTAACCACTTAAAATGTTCTCAGTGGTCTTTAAATTGTGATTATGACGTTTTTACCAAAAATCGCATTACCTGTCGTTTTTAAGGGCTTTTCCTCTGCAGAGCTCCAGTAGATCATTAGCAATTCGCCTCGGAGTCGTGGGCGGAGACAGCGCTGCTCTGCACACTTGTCTTCACATTAGCTTGCACCCTAACATTGCCAGTGTAGAAGAACAGCAGGTGACATAGGAGTTATTCAGTTCTCGGACATTAATGTCTTTAGGGACACAATGAAAGTTAATATCAGAATTAGCTTTCTTACGAGCATTGCAATCCGGTAACGCACATGCTTGTTCCGCGGTCGTCCTCTCTATTTCTCTTCTATATGCAGAGTGTGGCCTGCATAGTGGGGCTCCAGGGTACGGCGCTTGGATTGGTTACATATGAAATCTCACTGTTTCGTAACCCACCCTATAGGTCTGCCAGAGATTCACAGCGATTTGAATGAAGAAATACTCAGAAAAGCAATTTCACATTTAGTTTTCTCATGATATGTCCTGTAGAAAAATGCCGTATGAACATAGAAAAAACAAGAAAAACATGATTGTCGTCAGAGTGAGTCTGTAGAGGACATGGTAAGGAAAGTCTACGTTGTCCATAGGGGGCATCAAAATCAACACAAACCTAAAGTTCCCTATGGGAGCTTTACAAACATTGATATGCTTACTACTTTGAAGTGTGAAGCTATGACAGCTGTGAAAATGGAGTTTGCAGGTACTCAGATCCTGAACAAACAGTGAGGACGTCTTATATGTATCATGCTGCAAACTAATCAACCACCGCTGGTGCCACATGAAATCTGGAAACCTATAGTTCGTGGTTGTTTACGTCTCCCTGTCTGCTTTTTCCTTTCAGACCAACCTGTGAACACAATGTTCACACAACCACAAAGGCTGCCGGTGCTTCCTGTGGGAAGTTTACATGTTCTTTCTGTGTTATAACTCAACCCTAACATTCCTCTGACATGCGATCCAGGTACATAACAGACTATAAACAGCCCATCTGTTTTTGCCCTTGATAGACAGAGCTGGAGGTGTGCACGGCGGAGCTGCACCTCCCCTCTTGGACGGTGTGAATGCATGTATAGAATACAGTTACTGTGCTGCAGCTGGTTACACTTCCATTAGATAAAGATTCAGCCAAGTCGGGTAAACATAAATACCTATCAGCATTATTCATCTTAAAAGCATCTGCACATATAGAAAAAGCCACAATTATGAATGATATTTTCTCAGAGCAGATCTCAGATTTCTTCACAAGCTCCTCGAGAAAAAAACAACGAGACAGACACATTTGCAGCATTTATAAATCTTATTATTCAACAATATTCACATTACAACATCAACACTGTTCTGCTAGTGACATGTTCTAATAATCCCAATATATTGTATAGTTACTTTGTAATACATTATCGAGAGGCACTTCCAGTAAGTCTGGCAATAGAGGAGCTACAGTATTGTGTCTATATTACAAAACAGTAAAAATAAATATTTTTCTAAAAGTTTTTTTTTTGTCATAATATACTTTTGAATCTGTACAGTATATATTTTAATACAAAGTCAAACAATATCTAGAAATAAAATGTCATATTCCACTTAAACAAATACTGTTGAATTACACAATTGCCCCATCCTGTAGGTATTGCTACATGTGTTAAGTGCAAGATACTTGAGAAAAGAAAAGAATCGAGTCTGTGTAGTGTCTGCTATAGTAGATAAAAACATACCAAGTTTGTTTTTCTTGCCTTTAAGGTGGTGAAAAAAAAGTTTGTTTTGGTTCCTTTGAGGAGAACGAGGAAAGCTGTTAAATATAGCATTCAAACAATGCACGGTATACATACATACATACATACGAACATACATACATACATGTGAAAATGGTATGGCACAGGAGCATAGCCTGCCTTTTAAAATGGCTGAAACAACAAACAATACAAAAAAGGAATGTTTTTGGTTTAAACCATCAAACAAAAGTACAAGGGCTTCAGTCTGAGAACAGAGCAGCTCCATTGTAGTGCTACTGCAGCCTATTGACAAGGCATCGGAATAAAAACAGACACCCCAGACGTGAGAAACCCCCGTCTTGCAGATTTTGATGTGGCTTTAATCTGCCCTGTCTTCACACAAGACGTCCTCACCACCTTCTCAATAACACTGACAGCTGAGAAGATGCAGGAACATGCTCAGTTTAGGGTTCATTTTGTGCAAATCACAAAAAACACTCATGTTTAAAAAGTTTCTTTGGTTTGCACAAGGTAAACCCGTGCGCAGTGATCTCCTTCTTCTACCCTTAAAAAACCGCTGATACATGCCTGTTATAAACCCACACAATCTAGTTATAGACCCTGTATATCTGCTGTTGTCTTGCATGATTTTTGACACAAATGTACCATAAAACAAAGCTGTAATTGCCTTATGATTACCGGTTTAAACTCTGAAGCTGACGATGACTCGGGGCAAATGGCTTTATTACACTTTGGTGGCCATGAACGATCACCTTCCATATTTAGGGTGACAACCAGTTTTGTCATGATCGTCTCAGCCACAGAGAGCTCAGGGATAATTGATGGTTCACATCTTGGCCCATTTCATCTTATAATTTCACATTGTAAAATTGCAGGAGACAATTTTGCAAAGAATACCTTTGTGTTCACAACTTTTGGTTGTGTTGTATGAACCATTTCAGGCTGGATTTTACTAATTTACAAAAGAGGGAAAAAATGTGTCAAGAACTTCTGTACAAAACAATGAAACAAACCCAATCGATGACATGCTTAATAAGTTGTAGTGTTTTTAATTTTCTCTTTCACCAGCTGATATACCTTTAGGAACCAGTGGTGTAACTTTGAGATAAATCTGCTTCAAAATTCACAAGTCAAAGCCTACAGTATATGATGATTTAAACTAGCAAAAGCCTTGGTATGGCCCTTTAAATTTCACTGTGACAAAATCTAAAGCCTGAAACTAAAGCGGTTTGCCTTTAAACTCCTAAACAGCTGGACCAAAACAAAAGCACTATAGCGTTTCGGATTGTTCCAGATAAAAAAAAAGCCACCCCTGAATTTTATCACAGCTTTGATTTAGTCTCTTTGACTGCTGCACTTTTGAGTGCACGGGGAATGAGGCAAGAGTAGGAAGGGTGGAAACCTCTATTTCTGCGAACAGGTATTCAAACTAGGTGAGCTTTGAATTCCCCACTCAACGTCAACTCAGAGAATACAAGAATTCTTAAATGCTGAAAAATGATGGTTTAAGTGTGCACATGAGATTTGTGTGAGGCATAGATTGGTGGTTTTGGGGGCTGTACAGCCAAAACTTATTCATGTGTGAACAAAAAACTGCTGTTTGCAGGAGGCCTGCGGAGCTGATTGCAGTCATGGATATTTTTAGAATAACTGCGATTTGAAAGCTACAGTATATTGCAGTACACAGCTTCAAAAATGCAAAACTTAAAGACCCCAGTTGATGCCTTACATGACAGCTGGTATAAAGAGATAAATTTCACTGCTACAGGTTGTCATGGCGAGGCAGTGCAAGGAGAAGCTATTGGAAGACATTTGATCCAGGTGGTGACATGTACATCAAGCTGAGTTTTTACGTACAGTTGTATTACAGCTGCCTGATGTGCTGGCAGGTCAGAAACACATTATTTCAGGGGTCAGATGTGCTTTCATCATCCCCCCCTTTTCAGCATGAATTCTTATAACAGACTTTTCTTTAGGGCATCCTAGTTATTTAAACATTACGCAGTATTACAGATTGCGAGGTAAAATCTAATTCCATTAAAAAAATCAGACTTTGAACACCTATTAAGGGCTCTCAACTTGAACTGAACACGAACAATAAGCTCAGGGTTTGGTCAGTACAGTCTGTCTCATTCATTGGAGTAAAAACAACCACCGCACCCTTTTGTAAGCACAAGGTATAAGCAGTCAGCACTGCACAGTTCAGCCTTCCTTCGCACAATGGGCATTTTGATAACAGTGCAATGGAATTTAGACAGCATTAGGGTTATCAAAACTCTAATTGAGTAAGGAAATTTAGGTCACAGTAAGGCAAATTCTGCCAGTTTAAACTTTGTGACTGCAAACAAGCCTGTTTAATAGATTGCTTCGTCTCTTTTCATCCAAGGTTTGTTAATTATGCCAAATGAACTGATTGCATAATGTGCGTTGGAAAATTAGTGGCTGTTCATATTTCTGTCTAACACCTGCTTATTTGCTGTTTTGCGGTCAGTGTTAAAAAGCGGTTGCTCCCAATCTTTTACCTAATTCTCTGTCTCTGCGTCAGATAGATTAGGTTTGATGGATCAACCCCAGAAACTCACCTGCAGATGGTCTGATTGGTATTAAGTTTCTCTCTTTCTATCTACCCAATACTTTTCATCTGATGTGCGCAGTGTTTCAATTACACCACACTGTATTGTATTGTATGACATTGTGTCATAGTATTTTGTATTGTGTCAGATTACATCCAATTATACTGTATTATATCATTACACATTGTCGCATATTGTACTGAGTATAGATCATATTGTTTCATATGGTATCACACTTTAAAGCATCATATTTAATCATATTGATCAAATCATATCATGCATCATGTTAGTTGGTTGTGAGGCTTGGACTATATTTATAAATATCTGACTTGATCCTTTAATAAACAACATCAGATTTATGCCGCCATGTCTGGTTGTCTGTGATTTTGTTGGGCAAGTGAGGTCCCAGAGTTGATATAATTTTTTATGACACCTCTAATTTTTCAGGAGCAAAACTATTACACTGAATAAATAACATGATTTAAATCTGATTTTAACTTGTAGACACAAAGCATTGGATGGCAATTGGCCACAAGGGGTGGCTTTTTGAAAGGTGTAACTGATGTAAATCCTCTTGTGTGATTGTGAGCTGTGAGTCTGTACTGGCCCAGGCCACAATGCCTCACTGGATTACTTAACTTAGCTTCCTGAAACACGTGGCCTACATACCAGGCTATATCAGGCCATTAATAATAAATAATGTAAAGTTAAAAATTCTTGCAATAAGTGACTTTAAACTTTATAAACTGAGCAAACAAGCTGGGAAGAGACATAAAAGTCAGACTAAACAAAACACATTACCGTACTACCTAGCGTACTGTCCTGCAAGTTGTTTTTCATCTGGTGAGCACTCTGATCCTCAAGGACGCAGCAACTGAGTTAGCTGAAATAAAAAATATATTTTTTTGATATACAGTAAAGTGTCATCCATAGTTTTTTTTTTCTTTAGTTTCCTTTCATGAAATAAAAAACACATTTTTGTGGTAGTAATAAAATTCTACATCGTCTCGAGACAGAAAATCAAACAGTGAGTGAAAAGACAAGGACACTGCCAGTCCCTTCCCCCCCGTTTTTTCTACAGTTTTCTACCTTCCTGAGTTGCATGGCCTGGAAATATGTAGGTGTTCTGCACCAGCTTAGAATAACTACAGACAGGGAGAAATTCGGACTAAAGACAGACATTGTTTGTCATGAACAAAACCTTGTTTTGTATGTTTTCCCTTGAGCGAGAATAAAGCTTTTAAAGCAACAGGGTTCTTTGTTTCTCTTCCTATTGGTTCTGAAAATGGAATGCGTTTCTACTGTACTGTATTGTACTGAGTTTCAGTGTGTGTGTGTCTGTGTGTTGAGCTCGTATGGGTGTATGTTTGTATACACAATGTACTACTACTGGCCCTTTTTCTGTCTCCCTGGGAAATCCTTGCAGCTGAGCCTCAGTGGACACAGCTTTTTCCCTGGCTTTCATCCCATTGTCTTCAAGTAAGGGGGCTTGCTGCACATCCTCGGCCAGCTGGGTGTCTCCACAGTGTGCTGAAAGCATGAGCGTAACAAGAAGGATGGGGACATGTGGGCCATGACAGTGTATTACTCACTGGAGGAGTGAATCTGTAAATGAGTGTGGTTGGCCCCAAAGGGCAGGATGGGCAGCCTGGGTGAGGGCAGAGCACCGGATCCAGACTGAAACCAGCACAACAGCGAAGAGGGATACAGCCCCAGTAGTCTTTTTCTCCAGCAGTCACTTCATCGTCTGCTCATCTCATGGTTTCTCCTCGTCAGACGAACTGGGCATGCATCATCCCTGTTCTCCACCCGGTTTTTGTTAGGCACATATTACCCAAAACATCTTCTACAGTGTTGTGTCAAAGTGATGTGCTGGCTACCATATCAAGAGTTTAATTTAAATAAGAAACATTTCCAGACAATGTTCAGATTCCTGGTGCAGGTGGAGGGTCATAATATCACTCTGGTTCCTCCTCTTTATCCCCTGAAGTCTCTGATTGTGGAAAGATTTCCTCCTCCTCCTCCTCCATGGCCGGCATCTCTTCCCTGTCGTTAAGGCCTTCAGCTGACTCCTCCTCTTTGCTTGCTTGCTCCTCCTCTTCCTCATGGATGGCTGTGATTGGATCTGTGTTGCTGCCGATGCAGTTTGGGTTCTCCTCTTTCTGCGTGTCCTCCTGGGTTTCAGCAGAAATTACTCTTTTCCACATTTCATGGTTTTCTAGAAGATGCTGTGTGATCTGACAGAACACTTTTCTCCTGTTCACTTTTTTGGTTTCCTGACGCTCTGTGAGACACAACGCCAACAAGTTAGACAAGCTGAATTTGGAGTTCAAGTTGTATAAAAGAAATGATAACACTGATTTTTGCCCGTAAAGCTCTCGTGAGGAACTTTTCAATTCTTTCGTCCCCTGTTGACAGAGCAGTTTTTACTTATCTTGATTAAACAGTATCTCTAGACTGAAAATATCTAGTCCTGCTGAGTTTTGACAGCTAAATATAATATTCAGTGTGAATATTTGGCAACACTTTATTTGACACATATCTCTATAACGATTATAAATATATGAATAATGCATTATAATCACGTTATATCACAGTATAACTATAGTTATAAACACTCATAAATGATCATAATGCTTTATAGCAATAATTATAACACATTATAAAGCATTTTATCATGACTTACAAGGTTGGGTATTATAATGTGTTATAACTGTTAAAAACTCACTGACAATGCCACATAGATAATGCATTATCATATATTTATGATGTATTACAATTTGCTTATAAACTTGTATAACTATCATTATAAACACTCATTAATTATTTTTAAGGCTTTATAACAATAAGCATAACACATTATAATACCTGACCTTGTAAGTCATGATAAAATGCTTTATAATGTGTTATGATTATTACTATAAAGCATTATGATCATTTATGAGTGTTTAGAACTAAAGTTATACAGTGCTATAACATCATTATATTGCATTATACATATATTTATATGTAAATATAAATATATGTAATGTATAATGTGTCTGCTTATATTTATGCATTTTAGAGATAGGCCTCATGTAAAGTGTTACCGAATATTTCTAGTGGGGGTTGTGAAAATAGGGCTGTTTCTATCCCCTTGCACTGGTTTCAAGCATTGACAATTACAATATAAAAATCATCAGTTATATCCGTGATGATCTTGTTTGCTTTTTCATATCATAAAAAGGCCTGAAACGAAATTTCAGTCTATTTAATTTACGTCAAATACTCCTAGTAGGAATTTGAAGTGATGTATATAAAGACGCAATAGAGGAACATTGCCAGCCATCTCCTATTAAACTTGTTTGTGGTTTAAAATTCATTTTTGCAGTGAGTCAAAGCATAATATCTTGCTAAACAAACACTTGCTGACAGTTTCTTGCCGTAGTTTTTTTTTTTTTTATATACAGGTGGCTTTTCACGTAAAGTACATTTACAGCAGCATCTAAAATGTCTATCTGTGGGAAATACGGTGTTTAAACAGCTAATAAGATTGTTAATGACATGGCATTGCTGACTCAATACCTGTTTCTCTTTTCTAATTCATTTTTTTCTGCAGTTACAGAAATAGTTTTCTAAAACTGAGCTCAGGGCTTGACTTACGGGAGTTTTCAGAATTAGTTGATGCGTCTTCATCTGCCACCTCTTCCTCCTCCTCCTCCATGTCTGGTCCATCCTTCCCTTCCTCTAGCTCCATCTCCCCCTCAGGTGGGTCGACCCAGCGCCCCGGCATGAGAGCGGCAGAGTCGTAGGAAGAACAAAGAGGTCCCACTATGTGAGTGATGAACGACTCCTGAAGTTTAGCCAGCTGAGGCGCAGACCGATCCATGAAGGGACTGATAGGAAGGCCGAGGCTGGCTTCTTCGTCACCCTAGAAGACACATAAAGAGTTAAGTCCAAAACGCTCGATCGATGAAATATTAAAAAAATACAAATTTCAGAAAGAAGAGTTTCTCAGCTACTTCATATGACAGTACTCAAGAGTGTTTGTAAAAAATATAGGATATTTGTGCTCCTTATTGACACACATGATCTGGCTTTGATGATAAAACATGTACAGTATTGTTGATGATGTAAGCTGTTACACAAAAAATGTAAGCACTAAAAGGAAATTAACTGCTGCAAATCCAATAATAGACTTGGAGACAGCGCAAACCAGGTCAGCCCTGTCGGTTTGTTTTGTAATTGTTCTCATACTGTAACTGTAACATAATGGAAAGTACAGAATGACCGACGTTGTACTCGTTATGTGTTCACAAAAGTCACCCTGAGTGACTGCAAAATAAAAAAAAAATCAAAGTCAAAGAATGATGACCTTTATTTTTTAATTTTAACAATGACAATGTCGGCAGATATTTGTCCAAGTTATGGTCATGGTGTACATTGGCACTTATAAATGCTGACATATGATGCATTAGGACAAAGACTTACACTAATTATGAATCAGATACTCATAATAGAAAATGAGGTTTGCGTAACTGTCAACTATTAACCTTTTTTCCTTGAACTCTGGGAAAGCAGCCCACCTCTAGCTCTAATTTACACACTGTTAATAGAGATAAGCCAAAGAAGACCTACAGTAACATTCAAGATGATGTCTCTGACAAACACGAACAGAGTCTCACTTTTTAATTCAATATTCTGATTGCACTTAAGGTGTCACCCTCGTCTTCACACAAACAGAGGTGTTGATTACAGGTACCTGCAAGATACTTCTGTAAACTACTTGTTCCAGGAACATGTACCACCTCAGGTAAAAATGCAAAAAACAAGACTGAGGGGTCTTTTTTCCCCATTATGTGATCATTTTTAAAAAAAAATATAGATGGCTCAGAGTGATTTTTGTTTTTGTGTTGTTTGTGTAGTTCCTGATCTATTAGAGCTTGTGATGTAGATTGATTTATTGTCTCAGCCATCGGGCTTTTGTGTTTGTTTTACAATGTCAGGTCTTAAAAAGCAATCGGAGGAGGACAAAGGTGGCAAGGGCTCACATTGCTATGGTAACCTGAAACCTGAATGGCGTCAGAGCACTGTATTAGTGGTTTGTGCAAAAGGTACACTCTGTGAATGCTCAGTATGTAAAAGAGAAGAGGATGACAGGAGAAAGAAGTGCATGCAAATGAACAGTATATAAATGCACAGTATTTATGTTCTTGTGAATAAAAGGATGGACTCGGTTGTCATCAAAAGCGTTATTTCCATCCCTGTGAGGGACTGTGAATGCAACCAAGGATGACCAATTTCAGGTGACCCAACTCCCCTCAGCGGGGGACAAAAATATAAACACATCCTTTTCTCAAGCACTTTTTCGTGCTCCAAACAAGCCCCTAGAGGTATTATAAGAATAGAGAGAAAGGTCAGTAAGGATCACCAGGAAAAAGTCTCTCTGAGTTATCAGTGCAGCTGAGAAGAATAGTGCTGTGGGGCAGCTTTTCTGGATCCAAAATGAGCATTTCATAGTAAAAAAAACATGACTTTTTAAGTGGTAGGTCTTTTCTGTCATCTTGCGTCGTTTTGAATCCTGCTGACAACATACATTTTGTTTTCATAGACAATAATGCGAGTAATGTGTTTTTTTTCTAAGGCTAAAACAGGAATCCCACAGGGTTTTGTTTTTTGCACACATGGATTATTACATGTGTCCTATTCACAAATAAATGTTCATTAATGCATATTGTTAAATTTTTTTACAAAATGAAGAAATAAAAAATCTATAAAACATGCCACAAACAATAAGACAAGGGGAGGAGTTCAACAAAAATTACTGGAATTTTGATGTTCTGTTAGCGCAGCAGCTAGCAACATTACCTTGACAACCATCAGGTCATATGTTTTATTTGTTTAAACTGAAGTTTCGTTTGACTGTGAGAGATTTTGTGACAGTTCCATCAAGACAGCGGGGGCTCTGGTTGTTGGTGAATAAAATCCATTGACCAAATCATTACACACCACACACTATAATAACAAAACAGTTAAATCTGTCACCATCTGTTGTCATGTTGTGGGTCTCTCACATCTTTAGATCAGGATTAAAACACTTTTTTGATTCCTGCCAGGCTTTAAAGTATCTCTGTCAAAATAACTGGAAGAAATTGGAAGACTTTAAGGCGTCTCAACATAAAATCTGAAATCATAAAATCAGCCTTGAATATATGTGGAATACTTTGTTAGCAAAAACTTAAACTGTATCTTTACTGTAAAATAATGCTGTTTTTCAAAAGGGGCTTGTCCATAAAATCATTTTTCTATCATATTTGGTTCTTGTATTGATTTGCCTTGTATTCATTTATGCCCTGCATTAACCCATTTAACCCCACCGGTCACAATAGTGACCATAAAAAAAAGTTTCATTTCTAAGGCTATAAAAATGTTACTGAACGATATATCAATGCATTTCCAGCAGATATTGAAATAATAAAGGGTCTTAATGAAATATGTGCAGTATCACATGTTTACTGTAAATTGTCACATGACCAGAGCTGTTTACATCCTGTTTGCGCCAAGAGAAGAGGATGGCAGCAAGAAAGCTCCCAAAGAAAAGGTTACTAAAGTATGTTAACATAAAGATAGGACATAGATTTTATATCAATGCATTGATATATGCATTTGCAATTACTCAACTTTGTTTAATGTGGTCATAGAACTCACAAACATGTCACCAGCAACAATAGTGATCGGTGGGGTAACCCATTGTATCTACATGTTAATACACATAGGCTAACTGTTCGACCTTACTTTCTGCTGCTACCTAACTTTCTACCTAATTTTACATACACACACACACACACACACACACACACACACACACACACACACACACACACACACACACACACACACACACACACACAGAGCACAGCACAGCACAGCACAGGTCTTTTCCATGAAAATTTCTAAAAATTATGATTGATTATTTCAAAGGGATACTAATGACACATGATTTGGATATTTAATTTGGGATTAAATGGGTTTAAAGCACTTATTTTTCCTTATGAGTCTCAAATGAGCTTTTATTCTAACCACAGGTCATTATTAGGCATGAGTCATATCTCTAATCAGGTCTGATTATTAACCAGTTGCATGCACGGACTGAACCGACCAATGAGGTGCCTTGTAATTTAAGTCCAGGATTTGTTGCCAGGCATCCCTTTGCAGTTGTGTTTGAGAAATAAAAAACCTGCTTGCTTATGTAAAACATGTCTGAAGAGACCTGAAGTTAGAAAGCATACTGCCATCACCCTCGGGGGAGACATTACGAAGGAAACCCTTCACCATTACATCATGAGGAAAGATGAGGAAGAGGGTAAAAGGTCTTATGAGAGATTAAGAGTGTTGAGGTAATCAAATCAGTGAAAATTGCATGTGAAAAAGATGTGAACATATTTATCTTTTGTGTGACGGGGCGTTCAGTCAATTCTTAAAGCTCTGACAGAGGTTTCTTTCTCCCTCCCTGGATCATATGTTTCTATAAAAGAGCATTGATAAGCATACTTGTTCATAGAACTCGTTGACAATCCCCTCGGTCCACTGCAGGTGCAGCTCCTTACACTTCAGCGGCCCATTGACGTCAGCCAGCTTGATGCACATTTGACAGACGAGCAGTCGATCATTTTCATTGGTCCAATCTATACCAGACACACCCTCATCACCCACCTGGGGAGATGTGCACAGGGAGATGCGTGTAAAAATACAAACACAGATGTGGATTTTAAGGGTAATCCTGACTACCTGGTTATGAACGTGAATATAGAAAAATACGCAGAACAGAAAAGCTAAGAGGAGGTGAATTCATGTATATAGTTGGATGGTGACTTCAGATGGTTTACCTTTGCATTAAACTCTGCGAGGAAGTCAAAGTGCTTTTTGAGGTCCGTGGCCAGGATGGCTTCAATGACAAGGAAGCGGAAGCGCTTGAACTCCACATGCTCCAGGTTTACCAGAAAGTTGTACTCGGGTCGCGACATGAAGAGGTTCCACGCTGAGGCTGCGTGATGATTTTCCAGAACTGAGCGATCATTGTACAAAAGAGCCTGCGGTGGGTGCAAGAGAGGCGAGATACTCAATCATGAATTTAGACTAAACACTACTTGCGTGCCACATTATTGTGTGTTCATTTTACTGTTGACTTGCCCTAATGACAGACATGCTTTATCCACACAGGAATCAACACTAAAGCAGCAGTCTCTTAGTTGATTTAACCATGCACCCTCTGAAAAACATCTACTTTACCTGTGGTGCACTAGTAGCCACTAAAAAGGCATTGGTCCTCCCAGGATGGTCATAGTCATGCATTGCAGCTGCTACATATAGAGCCATGAGCTCGAGGCCGGGGATGAGGCCGGCCAGGGAGCCGTAGCCTTCTGTTGGTGTAGGGTTCATCTTAGACACCAGGAAGCCTGAGGCACCGGGTGTGATGCCGTTTTCTGGAGACAAACAGGATGTCACTGCCCGTGTTTTTAACAAAGATAATTCTTCCTATTTAACATTCAGATCAAAGCCTGTTAAATAAGTCATGTAGATATTACATGACATATTTTATCAGCTAGATGCTGTTCACTGTAAAAAGAATTAAAATGTGAATTTCCCAGTTTGGTATCTATCTATCTATCTATCTATCTATGTATCTATCTATCTATCTATCTATCATCTATCTATCTATCTATCTATCTATCTATCTATCTATCCATCTATCTATCTATCTATCTATAACATATTCAATAAGCAATGAAAAAATACAGCAATGAATTTTAGAAATGGGATTTAACTCGAAGAACTCAAGTGAAGATTATGAGGAATTATAAACGTACTTATTTCCCATCCATGCAGAGTACTTGATCCATAGTGGTCATTATATAGCAACCATTTCATGTGCACTTTCTAGCTATACAGGGAAAACTGTTGCCGGGATACAGTCAGCTCTAGAGGACTAACCGTAATCGTATTGGTTCCCAGAAATACGTTGAGTTAGTTTGAACGAGGTTTGTTAGAGGGAAAAACTTCAAGTTACAACAGGGAAATGTACAAAAATGACAAAAGGGCATAAAAGTAACACTTAAAGACATGGTTAAAGATGCAGTGGTGTAAAAGAAATGAAAAATTAAAAGAAAATGTCAGAATCTGTAGTGCCTGCTAAATTTAAGCATTACAACACCAAATAAGACCTCTTGACAACATCCATGATTCAAATGAAGAGTTTCCACTCCTTTTAGATTAAGAGAAAGCAAATGTGAACCAAATGACCAGCGTGTGAATAACAGGGAACAGTCCTAGAGGTCTGTCCTGACTTTATATGCAGAGGTCCTCACCAGTGTGTATCCCGTTTTCAGTCAGCAGAGTTGGAAGGCCGGGGACAGACTGTGTGGTGAGGTACCAAACAGCGTGCAGCACATCAGTGGCATGGATCCTGTTGTGATCTGAGGAGAGGGAAATAAAATGTTGAATCTAAACAGAAGCGGCAGAAATATGTCTTCTTCTAGCTGAAAATAGATATGCACTTAAGCCCCCTTTCGTTAGAAATCTGCGCCACAGATAAGGTCAAGCTTTGAGTGTGTTTAGTCTATGATGAATTACTGTACATGTTGATCATTTTTTAAATGGAGCACAAAATATAAGCAGAGACAATATTCCCACATTACTGTGCATCCAGCTCAGGCCCAGAGAATACAACAAGCACAAGAGCCTTGTCACTTTTCACCCTGTATGTCTGTCTGCTGGGGATCAGCCTGATAAGTTTGGCATGAAACCAATTTACAGGCATGCTTTTCAAAACCAGACAGTGCCTATTCATACTGCCTCTAGCTGCTGTAATACAAGCTGTCTGTGTCTTTTTTTAAACATATGTAGACATGCAAAGCAGGCTGAACATTAACAGATTGACTGTATTTTTAGAAAGGTCTCATTAAGATAAACAGGCGATGCTTTGGCTCACACATTTGACTGTCGATAATTGAATGTGCTGTAAATTAAACATGAAGCGGGGTGTCATTTTCAGCTCTGAATGGAGCATACATGTGAAAAAAACACATCACAGTTACACTCATAAAAAAAAAGTAATTCCCTTTTTTTTTTAAAAATTGCTGCTAATGTCAGTAAGAATGTTTTCTCTATTTAGTTCAGATCCAAAAATGATGCTCCTGCACACTATGAGCAATGAGAACCTAAGCCTGATAGAGGAGCTTTGTTTCTTTGACAAAGCAATGCATCCCTCTTGTGGCAGACAGACGCACTGCTGGCTTGGATATCAACCGTTCCTTTAGGCAATATACTCACATGGAATAACCCTGTACCCGTTCTCCAAAGCCTGGAAGTAGTTCATAAACTCTTGAACAGGAATTCTGAAGGTCTCAAACAGACCGGTGTCCTCAAAGAGCCTGTAGGAAACCTGGGACATTACATGAGAACAAAACACACCATCAGACCCATCTCTAATTATTGTTGTGACTTGCATGTTAAAAAACAGTACCAACAGATTCTTGAATGAACAAACACCTGTTTTGTTGTCATCTTGTGTTGCTGATGCTAATGAACCCTAACTCTACTCGTGTCAGTACCACATTACGCTGCTGATGTGATACTCGTGAACCTTTCTGTCAACACAAGCTTCATTCAGTTGAACCGGAGCTGATATGTTGCATTAAAAAATGTCACAGGGGATAAGTGCTCACCTGGCTGAGGATGCAGCCTGTCTTGCTGTGGGTTTTCTCCACTAGACTAAAAATGGGAAAGTTCCAATTATTGAGTTGACTCATGAGGGGCTCTAGACCTGGCATCACCAGCGGCTCCATCGCCAACACCGGTTTATCCTGTCAGGGGGAAAATTACGACACATCAGGACAGGGACATTAGGACAAGTATGGTAAATCGAATCACATTACCATCAATTAGGAGAAGCCTTTACTTGAGATTGCTGTTTGAACTCCTTTTTAAAAGCACTAAATTTAGCCTGTCCTGTTGCCTACCTCTGGTGATGGCAGGAGTGGGTGAAGAACGATGCCCTCTGACAGATACTCCCTGCATCCGTCCCTCACACCAGGGGGCTTCTTGCCACCCTCCCCCTCCTCCTCATTCTGTGCAAAGTCGCTGCTGTCACTGTGGTTGGTCTCGTAAGTGCTGTCATAGGTGCTGTCATAGTCTGAAGATGCTACAACACGCTCATCTGGGGAGACGTTAGAGACATTTAAAACCGTAAAGTGGGCGGTCGCGAAGAAGGTCAGTATGATTGAATCAAATTATAACGTTAAGAATAAGGTGAAAGAATAATACTCATAGATTAGATTAAAACTGTTAAAATGCTTATATTGCTATCTAAGTTTCTCTTAAAGGGATATTCCGGCGTAAAAATAACACACCGTAACACAGAGTTAGACACCCTGTCGAGAGATGAATGTTGCTGACAGCTTCTCTAATTATACCAACTTTAGAAATGACCGCACGATAGCAATACACAGCAGTCTGAGGAGCCACATGCTCAACCAAGAAGCCATAGCACTAGCCACTGATAATCTTTTTAGCTTTGCCTGATTTCTTTAGCAAAAAGACTAAACATTATTCACCCACTCTCTTCCAGCAGCCGCTTGTTTGTATGGAGATCTCAGGCAAGTCCATTACCACAGCAGGATGACACAGCTAAAGGAAGAACATTTATGATCATTTCCTCATGGAAATGCTATGGCAGAAGAACTACCGCGTCTGCAGGGCAACTTGATTAATATGATGATTATTACTTCAAGGAAAAGATAAAGAAATTATCATAAATGTTCTTCCTTGAGCTGCATCCCCCCGCCTCAGTCAATGGACTCGCCTGGGGTCTCCGTACAAACAAGCGGCTGCTGGAAGAGAGTAGGTGAGTTGTGTTTAGTCGCTTTGCTAAAGAAATCAGGCAAAGTTAAAAAGATGTTTTGTGGCTAGTGCTTTGGCTGGGACCCTATATGTCCTGTTGACGAAGTTAGGTGCTGTTCTGAGCATTATTTGTGTCTATAGAGCGCCGTTTTGGTTAAGGTTTGTTGATGTTGTGTGTATCACTATCCTGCAGTCGTTACTAAAGTTGGTATAACTAGAGAAGCAAGCGGTCGGTAACATTCATCTCTCGACGGGCTGTCTAACTCGGTGTTACGGTGTGTTTGACCCTAAATTAAATTTGATTTATGGAATATCCCTTTAAGGAGATGATAAAAAAAATCAGCTTCCTTTTCAAGGACAGGGAATGTCTGTAATACCAAGATGCTTTTGTTCAAAAAAGAGTAATCTTCCTGTAAAAATCCCCTTCCCTTGTTCATTTTGATGGGTTTCTCTAATGGGACATGCATGCAGGCTGTCTACCTGGATGGGGTATTCTGTCTCCTTTGTCCACTGATTCCACCCCGTGGTTTAGCCGATTGTTGAATGGTCTGCCACAGCTGAGAGAAAAGAGAACAGAAATGTAAAGTGAATATCCTGGTATTTTACTGTCATCCCAGATGAATCAGGTGACATAATGTTCTCATGTGTTACCTGCCACAAAGTGATGGAGGTCGCCAGTGAGGCGTGGTGGAGCTCGGGGCACTCTGGCTGTGAGTTAAGGCTCTGTGATGGCTCTTAGGGGCCACAGAGCCAAGGGTTCGCTGTGTAAGGGGCCCAGAGAGCTCGGGAAGCTGTTCTGGACATGTTTTAGCAGTTGGGCTGGAAACTGGAGTGCCCTGGACTGGGGGAGACGGGCAAGGAGAGCCCAGAGGTGACACATTGGAAGGGGGGAAACCTGAAAAGAGGGGAAATGAAAACCCTCAGTTTTTAATAAACGTCCATCTGAGTGTTTAAAAGATATGATACCAGATAATACCTGGTCTTCCCAGTGGTTTGCTGTAGATGTGGTTGGAGATGACAGAGGCAGCATAGGAGGCGGACATGGACCGACCCTTTGAGATGGTCATCATCATCGAGTTGTTCCATGTTTCGCTGATTTTGATGAAAGATAAATGAAAGAACTTACACGTCCTCATCTTTTACAGTAAATGTTTGGAGCGGTGAGAGAAAGTTACCTGTCTGTGGTGTGTTTGATGCTGGCTGAGCGGTCCCGGCGTACAGGCCCGGGCTCAATGGTGGGGAGCCCCGTAGCTGAGGTGGTTGTGGTCCAAGTAGATATTCTCCTAAACAATCCTGGGGGTAGACTCCGACGTAGACGCTGAAATGAAGATTAAAAAAACACAAGTTGGAATACATACTGAAACTTTTTAAAAGAAGGTAAGTCAAGGAAAACACGTGATTTTATACCTGGGCCACATTTATGTTTATGACCGTAAAGAGGACCAAATATTACAAAAGAAACAAAGAAAATAAAACAAAAATAGGAACTGAAAATGGAGGCAGATTCAGAGCCAGAAATGCGTGAAGAAATAAACTACAATTAGTTTAAATTCTATCTTTCAGCTATAATTACATGTTTTATTACAGAGCACAGATTTTGGTTTTTCATAAAACAAGTAGAGTTTTTTTCCCCCATCATCAAAAGGGTCAAGACAACCCACCAGAAGGCTGCCATATTTCTTCTTCAGGCCCATGCCCTTTGTTTAAAAGCATATGGGAGACAGAGTGGTGTTAAGAAAGGAGCCCCGCTTGTTTCTTCCCTGTGGTGTCAATCTTTCCCAAGTTGTAAATTTTGTTGTCCAGCCATGAGCGACATTTAGTTATTTGTCAGCTTGTATTTTTGCACAGCGGGTGTACTCTTCTAAAAGGGCATTGCTCAGTCTCTCTGTCACAAACACACACTGAGACACACTGAGACAAACACTAACAGAAACACACACACTCGTCACTCATGCAGAGGGCAACAGCTGATCAAATTGTACGAAACTCTTGAGAAGATCATCCAGTCTTTTTTTGTCTGATTCTTTGACAGATGACCACAGATAGTCAGACACACGTGATGACCCAGCAGTGGTGCACAAGAAAGATACTTATAGATCTGTAATAGTGCGGTGATATCATTAATAGATTCAGGCACTCTGGAGTAATGTCTGCACAAAATATATAAGGTTGAAAACCTGAGCTGGATGGTCATGACCTTTGGGCTCTCAGGTATCACTGAAATACAAACAGACATGCTCATTTCCAAAACCCAGCGTCAGTGAACACAGTTTGTTTCAGCATCCACAAACTGTGCCATGTAAAAAAGGAAACAACCTCTAAGGAAACCCAGGGGAAACTGTTCTGTGTTTGGTGTATCAAATTTGAGAGTTGATGTACTAAACCGGTCTGCCTGCAAACCCATCTCGTCTGAAAATATTTGGCACATCATGAAACATCATATAAAATGCAACAACAAAAGACACCCTGTACTGCTCAGCAGCTGAGAACCTGTACAAAGTGGGAATGGGAAAACTTTTTACTTTAAAAACTCCAGAAACTGGTCCCTTTGGTTCCCACACCCTCACAGAGTGTTAACAAAACAAGACGTGTCGTGTGCATCACATTTAAATGAGCATAACCAGAATTTTTCAGTTTTAAATTGCAATATTTCTAAGTTTCAACATTTGATATGTTGTCTTTGCACCATTTTCAATCAAAACTCGGGTTTAAATTTTTTTCAAACCATCAAATTCAGTTTTTATCAACACTTAACATAACTTTGATTTTCTATGGAAAATAGCTAACTGTTCTATATAGTCATACAAAGAAAAAACTGTATATTGGAGTTTGAATCAGCTCATTCAGACTTTTAACTATAAAAGAAACTGTAATAAATGTTCCTCAGCCTACACTTCTCATAATCTTTGGTGCTTTATGACGGAATAGCAAATACTAGCTAAATAGGCGGTATGATCCGATTGCTACATGCAAATCAACAAATCCTCCAAATTGAAGGAGCTTCTCATTGAGTTCCCACTACATCAACCCAACATTTAAATGCACTCAGGCAAAGTTGCTTGTCACTCTCTTGGCAGGCTGTCCCTGCATTGCATCACACGCTTTATTTAGTTTCCTTGCAGCCTCAAGTGCCTGCATACAATTTGAAGCGCCGGCCTTGTAAAACATTAAAAAGCCTTCTGGAAGATTGTGCGTCATTGTTTGCTACACTGAAGCTTAACAGACTGCCTGCAGCAAGGGGGAGACAAAGGTGATGTACGCAGAGAGGGGCACACCTGGGCATGTTGGCGTTTCATGCAGCATACAACAGATTTTGTTTTGATAGTTCTGTGTTTTATAGTCTTCTTTCACTCTCTGAGCCACCAAGTCTCAGATCAAGTCCTCTTGTTAGCTAGTAAGCGAACAGCCAGTTTCCTACGCCTATGACTTCAATGAAAACATAAGTCAAACACCAAATTACTTACCTTTGGGATGGCAAGTCTCTCTACTTTCTCAGGCCCCTCCTCAGAGTCTGAGCAGGTGTGTGTGTCTGCGGGGAGGCGGGGCCGGTGGAGCGGCTGGAGGCTGATCTGGGTGCTAAGGAGGTTGCTGACGGCCTTCAGGGAGGTGCAGGTGTTGGGGGGCAGTGAGGGGTCGGCCAGCAGGTCTGAGATCATACCGTGGGCTTCACCCATCACGGCGATGTCCACAATCACACTGGTGCCCGAGGACTGGATGATCAAAGAAAGGTAAAGAGAAGAGATAAGGTATAAGAAAACCTGTTTTAAATGATATAACAGCTGTCCCATCCAGGGAACTTCTGTTTATGTTGTTTTTTGTGCCACCTGTGGACAGAGAGAAACTTCTTGCATCTGTACTAGTTTTGCTCCATCACTGTTAATTTCAGTCGTTTTCATAGCCAGTTAAAAACTCCTCACACTAGCTTTAAAACTGGTGCTGTTTTCATTTTCTATTGCTGGGTTCAGATTTATACAAATATCATCCCCATTCCCATCCTGCCTAAATGTAGCTGCCATCGATTCACATATTGACAGATTAGCCCAAATGCTCAAAGGTCAACCATGTGTGCCTCAGTAATGGATCCCAATAATGTCAGCATGTGCCAATCAGCTCATCTTTAGCTTGTAATCGATCCCTCACTCTCTGAAATCTAACACACACACATCAACACCAATCTATCAGCGTGATCAGTATTTGTAAGTGTATTATCATATTTTTAAAATAATAGTATTATATTTTATAAAGCTTCGTGCCATTAGAAAAAATGCTTTAAGATTTAAAAAAATATTTCCACTTGGAGTAACTAGATCTAACTTTGAGTCTAATTTTGAGCACAACATTTGTAGCTGCATGTTCTGCTATGATTTTTTGCAAACTTTGACCACATTCAGCTGACATCAGCTTATTAAATACATCTGAATATTGCTGCGACTTAAGAGACAGTACTATGATTCAAATTATATAAAAAATTTTAACTTAAAAAATTGAATGTTGTCTAAGTAGCAGTGGGAGAAAGTCCAGTTCAGCATTAAGGTTGGATATAGTAAGTTCAACAATTCAGTTGAAAGCAGTGAGAGAACTCAGTACAAGTCTGCTGAGTTATGGTTCTTACTGAACCCTGGATGAACCCTGATACAGAGTAGCTGCATCAACTTTCAACTACCTTAAAAGAGAAAAAATCCTTTTATAAAGAAAAAATTAAAAACAAAATTTAAATATCTTTAGAGGAAAAAAAAGACAGACAGGGTAGATGAATCCAAACATACAAACAGACCTGTTTTAAAACAATGTAATTCATCTCCTCCTACCTCATCCGTCTCTCCCCCACTTTGCCCTCACATGAAGCGAATCAACTCACGTGATAGCTCCATCCATGAGCCTTCACTCTCCCATCTGTCTCCTCCCTCCTGAGGCTGTACTGTGCTCAGAAAACTGGCAGCAAACTCTGCTCTCACAACTCTGCTTGAATCTGTGCCAAACTTCTTTCCACTTTGGCTGTGATTTCATGCAGTGTTTTTTTTTTATATCTTCAGCAAGTTAGGATTAATTTATGTCTTTTTTTCACTTCTGCTTCTTATCTAATTTAGGATATCTCTTTCTTTCCAGCTCGTCTGTAGCGGAGTTAAATCTTGAGTCGATTTGCGTCGTGGGTTAAGCAATAAAGTATGAAAAGCGGAGCCAGCCTTCTGAATTTAACAGTGATGGATAATGCCTCTAATCTACTTCCTTAAACAGATTGTATTAGCTCTTCAAACATGTCAGAGATCAGCTGATGTGATGAGTAAATGCATCAAGCACAGAGGAAGATAGTTTCCTGGAAGGGCGTGTGTTTGTGAGTCTGTGTGTGAGTGTGCGTGTGTCACCTCAACCTGAACAAAACCCATTAGACCACTCCAGAGCTTTATGACATCCTGCTATTGTGACATTCAGCCATTACCTGGCAGTAATGGACTCTGGTCAGCTAATGTCAGGGAGATAAAGGGAACTCGAAAATGTCCATGCTGGTGTGTGCGTGTGTGTGTGTTTGTGTCTGTTGCAGTTTGTTTTCTGTCACTTATTCCTGTCAGAATTTGGCATTTTTGGATTTCTATTTGCATGCATTTGTGAGTCCATTCAGTGCAGAAGCATCCGAGTGAATGGAGCGCCGCTTTAGCAGAGACAGAGCGGAGAGGGAAAGCAAGGGAGAAGGTTATTGATCCCTCCCAGCATAAAGACCCACATGAGACAGCAGGGAAAGCAATGGTCAATGAGTAAATCAACAGTAAACGCACACACACACACTAACACTCACACTCACACATGTGCAAGTACCAGAATTGCCCCTTAAGGATCTGTCTGTCAGGTTTTCAGAGTTATACAGCGCAATCTGTGCACAGAACAGCGGCTCATGATCAACCTCGACCAATGCCGTGCGCTCTGACAGAAGACAGTACTAAACACTGGCGCACAGTGATGTGCACAGATCAGTCAAATACGATTTAAATCAAACTCCTAAAATAGACTCATTGATTCGGATCGCTGGTCAGAGCACATAACATCACCAGTGCTCAAAAGGTGAATCAATATCCATTCAGAGCAGAGGTGGACAGATAAACGGGGTATATGGCCACATATAAAATATGTTACAAACATCAACACTGATATGATATTGAGTTCATAAATACAGCATCAAGAAAAACTGTTTGTTTGAGCATCACCTTCACCTTTGGTAACTATAAAGAGAGCCTGCTCAAACTAGGAAGTGTGTATATGTACAAAATGTAAAACAAAGTGGTCTTCCGGGCAGGGCAATTTAAAAAAACAACAGCAAGAAGAAGAAGAAAAAGAAGAAGACAAGCTCACAAACTTTGGAAATGCTGCAAAGTGTCTAACTATCACTTGTCACTTTTACAAGTGGGTCAAAACCATCGACTGTATCAAAGTTGGCAGACCAAAAGTTATTGGGAGTGAAGCCATGACTTTGAAAGCTCTCTCTGGTGACTGGCTGCAGTGAAGGTCTTCAAGCACACCTCCTATTTTAACAGATGGGCAAGTGAGTGTCAGGCTTGTCTTCTTTTTCTCTCTTTTGTATTTATTTAAAGATCTAACACATTTAAAAAACTGGATGAACTATTGGGACTGTTCCTCTCAGGAACATATCTATTGTTATATTACAAACTTAACATTTCAAGCCGACCTCCTGTCCTTTTATGTCTTTTATGGTCCTTTTATCACTTTTATTTCTTTAATGCTTTTGTGTTTTTATTTCATTTATTTTACTTCATTTTAAATGTTTTTTATTAATCTCATCTTGATGTTTTCTGCATAGTCTGTTCTTTTAATCTTATTGTGCAGCACTTTGGTAAACTTGAATGTTTTTTAAAATGTGGATTGGATTGGATATTACAGTGGAGATGTACCACCAAACCCAAGTTAAAGCTGACATACCAAAACCAAATTTTCACTGCTAACAAATAAGAGTAATGGCACTGACAGCCCCCTTTTTCTTTATTTCTCCAACCCCCACCTCTTTACTGAGAGACAGAGGATCTCTGTAGGCAGATCAGGCATAAAGGCAGATGGTGAGCGCAGATATAGAGAGAGAGATAAAGAGTGACAGAGAGACAGAGCAAGAGAATGAGAGGAGATGAGTCCACAGGCAGACCGTGACCAGCCAAGTGAAAACGGGAAACTGCTCATTCTAACCAGGCCAGCTGAGCTCCAACACAACTCAACCTACAACAACAGCGAATCTAGGACTACAGCAGAGACAGAGAAGCTTCAAATATATAGAGAGGCGTCATCAGTCCAGGCTTGAGGATAGTAAGGACCAAGTTCAGGTTCACCATGAGGAAATGATCAAGGGATTGCAAAGTGTTGCAATATTTCAGGGCAAAAGCACGTAATAGTTGAAGGGCTATTAATCTTTAACACATTTCTCAATTGATTTGGATATGATGTCTGACAGATCAGTACGTGTTTTGCAGGGAAGTAAAGAAAGACTGAGCTGTTTTTCCTGAAGTTGACAATGAGCATAACTGACACATAATCAATGCCCATCGATCAGATTCTTCCAATGAATTAATGTGTAGAAAACGAAAAAGAACAAACCATTGTCTGTGAATGAGATAAGACGCATATTCGATGTGTCGGGTAACTGATTGCTAAACAAAATAATATCCACCTTAGAACAGAAGTGACACAAAAGTGGCTTCACTCTCCTCTATCACTCTCTCACGCACGTAATTGACCCAAAAACCTGGCTGTATTGAGGAGCTTAATTTAGACTTTGCTTCGAGTTGTCCCATTTAAACCATCCCATCATTACTAATTAAATGGCTTCCCTCTTTCTACACACATGTGCACTTTCAGATCCACACATATACATGCACATAAAACAGAAGAGAGCCAAACTTTAAGGGCAGGGACCCAAATTGGAGCAAACCTGTTTAGGAGGATGTGTGTTGTCCTGGTGGCGTCCCATGATGCTCGCTGAGTGCCTCCTCTGCATCATTGAGTTTGAAAACAAAGAAATCTCGCTATTTAGATTCCTATTAATATAACCCAAAAGTATTTTTCTCCTTCTTTTTGCGCTTCAAGTTCAAAAATCACAAATCCCAAGAGTCTCAATCCAACACAAAAGGAATTTCAATCATGTATCCCACTAACAACTCCTCTCTTCTGCTCTTCCTCCTCTCTGCTGCTCTCCTCTCCATCCCTCCCTCTCCGTCCTCTCACCCGCCCCTGACTCTGTATCTGCCAATTGCAAATGTTCCCCTGCAGCGCCTCAATGAGACGACCTACAGCACACAGATATATCGTCTATTGAAAAAAAAATACCTGGTTGCCGGGAGACATCAGGACAAAGATCAAAGTGGGTCGTCTGTGAACCATAAAATAGTTGTTCGGGGCTCAGTTGGCCATGGTGATACTACACCCACACCTTGTCAAGTGTTTCCTGTGATAGCAGGTGAAGCCTGACAACCGAGCAGCGAGTAATATGTGTTATCAGAGCAGGGCTTTCTCCATTGGGGAACTGAGAAACATATCGATTAATTTAAGGTCTATCTGGGTGTGAAGGTCAATTATTGTCAAAAGAAAAACACAATGGAACATCTAAATATTGAATCAAACTAAAATGATGAATACATTTGCAAAAAAGCTTCAACTGAGATGTGACAGAAAACATGGATTTTTGTGTTTTTCATTTTCTTAACCAGTGGAAAGAGAGATATGTGCGACCTGTTAAACATGCAGCGTCTTGTTTTAACACATCCACACCAGCACCTGTTACTGGAATTCAAAGACCTCATTCATAATCCCACTCAAGAGATGACACCGTGCAAGCCATCTGGTTATCAAAAAAAGTAAGTACAAAAAAAAGTACATGAAAGCTTTAAGAGGGGACAAACCCACCTGCCAGAAGTTAATATAAAGCTAACCTTTTTGAAGATTTTGCTGTTTTCCTGCAAAGTTTGCTTTGCTTACATGGTGTAACACAGTCACAGGGTCTTAAAGCCACTGAGCTCAGATAATATGACATGATTAAAATATTTCACAGTCAATTTCTCGACATGAGTTTGGGTAGAATAATAGATAGCAGACTCAATCATATGGTAGAATTAGGTATGAGGTGACTCTGGCCCTTGCCATTGCCATCCTAAAATCAAAAGATCTGATTTTCCTCCTCAGAGGTAGGACTTATGTGGAAATCAACATTTTGTTGGTTTTCTTTGTCTTCGAATGTAGCACATTTTCTTTTATAAATGTCTTCATTGTGACCTTGGACGCCCTTTTTCTTTCAGTCCTTCAGGAATTGGAGATGAAAAATTTATGTTGCCATGCTCTTGTGTTTTTTTTTTTTTTTCCATTTAAAGAGATACTTCACTTATAGTGCTTTCAGTAGATAATGGAAAAAGGAAGGGTTATTGCAGTTAATTACAATTACAATTACATTTATATCTTAAAATGGTTATTGAAATGTTTATAAATGTCATCAATATACTTACAACTGGTATTACATTATATTATTGTTTTAAATCTGAAATGTGTATGATTTTCTATAAAAGCTCTAACACTGAAAGTTTGATGCTCATTTCAGGATTCAAGCTTTAGATACTCACTGGACCAACAAACAACATAAAGGTTATCGTAACATAATTCAATTTTACAGCCATTTATACACCACGCAAAAATGAGTCTTTGAATATGAAATTTGGATAATCTCCTAAAAATATCCTACAGTTATAAGTCGCAGGCTATTCGACTAAACTGAGCAAGAAATGACGCCAAAATCCCACACATCCACCCCTTCCCTTTTCCTGGGATTGTACTGACCTGGGATCTGCTCAGGGCTCTCTTGTAGTCCCATTCTTGTTGGCACATCATCTAGAGGTTGAAAGACACAAACAGAAGGGATTGTCAGATACATATGCACTTTGCAGGTGTAAATCTGAGATGTTTTAGCACAGAATGTCTTTTGTCTTCCTCAGTTCCTCCTCCTATCATCATCATCCCTCTCTTGGTCACCTAAAAATCTAAAAATAAAAAGAGGAGCAGCGATCCTGATGAGGAAGATGAGGACACATCACCTTCAATACCATCCTTCTATTCACTCTCACCCATTTTTGTTCAACAAGAAAAAAATGCTTTAATTTAGAGTCAACATGATGAGTTTCTGAGCGGCTTTCCTTGAATTTGAGAACTTTGAAGTTTTAGAGAAGCGCTCTCTTTTTGCTTTGAGTAATTTGAGTTGCAATGTAACACATTATGGAGCAATCTGTCTCTGCAACACACACACACAAATATAAGTGAAAGTTGGTAGGTTGGCTGTGAAGGGTATTTCCCCAGTAATTAGATGGGTCATTCATCATTGAATGTGCGAGGAAGAACACTTGCTCTGACCCACATTTCATTTTGATAACACTTGGTGAATTGAAGATGAAAGCAGAGAATAAAAATGAGAAGCTCATTCCATGAAGAACCAAAAACTAGTGCTGTACTGATACAAGCAGAACCAGAGATTTGTAACAATCAGATATAGCCGGACGTATACAACATATACACTGATCATTGATGTGCAATAAATCGACTAATGATGTTAAAGGGATATTCTGGCAAAAAATTAATTAAGAGTCAAAAACACAGTAACACAGAGTTAGGCAACCCCTTGAGGGATGAATGTTGCTGACCGCTTGCTTCTGTAGTTATACCAACTTTAGTAACGACCTCAGGATAGCAATACAGAGTGGTCTGAGGAGCCATACACAAATCTCAACCAATTCCACTCTATAGCCACAAATAATGCTCAGAACAGCACCTAACTTCATCAACAGTACATATAGGGTCCCAGCCATAGTACTAGCCATCTAACATATTTCTAACTTTGCCTGATTTCTTTAGCAGAGAGACTAAACACAACTCACCTACTCTCTTCCAGCAGCCGTTTGTTTCAGCGAGACCTGGGGCAAATCTATTACAGACTGCTGCGGGGTGATGCAGCTCAAGGAAGAACATTTATGGTGTGTTTGACCCTAAATTAATTTTACACCAGAATATCTCTTTAAAGTAATCTCAAAAACATTTAATGCACACATTGCATATTTGACTGATATCCTGCAGGACTAATGCTGATATAGCTCTGTATCTGTATCTGTATCTGCATGTATGTTCTCCAGTATGCACTTTTTCCATGGAGTATTTTTTTAACTGTATAAAAATCAATTTTACTTTTGTCTTTAAAATCACATATCAGCCATAAATGCTGGGTCACCCCTGGCTTAAACTCCTCCCTCCTCGAACTCTCACATAAAATTCAGAATCAGAGTGCTTTATTCATCCCTGGGGCTAATTCAGTCATCGGTTTCTCTAAAATATGTAATATGTAAAATATGTAAATACATAAAATGTATGTATGTGAGAAAGCTGAGCATTCTGCATTTTAGTTTTGATGACTTCCAGCAGGCAAACAGAGAGAGCTTCACACTAGTTATCATACCTGACAGCAGAGCATAATTTGGAAACTGTGGGTTCTCAGTTTTGGGTCTACAGGATGCTCTTCACAGCAGCATCCCCCCCTGCGTGATTCAGGACAAATAAAGTGAGTGTATTCTTACATTTTGGAAATAAAAACGCCAAAAAAATACTTTAAAAAACCATGAATTATTTTTGCTCATAGCCTTTCAGGGCCTGTCAGCACAACTAAACCCAGAAGTTAACACAATTAACACCAACATTTGACCTTTTTAAGGTTCTGTCCCTAGATTTCAAAATAAAACAAAGGAACAAAGCAGGCCAAGCATTTGTATATCAGCTACGAACATATCAATGGATCATTGGTATTTATAGAGACCCAGCGACCCTTTACATATCAGTGGACAAATATCTGCTGTTACTGGCCTGGATGAGAATATATATTCTCAATAAATAAATAATTGTATGTATAAAACAACAAGATATGGTTAACTTAAAGCTAATTATTTCCCTGTGAGTGTGTGTGTTGTTTCTGTGCACTGCCCTTGCTGTCATATTGTGTATGCTGAAGTATAAAATAGCATAAAATGAGCTGACCTGACAGCGCGACTGTCATCCACTGGAGATGACTTTGCATCTTGAATGGCAGATAAGATAATCTGCCTAATACAGTGGATTCATGTTTTATGTGAGCCCCTCGGGATGGGACGGTGATTTTTAGGGAGAATAAAAACACCAACGCTGAATCACCCTGAACTACATGATCATATAAAATATTCACACTCGATCTTGAAACAGTGTGTGAAAACAAGTTGGAAGACAAACAGAGTAATGCTGCAAAGAGTCGCATTTTTAACGTCAGTTTCAGCGTCTTTTGTTCAGCCACATCTTTTTCTCTGTTACAGCTCAAATACACTCCTCATGTCAGGTCTATGAGAGGCTGGGGAATCACATGCATGTCTGAGCCACATGATATATGACAGCGCCATCATGCAGTCATTCAGTCAGTCAGTCATCATGCCACTGATCTCACTCTTGTAAATACAAGCAGAGCCTGGAAGCAAAACTGAAATAAAAAGCCTGGATGATTCAAACACACACCTGCATGGACACACTACACGCTGCAGGGGGAGCTCTTTTTGTTGACATCAACATTGTTTGGTATCAGGGCTGTTTCTGTGGCACTTAAATCTGATCAGATTTGAATGCTAGTTTTTGTGCTAAAATCACAATAAGGTTAATATACAGTTAAATCAAAGTTAGAGGAGCTTTCAATAAAACCATGATTGTACAACTGTGTGCTGCCTTTTCCATTGAAAGTGCACTGATTGAACACATCTCTCAAAAATTACAGTTAACACATGATGACAATTGCTGAAGAAATTATATATCTTAATATAATTTAAAAATACTCAAAATTAAATGTAGCTTAAACTCCACCTCTGACCGCTAAATCCACAAACGCAGCAGAATATAAATACCTATCACGTAACAAACAGAAAAAACACACACACACACAGACACACACACTGCTTGGCCATATTACAAATCCCATATCAAAGTAAAAATTAAAATGCTATAAATAAACATTTCTATGTAATTGATGAATGAGTACTGCGTGTTCATCTTTAATCTCATTATTCTAACAAATAAATCCGGAACCAAATGTCCAAATGTTGAGATCCACATCCCACAAATAGAAAGCAACGGCCTAGGGGTTAAAAATATAAATAACAAATATCTTCAGCCTCTTTTTTTATTGCAAAAAATTCTACTCTAATCCAACACCAGTACAACACGGAAATACAGCGTCCGTGTGTCCTCTGAGCGGAGAGTGTGTGTGTGCGTGTGTTACAATGTACTACAACAAAGCCATATAAGGGCTAAGGGGATCAAAAATCTGGCACACACACACTCCCCACACACTCAACACGCAGACTCAAGAACAGCCAAGTGCACACACACGCAAACACACACACATACACGTTTACACACAAGCTCTTTTCTGTTTGTCACGACTCAGACACTCGAGTCCTGAGGAACCCACCAGGCCAGACCAAAACCCCCACTGACCAGCAAATGTTCTTACTACACCCCAGCAGAGGCAGTGAAAGAGACATGAGGGAGAGGCATGAGGCCTATATGAAGAGAGAGAGAGAGAAGCAGGATAAAAACACATATCAGAAAAGAAGTGCAAATTACCGCAGCATTTATTTATTTCCCATATGAAATTATTAAAATATGAATGTCACAATGCACGTTGTAGATTTCTAGGAGACATCACAACATTTTATTAAGCATGGAAAAGGCCAAAATTAATATTTTTTATAATTAATTAAAACTGTTCAATCCTCTTTTCTCAAAAAAAAAAGAAAATAAGATAAAGTAAGAAAAGTCTGAGTATTAGCTTTGTGTGGTTGCATTTAGGGAGAATGACTCACCAAAGGGCTGTGTAGCATTTGTCCTTGTTAAACTCATCAAAGTGAGCCAAAATGACACTGTCTAATTCCCAAAGCACGCAGAAAGGATTAAGTGAACCCCAAACTGCGCTGCACACTAATTTCCTCTTTGCACTGGTGCTGTTTGCATACATCCAAATAAGCAATTATGTGTTTGTTAGGGGCAGGATAGACCCCTTTCTATGCAACTGAATCTCATTCGCAAAATCCGAATTTACTCACACTGGCGGCCTTAGGTCCAAAAAGAAAAAAAAAAAGGATTTTCTTCCATCAGATTTCCATGTATGGAAAGAACCTAGCACCATCAGGATGAGTGCGCACAGCTCTGCGCAGCCGAGGGTGGAGATACTGACATCTCAGTTACATCAGATGCAAGAATGGGAGCAAGAGAGCTGCAGAACACAGTGCGCTATCATAAGCCCAATTTGCTCTGTAAAAAGATGCAGAATTCTTGGTGCGATATAGATTTATCAGTAAACTCAAGGATGAATGTCCAACAGCAGCAGCAGTTGGAGTTACTGCCTTTGGTTGAATTTGATGGTCTATGCTGATGTGCTTGGCCATGAAGGTTGTGTCCCTGCATCTTGCAAGAAATTTTTTGATAAATTTTAGTTCATTAAAAACTTTACTTGATAGTTGCCAGTGTATATTTGTTTGCCTTACTTCTTTGACTAACATATATCAACTGGAAATATACTGTATAGGCCTGCGCTAATTTTAAACAACAGCTTCATATCTGCGTCATACATCAGCTGTTGGCCAGACTGGATAAGCATCTGGTTATCCATCTCGATCCCCAGTGTTGCTATGCTGAAGAGATACTCACATATATCACAATGGTTACTACTATTTATTTTTTCAGCATAAAGAACTGACTTAAAGGGATATTCCGGCGTAAGATTAATTTCGGGTCAAACACACCGTAGCACCAAATTAGACAACCCCTCGAGAGATGAATGTTGCCGACCGCTTGCTTCTCTAGTTATATTTATCTGAGGAGCCATAAACAAACCTCAACCAAAACGCCCCCTATAGCCACAAATAATGCTCAGAACAGCACCTAACTTCATCAACAGTACATATAGGGTCCAAGCCACAGTACTAGCCACCAAACATCTTTTTAGCTTTGCCTAATTTCTTTAGCAAAGAGACTAAACACAACTCACCTACTCTCTTACTACTCCAGCAGCCGCTTGTTTGTAGTGAGATCTCAGGCCAGTTCATTACGGACTACAGCGGGGTGACGCAGCTCAAGGAAGAACATTTATGATCATTTCTTCTTGGAAATGCAATCAGACCGAGATACTAAGGCAGAAGAACTACGTCGTCTGAAGTGCAAAATGATTAATATGGTGATTATTACTTCAAGGAAATGATAAAGTAATGAGGTTTGTTGATGGCTCCTCAGACCTCTGTTTATTGCTATCGTGCGGTCATTACTGAAGTTGGTATAACTACAGAAGCAAGCAGTCAGCAACATTCATCTCTCGAGGGGGTGTCTAACTCAGTGTTACAGTGTGTTTGACCCTAAATTAATTGTACACCGGAATATCCCTTTAATGTCTTTTAGCTGAGTGTGGCCCATGTAAGGGAAAAATCAACAAAACATGAGGCAAATCTCTCCACTCAAAACAAAGTTCACTCAGGTTACTCACTAAATACCAGTCCAAGTGTTACACTCATAAGAACACATTAAACACAATATTCACACAATCAAATTCCAAGCAAGTATCGGCAACTGGCTCATAGGGACCCCAGTAGCCACAGTTTACCCACTCAACTCAGCGAACTTGGCAGGAGGATTTGGCAAAGCTGTGTGTGTATGCATGGTTTGCCTCTGTGTGTTTGAGAGAGGGGGGAGGAGGAGGGACTTCTTGGCTAGATGATGATGACTCACCCACTCACACACAAACATGCACACATGAATTACACATGCGCTCATCACCGTCATCAGTCCAAACCACGTTAGCGCAGCTCACTGACGCTAATTGTTTCCAATCAGTGTATCAGTGTTCCTGTCGATGCACCATGAAACCAGACCATTCTGACCATAGCGTATTGATGTCATTACATGCTAACTGTACGTCTGTCAAGTGTTTGCATGCCTGTCTGCATGTGAGATACAGTTTTAGCAGTTTTAGCTCATGCTAATTTGCTTAAACAAGCCCTGCTAATACAAATGAAGAGTTTCCTCAAACCTACAGAACAGAGAAAAAAGAAATCTCTGGTTTTGGTTAAACTGTCATGAACGTTAACAGTAAATTAACAGTGCTAATGGTCATAGCAATGCTAATCAAAGCTAGAATAATATCTGTAATTCGTGTTCACCCACCAATGTATGTAATAAAATAACAGCAAAAAAAAAATACTTCTTACCGCTATTGGTTTTTCAATTTTTAGCATGCAGTGTGCACTCTCTTTCTTGCTCCATACTTGTCATCTTTACTTTACTGAGTACTCTACATCACATGCAAAAAGGCCCTCATGCATGCATAAAAACTCAGCTGAAGCAGACACATAATTTCACCCCAGCTCCCCCCCCCCCCCTTTCTCTCAGGCTCTACAGCTGAGTGGAGTGTTTTCCCCTCTCGTTGTTGTACCCGTGTTAGGCCACTGACGCCAGCTTGTCATCCTCCACTCCCATTACTGTGAGAAGGGACTGCGTCACAGCTCCCACAGCCTACTTCTCTCTGTCAGCTCCCTGCTCCTGCTGATTGACACTGACGTCGTCGGGTGGTAGCATTTCAGACCCAGTCCCATGGGAGCAGCGATAGCATCCGGACACCGGTCTTCCATTTGGAGCTGCGTGTATAATGTCTTTTATCCCATTTTGTATTTATGTTTCTTAAAATTTTGGTCATTCATGTTTCATCTCCAAAATCTTCCATATTATCCTCTTACAATAGAAATTAAAACAGATTACAGAACAAATGTGTTTGCTGGTTCTTACTCTCATTGTCACTTGCGATGCTTTTGTGGACTATCATATTTTTTAACTATATTTTGAACTTTAAAAATAACTAACTGTGAAGTATCTACTGAATTAAAGCTAATAAGCAGCAGCCAATAATGCTGAAATTTTGATTCTAGTACACAATAGTCAGTTTGTTTTTAGGTGGTTTTAAGGCACCCCTGTATGGCTGTTTTGGACACCACACATTTGACCAGAAAGACCAGCTATAGGCTAGCAAAGTGATTTAATTATACCTGATTCTACCCAACATGCCAAACTTTGATAAATATTGGCTATGCTTTTTGAATTCATGAGATGTCGGTACGCAGAAAGGCTACAAGATGAATGCTGAGCGGGCTGACCAGATAAGAAGCTGATAGGAAAGGAAAAATCTATCTTATTTCTATAATATGGCTACCATAGTGATGGACGGCATTTTGAGGCAGAGGAGTAATGATTTACACATTAGCGGTCAAAATGAGCACGGTGTTAACAGGATCTAGAAGGTAGTTAAACAGGCAGTCACTCTACAGTTGGAAGTTTCAGCGCATCAGGAGCTTTTCCCACTACAGTGGGCTTAGTATAAGCAGGCACAGGTTTTCAAACTTTAACTATGCTAACTTTAATCTGTGGGCAAAGTTGTTAGCTTGATAATAGCTCATCCTTAAATTGAAATTCAATTGAGTTAAACCGTGAGGTCAAAGATAATACCTGATAAAAGTCTAACAGTCGACCCCACTGTCCTGCCAAAGAGGCAATCCAATTCTAGTATTAGATTCGATCCAAACACATTTTACCATAACTAAATGAATCAAAAACTACAAAACTCTCTCAATTTGTACATTATCCTCTCTTTTCAGTAAAAGCAGGGTTTGGATCTGTCTTCTTTCTCAGGTAAACATCCTCAGCACAATAAAGTCATGATAAAATTCAGTTTCTTTTCAGGGATACAGATCTTTCAGCTTCCAAACATATCTTAATAGTTTGTTCGACCAACAGCTTTTAGAGCCGAGTCATTCCACTGCCAAAGATGTTGTCTCCCAATTGACCTGTTACATAGGTACCAAAACAATTGTCAAACACTATTACTTTTACAGCTCTTGTAATTTTTCATCTTTCAAGGTTTTGCTTACTCTCCATCTTCCTAGCGACACATTCATTCATGCTAACACTTGACTAGTTTCTGTCCATTCGAGCCATGACAAAGAAAATCCATGAGAATTTGATTTTTCTGTACAACGGGAACGTAGGGATGAGAGGGCAGGGGATACAGTTCTGTCCAATGTTATGAGTTTGTTATGAGTTTATGTGTTGTTCCTTTAATGTGTCCTATAGTGTTTTATTTCAATTGTGAAATTAACTTATTTTCAGCTCATGTGTGTGCAGAAAAAGGGGGTTGACGTTTCATGTTATTGTTTTATGACCACTTCCTATGGTTTTGTGCGATAACATTTGTAGCTGTTTATACACCCTGAAATTTCATGACAATTTCACACCCTCAATACAGTACTGAAAATGTTACACATAATTTTGTTGTGTATCATCTGGGTAGTCTTGTCTTAAGGCTAGATCACAGACACTCAACTTTTAACACTAGAGCAACATAATCCAATAAGGACTTGTTCATTGAATTCCCTCATGAATGAGATTGGAAAGGGAGGTAGAAATGGACAGAAGTGGGAGGAGGATAAGTGGAAAGGAAGCAAGAGAGAGATGCTGGAGACAGAAGAAAAAACTGAATGAAAAAATGGAACACATTGACATTAGCAAAAGCTGCATCAGGCCTGGAGGAACCAAACCAGCCACACACGTGTTTGTGTGTGTGAGTGATGGAGACAGCAAGAGAGAGAGAGAGACAGCGAGAGAGAGAGAGAGAGAGAGAGAGATAGAGAGAGAGAGAGAGAGAGAGAGAGAGAGAGAGTGTGCCTGTGTGCACATCATCCTGAGTACACATCACAGCCTGAGGCTAACTCCTTCGTCTGCTCCTCAGATGAGAACCGAGCGCTCACTTTGTGCTGCTTTAGCTCAGCTCAGAGAAAACAGGGGCCATTTATAGAATGAATCCAATTATTACTAAATACTGGAACTTGACCTGAAATAAACTCTTGGCTTCATACCTGACGGCGGGGTATTTATAATAAACCACAGTGCGTTAAAGAAGATGTGGGCTGGTATCTCAGTGTCATGATGAAGCTAATGTGACTTGTATTCTAAACACTAACCTTATTACAGCTAAATAACTGGGGTTATATGTGTTGGTGTAAACATGCAGGAAACGTTAAAAAACACTCACTGGCCACATTATTAGAAACACCTGTACAATTATTTGTCAATACAAATAGCTAATTAGCCTATCACATGGCAGCAACTCAATGTAGACGAAGTCAAAGCGACTTGTTGGGAAAGAAAGCGGATTGAAGTCACTTTGAACATGGCGTGGTTGTTGGTGCCAGACAGGCTGGTCTGATTATTTCAGAAATTGCTATTCTGCCTGGATTTTCATTCACAACCATTTTACAGAGGATGGTCCAAAAAAGAGGGAATATTCAGTGTGCGGCAGTTGTGTGGGTAAAAATGCCTTGTTGATGCTCGAGGTCAGAGGAGAATGGAAGACTGCTTCAAGATAATAGAAAGACAACAATAAGTCAAATAACCACCAACTGCAACCAAGGTATACAGAATACTATCTCTGACCATCCATCCCTGATGGGCTACAGCAGCAGCACTCCTGTCAGCCCATCACAGGCGAAACAGAATTAAACAGTCGAAGATTGGGAAAACGTTGCCTGGTCTGATGAGTCTCGAGTTCAGCTGCGTCATTCAGATGGTAGGGTCATCACAACATTGGAACATGGAACCATCCTCTGGTTCAGGCTAGGGGTACTGGTGTGATGGTTTGGGGGATATTATCTTGCCTCACTTTGGGCTCCTTAGTACCAACTGAGCATCATTTAAACGCCACAGCCTACCTGAGTATTGTTGCTGACCATGTCCTTCATTTATGACCACAGTGTACCCATCTACTTCAAGCAGAATAATGCACCATGTCACAAGCTCAAAGCGTCTCACACTGGTTTCTTTAATGTGGCAATGACTTCACTGTCGTCTAGTGGCCTCCAGAGTCACCAGATTTTGATCCAAGAGAGCATCTTTAGGATGTAGTGGGACAGGACATTCATATCATGGATGTACAGCCGACAAATCTGCGTTCTGCTATCATGTTGATATGGACAGAAATCTCTAAGGAAGGTTTCCAACACCATGTTTAAAGTATTTCACAGAGATTCTTCTGAAGGAAATAGGAGGTATAACCCAGTACTAGCAAGGTGTACCTGATAAAGTGGCCAATGAGTGTAAAGAGAATGCAATAAACTACTGTAGAAAATGATAAACTTGTAAAACGATGTTAGAGACAGGTGCCTGACTATGTTAGGAAGAATCTTGTCTCAGTTGTCTCTTCCTAATGTTTCCCTCAGCTCCAATTTTATCAACCCATCAACTTTTTCCAATCTTTAAGTTAGAAAACCTAGAATTCCAAAAACACACAACAAATCACATCCTGGCACTTCCTGTTTACACCCCACAAAGCAAACCTCCAAAACTTCAAACATGATCATCTATCAAATAAAGACTCAGAATGGGGATGATAAACAACAAAATCCATTTAAACTGTATTTTATTTCATCTTAACATCTGACTAAAAAGACAAACACGGATATTGGCGGCACACACAGTGAGTGACGGCAGCCGGGGACCTAGAAAATACAGCTTTTGGCATTTATCCTGTGCGAACTGGACAGAGAGGAAATTGGGTGAGTGGGAGAGAAAACAGAGCGGGACAGGAAAACAAAAAAGCAATTAAAAGGAGGAGGGAACGAGGAGGCAGTGAGAGTCTGAGAGAATGGAAGAGATGCAAAGAGGAAACGAGGGTGAGGATATTTTGACTACAGTTGCATGTGACCTGAACATGACCTCCTGATGAAAATATTGATTAGAATAAGCTTAAAGTGAGCTGAAATTTAAACATAGCAACAATCAGACATTTGATTTATTAAAATACTTAAAAAATTAAATACATATTTGGTTGTATCCACCTCTCCAGTACAAACAGTACAGAATAAAATCTGAGAAAGGAAAATTTCACATACAAATTGATAGACTACAAGTGATAGTTTAATTCCTTCACCTAAATTCTACCAGATTTGTTTTGGGTTAGACCCCCACCCCAGAGAGATGAATGTTGCTGACCGCTTGCTTCTCTAGTTATAACAACTTAAGTAACAACCGCACGATAGCAATACACAGCGGTCTGAGGAGCTATAAACAAACCTCAGCCAAAACGCCACTCTTTAGCCACAAATAATGCTCAGAACAGCACCTAACTTCATCAACAGTACATATAGGGTCTCAGCCACAGCACTAGCCACCAAACATCTTTTTAGCTTTGCCTAATTTCTATAACAAAGAGACTAAACACAACTCACCTACTCTCTTCCAGCAGCCGCTTGTTTGTAGCGAGATCTCAGGCAAGTCCATTACAGACTTACAGACCAGCTCAAGGAGGAACATTTATGATCATTTCTTCATGGAAATGCAATCAGACCGAGATACTAAGGCAGAGGAACTACTGCATCTGCAGTGCAAAATGATTAATATGATGATTATTACTTCAAGGAAACAATAAAGAAATTATCATTATGGTGTGTTTGACTCTAAATTAATTTAACGCCGGAATATTCCTTTAAAACATATGGTTAAAATTCAAAATAATAAAAACCTTTGATGATGATTATGTTTTGCTAAACTGCACGGTAAGACTGTGATGGTGAGCTAGGCCAGTCCTGGAATCAACAGGTCAGAAGTCAGAGGTAACAGGTCTGAGCACATTATGGAGGTAGAAAATCCCTGATTCTGTATTTAAAGGTACCCTATTATGGCATTTTTTATCAAGTTTAAATCGGTCCCAGAGGTCCCACATTAGTAAATTTGAAATCCTATGTCTCATGACTCCAGCTGTCCGGCGGTGCTGCTTTGCACTGTGATTTATCAGCCTGACTTATCTGCAGACCGATTAATGGGTGTATCTCTAGTTTGGAACTGAAGAAAAAATACCATTCAGGGGAGTGTTTTTTTCTTTTTCAATCAGCATCAGTTAATTAAGTCAGTATTGATATTTTTCTCCAAAAAATGAGAGAAATTCTTCAGATACTACTGTGGGGTCTGAGTCTGTACTGCAGCAGTGTCCAAGGGTAACAAAGTAGTGTCTGAAAGACAAAGCAGCTGCATCCTCATGAGCAGATGAGACCGCGGGGGAACTTATTGTCTCTCAAAACAGACAACCTCTGGCAATTAGCTGCTGGATGTACGTCATCAATGTGTGTCTGCAGCGTGCGTGTGTATGAGTGTGAGTGCAACTTGTACGTGTGCGTTATGAGAGATAATGGAGGGGAAAAACATGCATGTGATGTAATTATACCCTTGATTATCTGATTGGGTAATCTACAGCCTGGCTGGAGGCGTCCAAGACAAACACACTGCGGGCCAACTGTTGACCTAGCATAAACCACAATGGTGCACACGCACACACGCCGATCACACACACACACACCTGTGTTTGAGATCGAGCTCAGTGATGCGTAAATGTAGTGATCACCAAGCAGGAAAGCAATGATGAAAGAATGAACTTGTCTCCATGTGTGTGTCTGCTTGTTTGCATGAGTGTGTTTAAAGTTAAAACAGAGGAGAGTTTTCCAGGAATAACAGGAAGCAACTGAGACATCGAAGCAGATGACTGTAATACAACATTTGTAACATTTGTTGAGCCCGCACGCGTCTTCATTTTTTTTAACACACATTTTAGCTTTGCAGAATAAACTCATCAAATCTTGTAAAGATAAGAGGTTTTTGCATATATGGGGCTTTTATGAGCAGTAGGCCAAATATATTGTACAGGCTGCGATTACCAAGGAAGAGGACCAAGTACCTTCTCATTATTTGAGTAGCTTTTCTCCAGACAGTAAAAATTCTCAAACAGTAGGTTACATTCATAGACTGTATATAGAATGGACAGAGTCTGCCTCCTCACTGGATGAAGCCACTCTGAGAACAGCACCCTCCGGTGACAGGCTGCAGTATAGGGCATAAATAGGGATGTAACGATATGAAAATTTAACATCACGATTATTGTGACCAAAATTACAATGGTTATCATTATCATGGTATAATGGAAATATGTTCAAAATGTTGAAAAAGTACTTATACATGCCCTGAAATCGTTTAACAGTTTTATTTTGAAAAAAAAAAACAATCGAAATAACATGCAGAATGAACTTTTCCTTAACCTTAAATAACAGAGGAACGACAAGCTTAAAAAATAAAAGATGGGGCCTTAAAAGAGCCAGAGGTAATCGACACTAGTACTAGTAATAACAAAGTACAAAGTAATGTGCAAGTGGCATAAACATTAACACAATAAAAAATAGAAATTTAAATAAAATGACATTCCTTATTGTGCAAATTGTAAGAATCTTCAGTGCTCAAAAAGATCTACTCCTACAAATATAGAGCAGAGCAACGCTACTATAGGAAACAATACAACCACATGTAAACAAATCTGTTGTGCAGGTGTTAAAAACAAGTGAGTGTCATCACAGCAACTCTCGGCGACTCTCCCACCGAATTTGTACAACGCTACTGCACAATGTTGGTTTCAGGAAGTGGAAAAAAATAATGGAATGACCGAGAGCTTTTTGGCTTCAAATCTGTATACTGGTGGGAGTCAGAACCAAGTTGTCCATAGTATATACAGTCTATGGTTACATTTAGTCAGCAAACAAGGTGTCAGACTGAGCGGTGGGGAGCAATGTTGTTATCATGGATGGAAACGAACAAAATCACAAACGAAAAAACAAAAACAAATGTCAGATTCCCAAACTGCCTCTGCCCTGTGTTTACACTGAATCTGGAAAATGAAGGATTCCCTTGTTAAAGTAAATAAAACAGGAATTTCGACAAGTTCAAACTGGAAATGATCATAAAGTGACACACTCTGACCAATGAGCCCAAGCATACCATTCACAACTCCCACCTGCTGACTGTCTGCTGCATGGGAAAAACAGACACACATACACACAGACATACAGGACACATCCAGACTCTGCTGCCCCCCCCCCCCCGCCTGGACCGACAACTCTCCCCCTCCCCCCTCTCTCACCTCTCACCAAGCATATTTTGGAGCTAAAACACACCATTGAATCGAGTAACAAGGCAATCCTTGTCCAAGGCCACCAAACCTCATTTGGAGAGCCAGCAGGGAAGCCACTGCATGTGTGTATATGTATGTGTGTGTGTGCATGTGAGAGAGCACGTGTATACAGTAGTGGCCAGACTAGGTTAAAATTATTTGCTGGTGCCTTTCAGTAGCGAGCAGCGGAGGCCACTCTCATATACACACTTTTTTTTGGCTCCTCTCTTCCCCCCGGTCCTCTCCTCTCAGTGGGAGCATGTGGCGTGAAGCCATATTCACATTATGTGGAGACAAACACGAAAACACACATAATATCTGTCACACAAACCATATGTAATGGGCATAAACTTGCCGTAGCAGTGTGTTAGTGAATGTGCGAAAGTGCATGTGTGTTTGTGTGTGTGTGTTTAGAGCAGCAATGAGTGCTTGAACACAGGGACCAGATAGATATTTGTCCTCTTACCATCAACACTTCTGCTGTGCTTGGCAGCCGTCCTCCTCTCACTCCCCCCTCTTTCCCTCCCAGCAGATCTTTCAACACTCTCCCTCCCTCCTCTCTCTGCTCCTCTCTCACGCAGCAGCTCCTGCATTAGCTCCCCTCAAGCTGGTTTCCCCTCTCCACCTCCTCCTCCTCCTCCTCTTCCTCCTCTCTCCCTCACACACATTTGGCTATTTCAAGGCAGCTTGAGGCTGGATGCAGCTTGTGCTCATACCAGTTTATTCTTCTCTTTCAATCACTTCTACTTTTAACCCATCTTTATGATCCTATTCTCTACTAGTTTATCTCTCTTTCAAATCTATAAAAGTTTTTGGACATTAATGAAATAGGCTGAAATAAACTTTAATGATTTCTAATGATATACAAAAGCAACTCAGACCATCAGCGACAAGATTGACTATTTTTATACTGTGATATTTACGCCTGAATTTGGTGCAAAGGTGTGGGCGTCATCAGCGCCACTGAACTGCCCCCTTTTTTGTGTTTTCCTCATCAAATATTAACAACAATTGCATCTCCAGTTTATGGCTCAAAACACAGCCAACCAGTTTTAAAGGGCTCTCTGTCATTGGTGCTTGTTTACATCCATGCAGTAGAGCATAGTAGCATCATTGCACTGCAGCTTAGGCACAACACATGTCCAGGATTTCAGTCCAACAACCATAAAATGTTATCTTTTTAATCTGACTAGTAATTCTGGTGTCAACTGTGAATGATTTTGCTTTATCATTTAAACTGACTGTGTGTAAACGATCAGTCTGTATCTGTTTGCCTCCACAAACAACAAAAGTCAACATCACCACAAATCAAAACTGCAGACTAATGTTCATTCTTCAATGTTTCAATCAAGTTTTTTAGTCATAATTCCCCTGACAACAGTGTTTATAGTTACACTTCTAAACAGGAAACATCTGCGATTAATTAGTTGCTAAGTAGCATTTATGTTATAAGTATTATTCATAGTTATTAAGAGCAGACTGTCTCTAAATTACTTATTCCAAAGCATTTATTAATACATTATTCTGTATAACCATATTCTACATTTACTGAGCAATCAACTAAGAGTTTCCCTCATGATAACAGCTTATTAATAACTTGTAGGGGAGTTGTTGTTCATTAATTACATTCTTAATAGGATCCGACCGATTTATGGGCAAGCTGATTAAATCGGCCAATTTTAGCCCGTTTGAGACTAATCGGTAATCGACCAAAACTCGACAATTTTCACCGATATTTTCAGAAATAAAATGCGGAGAATAAGATTCGGTTTCACTTCGAAAATGTCCCCTGACTTTTCCTGTAGATGGCGCCGCGACCTCATGGCAATCTTCAACCACTACCTACCTCACAGCACAGCTTCTAACATGATAACTTATTAGATGCAACTTCTTTACTTGCTCTTGCTCTTGCGATGCAGATAAAATGCTTTATCATGACAATTTAAAAGCTAATGTACTACTTTAAATCTGCTTCTAAGCAACTTATTAATCTAAAGTGACACAGCGTTCATACAAAAAAAGTCCAAATCACGTACATTCTTGGACAAAGGAAAAACATTACTATTGTAGGAGCGAGGTTGATACTTTAAGCTACTAAGATGCTTGACCTGGAGTAACCTGGTTTACGTGCCGCGCCATTGAGTTTTACTGTCAGTTTTGATGATTAGTGAAAGTCCAGACGCTGTTCCTCAGATTCAGCAAACAAAGAATGTATTGTAATGAACATAACCAAATCCACTTTGTAACAGATATCAAACACTGAACAAACAAGAAAACGCCGGCAGTTAGCACCACAGTGGTCTAAAACCTTTTGCGCTCCCGGGTCAAACACCTGCCCTCAATAGTGACATGGCTACCTTTATCCCTGAGCCCCAGATAACAAGACAGCGACACCCAAGGCACACAAAGTGAACTGCAACTCATAATATGGTATCACATCAACATATTTGGCTCCTACAATTGCAGTCATCTAATGTTTTACCGCGGTGAAAAGGTCACTTTAACTCTTTCATGTAATTAAAAATACAAAGTACTCCATTATCTAATAAAGATGTAATGAGCATCACAAAGTCACAAAGCTCTGGCAGCCAGAACAGGTTGTGCGTCTCCCTGGGAATGTATCTGCGTCAATGAGAGAATGTGGGCCCTCCCTCAAATAGATCTCTGAGTGCATGTTCCCTCTTTTACATCCTGCTCCCTCCTTATTCTCTGGCACGCACACACAGAAAATGATTCTGATTTCCATTTGGAGATTAATTGAGAATAAACTTGTTTTGACATGGTTAGTGTGAGGCAAGTTATCATTACTCCACCATGTTTTGATGTCCTTGACTGAAACAAGCGACTGATTCTCTGTAATGAGCTACTGCGCCAGGAGACAGCATGATGAAACACTGGACAACTTGACCCTTGGAAATATTGTTGCTTTTATTGGCCGTTCTATTTCTGGCTGTGGTTATCTTGTACAGAGTGAGTTTTTTCAATCGCATTTGACCCAAAAAACAACCAGCGAAGGCCCGTCTCCTAAAATCCCCATCCCACTGAGACCCCCAGTCAAAACACAAACAACTTCTATCAAAAACATAAATCCTCTGTGTGGAGCCAGAGCAGAAAGATCACTGTGGAGTCACATTCATGACAAAATCTTCAAATATTTAGACCCACCATTGCTAAAAAAAGGATTCCCCTCATTACATTAAGGTCATTTGAGAACAACAGCGAAGAAATGAACTCTTTTAGTTGTAAAAAGAGAAAAAAAAAAAACGGAATCAAAGTCCAGATTCATCAAGATAACTCTAGGGGTGAAACCATGATAAAACTGCATGTAGATTTAATGTCATATAATGCTGATTTGTATTTCAATTATTCACAGTATTTCATCAAACGCATGTATTGTATCAATCAGATATATCAATTAATGTGTAATATTGGTTATGCTTTGCCAATATTGTTCTGACTATCATGCAAATAAAGCTCATTTGAAATGGAAAAAGTAAATTGAATTGAAAGCTCAGCAAAGTGCCTGTCTTGCCTCTGGCTTGGCAGGCTGCACCAGCCTGCTTCATAAATACTGCAGAGCTGACGTATGAAGAAAAACCCCACTTCTCTCAGGTACAACTGCACTCTGGAGAGCTTCATTATCTACAGTATGGATAAACTGTATCAAAAACAAGGGGGGTTGAGACTCAACATAAAAACAGAGGAGGGTAGAAATGAAGGTGGCTGAATCCGAACTTTTCCATGACTGACTGGTTAAGAGCAAGTGACTCACAAAATTCGAGCATGTGTAATTGTAGTTTGACAACATAGTAGTAGTAGTCAGAAGCATCAGGGGAGGTAGAAAGTGATCCAAAAACATTAAACAGTGGAGGCAGAGTTTTTCTCTGATCCTAGTTTTTGCAGCAGCATCACAAAAAGGTGACGAGAAGCATGAATTCATTCATCATCGTAGCTCAGATCTGGACGCCATAGAGTCTGACTAATCAACTTAGAGCGGGCTTTGCTGGAGAGCAAAATAGTAATGTGGTGGTGAAAATCATGGACTATATAAAACATCAACATAATCTCAGTGGCATCATTCAGCTGCTATTTGAAAAATGTATCCCTGCATATATTTGTCACTTACGATTAAAGGAGTTAGAGAGGCCAAAACCGTTCATGTACAAAACTAGTCATGTTTAGATCTAACTGTATTTGGTGTTTATTCACCAAAACCAACATTTTCATATCCTCATATTTTCTCTACCAAATATTATTTTACTGATCTAAAAGAGTTTTTTCCAACCCAAAGACAGCGATGGTGCTGTTCTTTGTATTTTACTCCCTTCTTATTTTCTGCCTTTATAAATGTATCCAATTTTTAGACCAATTTACACTTGAACAAATTACCGCCAGAATCTTCTTTGTATAGTTTAATACTTTAGTTTCATACTATAAATTCATTATAGATAACTTGATGAATCAGTGATTGGTTGTGCACTTATGACTTGATCTAAAGTACTTAACGGGACTTTAGGTACAGCTGTATATTCAGGGAAAGGTGGTATGAATGGTTTGAACAGGCTGGTAGGACTAAGCCCTCCTATCAAGATACAGTGTTACACAAAAACTGTACAATTATTATAGTTATTTTAATTTTGGGTTCAACTCAAACTGAACCGATAGCTGATAAAAAAGTAAAAGATATCTTTCCACAGGCTTTTCTTTTACCGTGTTATCTTCTTCCATTCAGCTATGATGGACAGTTGACATAAAATAACCTCTTTTCAAATAAGTTGGACCCAAGACTAAAAACAACCCCTCTTACTGGCATTATAGGCTATATTGTTCTATCATGTAACCCATCACTTCATGACTGTTGTGTATTTTGTTAAAAAGGACTAATAGTGCTAATAGAAATAGTAGTGTGTGGGTACGTGTGATAGAAACACAGACAGGTAGAGGTAGTTTCTTGGCATTATGCACTTCTCTATGGTGTTGGGCTGTCATGCCGTAACTTGGTGACTCATGTGTAATGTTGCTTTTGAAGCTGCAATAACTATCTATAGGTGTAATGCATTTGTTGGCCCACGCCCAAAACATAACCACAGGCTGCCACCGCTTACACATGAGGACCCATGAGACTCAGCTGTATTATTGATAACATATCCAACATACTGATTTAAACGTATTTTTCTTACATGTGGATGTTTCTGTGATGCCCCTAATGAATGTAACACTATAACAAGCATTTGCAATTAATAAACAAAGCCCACTAAATTAAAGGTTGCCATAACACTTGTGCTTACAAAACCATTTTTAAAAGCTTTTGCAATGGAAATTATGTCTTCTTTTTTACACAAGCAGTGACCCGTTCCAGTCTTTTATTTCCATGCTTAAAACGCCAACCCTATACCCAAAGTAGCATGACATCCTAGTAGTGTGACTCATAGTGTAGTCCGCCAATCTGAGATCATAACAATACTGCGCTACAAAGGAGATGGAAGTGAAGCAATCGTCGTGTGGATTAGAAGCTTTACTGCCGTCATCTTATTGTAATGACATTTGTGGCTTTTAATGAAAACAAATGTCTTAAAGGACCCTGGTTTCATTCCCCGACTAGTTTCGCTCTACCATGTTGCTTCATAGGATTTTTGTACCATCTCCAGTCATGAGGGATAAAAGTAAGAGCATCTGCCAACAAAATATAACAGGAACAAGTGTATGCATGACTATTTAATCCATCCACCCCTCTTTTTCCAATCACGGTTCCAATAGAAGCAGTTTTCCGATTGTTTACTTGGTTATTTTTTTGATTGGGACATTTTTCCAATTCTATTAGGATTATAAGTGGTCATGTATACCCACTCAGAAATGTTTTCCAGCAAACTAGCAGAGGGATTAAGTTGACAACTAGTTTGTGCAGAAAGCTAGAGTTGAAACAGGGCAGTAACCAAAGAGTGCGACCAGGACGACCTTTTCTCTTTAACTACTTTCAAACTTCAAGTGCAGTCCATGTGTTTGCATTTCTGTCTCTGTCCCCCACATTTATCTCCATGTTCCACGAGATGGTCTCCACAGATTAAGGCATGCAGACAAGCCAGAGGAGGACACGCTGTCCTCAACATCTGGTTAATTGTAAGTGGAGTTTTTTTTCTTCAACATTTTAAAGTTCAATAAGTCATCAGTCCTGTTCCAGACATCACGAGGTGGGACAGGTAATGGAGCTGTTCTAATGGGACCGACGCTCCACTCAGTCAGTGTTCCCTGGATACCAATAAGGTATGAACAGCCAAGCATTTAATCAAATGGATAGTCTGGGAACAGCTCTGAAGCATCAAAATAAGAGTGAAATTTGGAAGAAGAGTCAGTATGACTTCACACTTTGAGCGTTGAGTGTTTCCTCCATTTTTTTAAGCTCATTTGTTAAACTTTTAGTATTCGCTACTACAGGCTACTGATGCCAGGGGCAACTGGTCTAACACTTTAAGACTGGATTTAGATATTATGGATTACATTCAGGGAGATTAATTGTTAATTAAAAAGATTTGCAAGAGAAAGAGAATTTAGGACTCAAACACTCAAAACAAAGAAAGTGAACTGATGAGCTAATATGAAGTATTTCTCACATTTCCTTCCTCTGTCTGAGAAATCAGAGCCGAGTTATCAGTGAGAACTTCATACCTGAGTCTTACTTAAGTGAGATCACCTACCAAGGTTGACCCCTGAGGATCCCCCCGCTCTACCCAGCTTTGTATGGGTCATCAGCATCATCTCACATGTAGCAATACTTTCATTTCTTATTCAGTCTCCACAGATATTATGATGAATATCCCAGTCATTACAACCAAACCAGAGACAGAAAATGTAAGATGATCAATTTCAGCTAAGGGGGATGGTTGTGATGGGATAACAATAAGCTTTCAAAAAACATTTACAGCAAAGTGTAGCCTCTGAATTTATAGTGTGGTGTAGTGACATAGATTTCCAGGGAAAATAAGTAAGCGAGGGACTTCAGCTCTCATTTAACTGAAAACTATGAAAGGGCAAAACAACCCAGCCTGGGATTATTTGTCTAGTTCCTTTATCTGGAGATCGTGTATTTATTATTTTTCATTATCAAGGGAAAAGGAGCTTTGTTATCTTCTAATAACAACAAAAATAACTAGCTATCATGAGAAAACAAAAAGTTATTTCCTCTATTAGCTGTAATGTTTATCATAGATAAGGAAGGCTAGTCCATCAGGCACAGCTGGCATATAGACAACTGTACAAACTCATTTAGACAGAAAATGTCAGATCAAGGAGTACGCATTACTGGATTGTGAGTCACCACTGAAGATAAGGTAGGCAGTTACATTTAGATTCACTTTCTGTGGTACTATTTGCAACATCTCAGTAGCAATAAATATAATAAGCGCTCTAAACAAATGGTAAAATAAAAAGTGCTCAAGGCTAGTTCAGGCTCATGATAAATATCAACATATCACAATAAAAGCACCTGGTGCTGCCATCACTGTTCACCTAGAGGAGTAAAAAGGTGGCCTGGGCCCCACAGAAAATCCTGTTCTTTGATTGGTTATTTGCCATCTTAAAACAAACTGCCTAGATTGTGATGAAACAAGCAGCATGTACTTTCCTAGCATAGCATGTTTCCTGTTTTTTTTAGTAATTTTTGGTATTATTTCTTCAGATATACATCTTTTTTTCTGAGTCTTCCGACTATTGGATTACTTTTTATAGAAAATAAAACAAATGCAGGAATATAACAGCTTTGAAATACTTGAACGATGGTCATTAAAATAAACAAAATTAGTGGACAAATCAAGGGTGAATAAAAGCTATTCATTCATGTATGTACTCATACATACTTAATAGCCTGGATACACTTCTGCCATTCGCAAAGCCTCTCTTTACACCAGATATATAACTGCTGTATTGTTGTAAGTTTGAGGATGCATCCAGCTGTGTTATGAGCATAATTGTAAATATACTCTACTATACTCTGCATGTCCTGGGGCTGTCGTATTGTATCGCATAGTATCATATCAGCTATGTACACAGTTGACCTCCCACCCTATCTTTATCTTTATTTTCCATCTACAGTGTAAAACCAAAAATACATCCTCACTGTGCTTCTCGGATGTTTTGGAGTCGTAATTGTTGACCATGTCCTCCATTTTTGTCTGATAACATTACTGTAAAGTTTATTGAGGACAAGAGTTTTCGGACGGGCTACCTCAGGTAACCCAAAGCACGAATATAAGTTTCACTGAAGATTTGAATTTAGGATAAAAAGTGACAGCCCAAATGTGTCCTCCTGGAGAATACCTCCAGAGGGCACACCACAGAGAGCTGTTCTGTTAAATCTGGGTTTCAGCTGCTTGGTGAATGACATTTTCTTGAGCCAGCTGAAACTCATCCTTACAATTTGGAGATCATCACAGTCTAAACATTGTTAAAGGATTATTTTTGGGGGGCTTTTAGACCTCTATAGAGATGATTGGACAGTGGATCCAAATAAAAACTGGGGAGATAGTGAGGAGTGACCTTCTGCACATGGAGCAAACAGCAGAGGGTCAGAGTTGAACCTATGTCACCAGCTACAAGAATTAAAAACTCTGTATGGGGTATGAGATTTAACAACTGTGCTGTAGCGGCACCCCTGTGCATCGGCACACTGTAAGAAAGTATGTTCAGAGGCTGAAATCAGTGTCCAGATTGTAAAAGGGTGTTTTGTATCATTCTGGATAACATTCAAAGATAGGCTTTGAGCAAAGAGTGAGATTATTGAATCAGCATGCAGTGTGAAGTAGGCTGTATCCACCTCATTCATGGATTTATGCTCTCATCCAACTGACAGACATTGGTCACAGATGCTCCACCCTCTTCAAAATACAGGGCCTATACTAAAAATAGCATTCAACCCCCATTGATCTACCTACACCTCATTATGAACACAATTAAAACAGGAAAAGAAGAGCTATCTTTATTCATTATCAATTACCACGACATGCAACACCAGATGGGGCTCGAGGACACACATCAAAATCGGCTCTATCATGTGTATAAGTTATGAACCACGTGCACTACACTACAAGTCAGCACCCAGGATAAACAAACGCTTTCAAAATATTTAGATTTGACCTCACACCTAGGCTGGCTCCTAGGCGCACACATACACGCACACACGCACACACGCACAGTGACACTTCAAGCAGGCATGCTAAGTGCTCTTGCCTTTTACTTATCAGCAGCACAAACACAGCGATGATGACCAAATTAAGGACAGTGTCACAGTGAAGGTGAACTGTGGATGTTGCGATTCAAAGCACCAACATCAGGCGTCATTTTGGAGATTTGAAACCGGTGATGGGTCAGAAATAGAGTTCAGGGCCTGTACCGCTAACAAATCACTGGTCTCATCACAATAAAGCTTGTTCTTACATGTTCTGGTGTCCCGTTCGGCCCGGTGTCATTAAGAAAAGCCGCGCGTAAACGCTGTCAAACATGCCAGTGCAGACATATAGAGGGCCACTAAAAAGTGTGCAGCTGGTGGAAGATAAAAGCATTCACTGTGATCTGTCAAAGGGGTCCGAACTTGGAATAGTCTTACCTGGTCCCGCGGAATGCACGGCAGCGAAGTCCTGCGGTGGGACTTGCTGTTGCTCTGACTGTGAGCCATCATTTCCGAGGCCGCCACGGAGCTGGACCTCCGTCTCCTTTTGAAGACAGGGATGTCCTCCTCCTTCGCCCCGGTCACAGAGCCACAGCACCCCGTCCCGCTGGTCCCTGAGGCCGGCAAGAGCCGGTCAGCATACCTCGCAAGCAAAACCCCCAGCACCCCCAGCAGGTAGGCCAGGTAGGGTCTCCAGCTGGTCCGGACCCTGCTCAGAGAGACGAGGGACACGGCTCTGATGACGCCGATGAAGATCAGGATGGACACTCCCTGGCGCAGACGGACGACCAGCAAAGCCCCGCTGCCCAGGCAGCTGAGGACTACCAGGGTCGCGGGGAGAGAGAACAGCTGCTCCTCGGCACCGCGCAGGAGCGACTGCGCCGCGGCTTCGCCCAAGTGACACACCGCCAAGAGAAACACCGCGGAACGGACGAGCACCCCACAGCGGATCAGATAAAGCCCGACCCAGAAAAAGGCACATATGAGTGTAAAAACAGGGGAGACGCAGTCACACACAGAGAAAAGTAGCTCCACCGCGCAGCCCGCCGCGAAATGACTAGAACCGGAGCTATTTCCGCTGCTGCTGCTGCTGCTGCTGCTGCCTGCATCCCAGTCGACCAATCTGAGCAGCAGAGCGAGAATAACGGAGACGGAGGCAGCGCAGACAGTAGACGACACTCCTCGTCGAGTCCATGTCACGGCGACTCTCAGCCACGACTGTCTTCCTGCGTCCTGGTGCAGCGGGGTGACACATGTCTTCACGTAGCCGTTGCGCTCCAACGCAGCCCGGGGATATTTTTCATGAGCGTTTCTTGATGAACCTCTGTCGCTGTCTGACTCCAAGGCCATCGCTATCAGTCAGTCAGGCGGAATACTTCAACGCTGACCGTCCTGGGAAACACTAGATTGATTTAGTCTGTGCGTTTTGCCTCCTCAAAGATCCATGATCATGCATGTTTTCTGCTCTAAATATTGATGAGTGGCTCCTAAAGAAAAGTTCAATTACTCTACAAATGGTTGTTTTAAAATGAAAATTAAACTCAAGGGTTTTTACAACTTTCCTAGTTTTGTGGTGCAGGACTTCCCCATTACATTTGGTCTGGTTGCCGCTAGTATAAGTCAACCAGTGAACCAAAAACAGCAACCTCTGGCGTTTCACACATTTAGGCCACTGCCACTGCTCCTGTCCATAGTCTCTCTCTCACCCTCTCTCTCTTTCATTCCCCTCCCACTAGACACTCTCCCTTTTTTTGTGCCGCTCCGGTGATTCCTCCTTCGCGTTTCGGCTCTACTCTGCAGGCTGCAGGCTGGCCTGGATGTGACTCAGTCCGCAGTGGATGGATGCCATGTTTACATGAAGATTTCCTGCCTTGTTCAGGAAGATGGAAGAGGCCCATTAAGAAAATTAACTATGATGATCCTGTAATACATTTTACAGGCACTGCGGTGCGTTAATATGACAGGAGATGAAAAAGGGATGTCATAATGGTTCCCCATAAACTTCAAACTACACCATTTATCAAAGGTCACGTAAACTCCACATCATGAGTCCTCCTGGAGACATGTGTGTGTTTAATTTCAATTTCCTGTGAGTAAATATGTAACTCAATAAACAGCTTCATTGTTAAATAATGAGGACAGTCCCAAACAAATAAAGGCATTATTTTGCTGGAGTTGTAATAATCTTGCACACCTTTTGTAGTAAGTTAGCACCTTTACCTATTTGTCCTCATTATATCAAATAATTCTCAGGAATACTTTCCCATCTCAAACAAACAAACAAAAGATCTTTATACTGTCTTTCTGGTGTATTTTTGACACCCTCCTCCTCCAAAAAAACAAAAACACAACTGGTTTTGGGAGGGGACAGAAGCCCCAAACTAACATGCATCCATATATTTCATTCCCTCCATTTTCCCATCATAATGTGTTCATTATGGGGTTTCCTCAAGCTTCCCACTCACCATGTAAAGATCATAAGCCATATTCCCTAAGTTACAAAGCTGAAATCAAACAGATGGTCCTAATTTGCCCACTTAATAGGAGTAAAGCAAAGTTTAGATGCAGTAATGCTTCATCTTGTCGGCTATTATGAAAGAGATATTCCGGTGTAAAATTAAGTTAGGGTCAAACACACCGGAACACCGAGTTAGACACCCCCTCAAGAGATAAATGTTGAGACTAAACACAACTCACCTACTCTCTCCCAGCAGCTGCTTGTTTGTAGCGAGACCTCGGGCCAGTCCATTATGGACTACAGGGGGTGACGCAGCTCAAGGAGGAACATTTATGATCCTTACTTTATCATCTCCTTGAAGTAATAATCACCATATTAATCATTTTGCACTGCAGACGTGGTAGTTCTTCTGCCTTAGTGTCTCGGTCTGATTGCATTTCCATGAAGAAATGATCATAAATGTTCTTCCTTGAGCTGCGTTACCCCGCTGCAGTCGATGGACTGGCCTGGAGGTCTCCATACAAACACGCAGCTGCGGGAAGAGAGTGGGTGAGTTGTGTTTAGTCTCTTTGCTAAAGAAAAGGCAAAGCTAAAGAGATGTTTGGTGGCTAGTACTATGGCTGGTACCCTATATGTACTGTTGATGAAGTTAGGTGCTGTTCTGACAGCTGTGTATTGCTATCCTGTGGTTGTTACTAAAGTTGGTATAACTAGAGAAGCAAGCGGTCAGCAACATTCATCTCTCGAGGGGTCTAACTTAGTGTTACGGTGTGTTTGACCCTGAATCAATTTTACACCGGAATATCCCTTTAATGTATCTCTGGCATCAAACATTAATACTTAAATTCAATAATATAGCTCTTAAAATACTTTCTCTGTGACATGCATGACTCCTCATTGGTTCCATTGGTCATATGTCAGGTATCATATCATATTGTATTATTCTGCATCCTGACATATCTTGTTATATCATGTTGTTTTGTATCATATCCTATCTGATCTTTACTTATCCCGCAGTATTGTAATAGATCATGTCATATTATTTTGCTTTGTATTATACCGTATTTTATGAATTAGCATAGTGAGAAAAGTTACTTTGTAAAAACAGATGAAGAAACAGGTCCAGATTCTGGATCAGGAAAATAATGGAATAAATAATATGATTGGTGTGTGTCTACTTTTGGCTTCCACAGAAAATTCTTATTACATTGTTTAAAAATATTGTGTTGTTAACTCTGTGTGTAACCAAAAGTATTTCCATCACTCAGAGTCATAAACTGTATAAAAATAACAGCCTGCACCTTAGGGAGCTTGAACTTTTACTTTGTCGTTAATTTGGTCTATAGTGGGATGGTCTAGAGTCCAGTTTGTCCTACAACAACAACAAGCACCCTTGTTAATTCTCATCGTGCTCTCTCTATGCTGGACCATCATACTCCAAGGACCATCCTTCCCTCTCTCTCGTAGCTGTCAATGCTCCATACCAGATGTTTTAGATCTTGGTCTTCATCCTCCAGAGGACTCATCCCCTCCTTTTTTCTCTCTTTTTGTGTGCGTGTTGTCTCTCTCTCTCGCTCTTCTGTATTTGTTCTTTTCTCCTTTCTGTGTAAAGTGCATGTGTAAGTTTTCCCTCTCTGGAGTTCTCATGTACACCATGTGGACTGATCTTGTAGATGACATATAAGCTGACAGACCTTTCTATATATTCATTATATTTTCCAACAGCTCACGTCTCTTCATCTTGAAATCATTTGTACCACCACACCGGGTTGGCTGCTTTTTGTGTACTCATGTTTACAGTATGGGCTTTGGGGTTTTCCTTGCAGTTCATGGTGGTTTGTCATTAGTTGGACAAACACGCAGTCAGAGAGGGTCAATTCAAGGTGATTGATGTGAGCAGGAGACGCACAAAAAAACCAAAGGGTTTGTTTGCAAAAGAATTGGACTGAGACCAGTGGTTAGGCACCGGTGCGACCACGATAATACATCTTCCCTTTTCTTCTTCTTTTTAAACACTGAGGTCACACAGACCACATCTTCTTTTCACTCGTAATCTTGTAGATCCTACATGCACAAATATAAAGCACGCTCCTTTATATATGAACAAATAACACACCTGCACATGTGCAAAAAAAACAATATTTGTACAGCAGCAGGGAGTGGATTTCTCTGATTTTCTCACAGTTTAAGAGACACACACACAAGCTGAGGCCACTATCACAGTCCTGATAAGCACGTTTTTATCCATGGATTCCTGAAGGGTTAGTAGAGCAGCTTATCATGCTGCTGGCGTAATGCCACCCTGCTTCTCGGTAAAGAGCTCCTCTCTAGTTCGACCAACAGAGACAGACTGGTTTGATTGGGTTTCCTCCTCTGACACCGAGTGGGAGCAGGACTTTGTGTGTTGTGGCTTTTCAGTAATGGTTGTGGATTTACAGCCAGATTTTTCCACTCGTAAAACACAGATACGACTTGTAAATATGACTCAAGACCATATAAATGCATATTTCATAACCACTATATAAATTTTTCTTGTCTTTTGCCACTCACACACACAAACATGTATGCACCCACAAGCCTATAAAGACATTTAAGCCACATGTTCCAAGTGGTGAACAGGCCACTTTTGGAGATTTTTCTCTGGTGGAGAGTAACAAACAGGTTCTGATACATTTGCTGACTCGATTACTTCAGACAACTCCTATGACTCCAGTTATATGGAAAGAGTTGCAGGAGAAACAGAGCAATAATGAGGAAGGTATGTTTGTGTGGAAGCACAAGGGTTAGGGCAGGGGTCGGGAACTTTTTCTATGTGAGAAGCCACTCTTGTCCGCTCCTCTCCACCTATAAAACTATCTGGAGTAGCAGAATATCTTTCAACCTTTTAGTGCAGGATTTTGAGATAACCTGGCATTTCCATTGAAACAGTGAAGATTTGCATTATTCCAATTCTTTCTCTTCGTGCTGATAGTAAACAAAATGGAGTTAAAGGGATATTCCAGCATAAAATTAAGTTAGGGTCAAACACACCATAACACAGAGTTAGACACACCCCGTTGAGAGATGAATGTTGCCGACCACTTGCTTCTCTAGTTATACCAACTTTAGTAACGACCGCAGATAGCAATACAGAGAGCCACGCGCTCAACCAAAACGCCACTCTATAGCCACAAATAATGTTCAGAACAGCACCTAACTTCATCAACAGTACATATAGGGTCCTAGCCATAGTACTAGCCACCAAACATATTTTTAGCTTTGCTTGATTTCTTTAGCAAAGAGACTAAACACAACTCACCTACTCTCTTCCAGCTGCCGCTTGTTTGTACGGAGACCTCAGGCGAGTCCATTATGGACTACAGCAGGGTGACGCAGCTCAAGGAAGAACATTTATGATAATTTCTTCATAGAAATGCAATCAGACGGAGACGCTAGGCAGAAGAACTACTGTGTCTGCAGTGCAAAATGAGTAATATGGTGATTATTACTTCAAGAAAATGATAAAGAAATGATCATAAATGTTCTTCCTTAAGCTGCGTCATCCTGCTGCAGTTGATGGACTCGCCCGCAGGTCTCCATACAAACAAGCTGCTGCTGGAGGAGAGAACGTGAGTTGTGTTTAGTCTCTTTGCTAAAAAAAATCGGGCAAAGTTAAGAAGATGTTTGGTGGCTACTATGGCTGGGACCCTATATGTACTGTTGATAAAGTTAGGTGCTGTTCTGAGCATTATTTGTGGCTATTGAGTGGCTTTTTGCTGGTGTGTGTGGCTCTCTGTATTGCTATCTGTGGTCGTTACTAAAGTTGGTATAACTAGAGAAGCAAGCGGTCGGCAACATTCATCTCTCAATGAGGCGTCTAACTCTGTGTTATGGTGTGTTTGACCCTAAATTA